TTCTCCCAGCACAGCGCCACCTGTACATTCATATGTGACTTGTTTCTCTGCTATCCTGTTTGGAAGAATTGTTCTTTTACCTGTTGTAACCGCACATTCTACAGATCATATGATGAATAAACACCGCCAGATCGTCTTACATGTGAGTTGTGACTGAGTAAACTATCTGGGAAGGTGATTTGGTATGGATAATCTCATCAGGGCAATGAGCGCCATGTGCTCCTGAAAAAACACATTCATAGCCTCTGCAGCCGGTCAAGAATAGTAAAAGAACACATCCAGCAGCTTGTTCAGAGATTGCTGTGTCACAGGACAGATCATAGCGAAGTGTAACTGTGTGTATTGTATGAGAAGTCTGCATTCAACCCCAGCACAGCTTGTTACAGCCCCACACAGTATACAGGCACACTTCACTGCTACAGCCAGGCCTGTGTACCTCAGGCCATCATGAGTGGAAAGGGCTCAGTATGTGAAACACCACAGCATGCACCACATGGAGAAAGCCAGGATGAGGACCCAGAGCCCAGTGCATTAGCTAAACGCTCTGTGAAACACACATGGAAGGTTAAAGAGAACTATGAATCCATGAAAACTAAACTATTCTGCAAAACATTAACACTGAGGAATCATTAGAGCAACTTAACAATGTCCAGCTTCTTAATATGGAAAGAGAAAGCTTTATCCTGCTAACTAAAGCAAAGGCAGAAGCAAAATTAAAGCAGCCACAGGACACTGTATCTCACAGATCCGTATCCACCAGACATTCTAAAAGTTCCTCTAGATCCCGAAGTTCAAGGAACTCAACGCTTAGCGAACAGCTTATAAATGCCCGTGCCGAAGCAGAGGCTAGCAAAGTACTGGCTGCATATGCTAAAAAGAGAGCAGACATGGAGGCTGAGGCTGCAGCAATGCAAGCCGAAGCGGCAGCAATGGAAGCTGAGGCAGCATCTAAAGCAGCACGTCAAAGAGCAGCAATGGAAGCTCAGACAGCACATCAAAGGGCAACAATTGAAGCTTTAAAGGAAAAGAGCAACTACGAGGCAGCTGAAGCAAGACTAAACATTTTGGAACAAGCTATCGGTGCAGATGAAAATGCTAGTGAAAGGGTCAGCGTCAAGGCAGATGTGGAAGATCCATTCGAACGCACTAAGAACTATGTTCTAAACCACAGCAGCGAGCACTCAATTGCCTCCATTCTGCACGACAACGCAAGGACTTCACCACACCACCAGGCAAAAGCTGTTCCAGCAACTTCCTACATGCAAAACCACCCCAGTGCAGCGCCTGACTGTCATGCTGAATCTGCATATGTCACAGAATTGCACGCCAATTCTCAAGCAAGTCACCAACCTCCTGCTAATAGTACCGTTCCAGACTTTAACCCAACAACTCAGCTGAACACCCTTGTTGCACCATATCTTCCGAAGCAATCCGCAACATTCAACCAGTGACCTCCTACGTAAAGTCAGAGGCAACTGATACAGCAGAGTTCGTAAAGTATATACTTCGACGAGAGCTCACCAACTTAGACCTAGTAAGCTTCGATGACCATCCCGAAAATTACAGAAACTGGAAAGCTGCCTTTAAAACTACTATAGGTGATCTTGGTATTACTGCTGCTGAGGAGCTGGATCTGCTGATCAGGTGGCTTGGCCCACAATCTACAGAACATGTCAAGAGCCATAGAGAATGCATTGCTCAAACGATTGGAAAATTTCCCAACGATATCCGGTAAGGACAATAAAGAGTTCCAGAGACTCAGTGACCTTCTTCTCGAAGTCCAACTTGCCAAAACTGACCCTAAACTACCGGGCCTCAGCTACCTGGACACTGCTCGAGGTGTTAACCCTATCATTTACAAGCTTCCGTATGGCCTACGAGAAAAGTGGATCCAAATTGGGTCAAAATACAAACGGGAAAACAAGGTTTTATTTCCCCCTTTCTCTTACTTCTGCGAATTTATCAGGAACATTGCTGACACCAAGAACGATCCTAGTTTTGCATTTGGTGAGTTCAGTACTCCCTCACTGAAAGGTGACAAGCTACATATCAGCTACAGGAACCATAGAGGTCCCGTGTCTGTTAAGAAGACAGACATTATTCCTGCTCCCACCTCAGCTCCCACCTCAAACAAGAGCTGCAAGATCGAAAACCCAAACCGATTATGTCCTATCCACAAGAAGCCATATCCCCTCAAAAAATGTAACGGCTTTAGGAAGAAGCCCCTACAAGAACGAAAGGAACTCCTAAAGAGCTTTGGGGTATGTTATAGGTGCTGTGCTTCCACTGATCACTTTGCCAAGGAATGTAAAATCCCTATCAAGTGCATAGAGTGCGGTTCCGAGGACCACGTGCAAGCTCTCCATCCACTTGAGTCCAATCCTTCACTATTTGCAAACCCTTCTCCCAGGCCAAATCACGATGGGAAAATTACAGATCAGGTGGCTAATCCCACCATGATATTTTCTTCATGCACGGAAGTGTGTGGGGAAGACCACCGTGACAAGTCTTGTGCTAAAATATGACTAGTGAATGTTCACCACAAGGATCAACCAGAAAAGACTTTAAAGGTGTATGCTATCTTAGATGATCAAAGCAATCGATCACTTGCCCGATCTGAACTGTTTGATCTATTTTGCATAAGAGGAGAGGTTCATCCTTACACCTTAGGCACTTGTAGCGGCACTACAGAGGTCTTTGGAAGAAGGGCACATGAATTTATTGTGTCCTCTCTAAGAGATAACTTACAATTACCCTTACCTACACTTGTAGAGTGCAACCAGATACCAGCCAACAAAGAAGAAATACCTAAACCAGAAGTTGCCTTCTTCCACCCTCACCTAAAGTCAATAGCAAGTGAAATCCCACCACTTGACAAAGATGCTAAAATCCTTCTTCTGCTGGGAAGAGATATTCTAAGGGTCCACAAGGTGCACAGGCAGGTCAGCGGACCCCCAGATGCTCCATTTGCCCAGTACCTGGACTTAGGCTGGGTCATCATAGGTAATGTCTGTATAGGCAAAATGAAAAGGCCTACTAAGATTTCTTCATTCAAGACAAACGTATTGCCGAATGGTCGTAATACCCATTTTGAGCCATGCCCACATCACTACTGGGTAAAGGAGAAGGTAACTAGCTGCAAGTTGCAACATGACAACACAAACCTTTCCCGCACATACGATGACAGGTTTGGCTCTACAGTTTTCAATACAAGCAGTGAAGACAACATGTTAGCTCCTTCAGTAGAAGACAAAGAATTCCTTAAAGTAATGGACAACGAGTTCTTTCAGGAAGATTCCAACAGTTGGGTAGCACCCCTACCCTTTCGCCTCCCGAGAGAGAAGCTACCGAACAATCTACATCAAGCCATTAAAAGATTCTCCTCCTTAAAGCGTACTTTAAGCAGGAAACCAGAGATGGAAAGACATTTTGTAGACTTTATCCAGAATATCTTTGATAGAGGTCATGCCGAACCCGCACCTCCACTGAAAGAAGGAGAAGAATGCTGGTACCTCCCTTCCTTCGGTGTGTATCACCCACGAAAGCCAGACCAAATCAGAGTTGTCTTTGACTACAGTGCCCAACATGAAGGCATCTCACTTAACAACATGCTCCTCACAGGGCCCAACTTGAACAACAGCCTGATTAGAGTCCTAATTTGTTTTAGACAAGAACCTGTAGCAGTGATGGCGGACATTCAACAAATGTTCCACTGCTTCATCGTCAAGGAAGACAACAGAAACTACCTCAGGTTCCTATGGCACAAGGACAATGACCTCAACAGAGAGGTAATTGATTACCGAATGAGGGTGCATGTCTTTGGGAACAGCCCTTCCCCAGCTGTAGCAATCTATGGACTAAAAAGGACAGCCCAGCTTGGAGAAGCTGAGTATGGATCCGACGCTCGTCAATTTGTCGAAAGAAACTTTTACGTAGACGACGGGCTCAAATCCTTTCCTACTGCTAAAGAAGCAATTGATCTTCTCACCCGAACAAAGGAGATGCTATCCGTAGCAAACTTGAGAGTCCACAAGATTATATCCAAGAGCTAATGAATGCATTTCACTCTGAGGACTATGCTGCCAGCGTGAAAGACCTTGACCTTGGGTCAGACACGCCTCCTTTGCAGAGAAGTCTAGGTCTGCTGTGGAACATCAAAGAAGACACATTCACCTTTCAAGTGTCAACCTGTGACAAACCTTTTACCAAGAGAGGAGTCTTGTCCATGGTGAATAGCATCTACAACCCACTGGGATTTATAGCCCCAGTCACCACCCAAGGTAAGATGCTTCTAAAACAGCTTACTACTGATAACAAAGATTGGGACACTCCGTTACCCATGGAGAAACAACAAAGATGGGAGAAATGGAGAGGTTCTCTGAAGCCACTAGAACAGCTCAAAATTACACTTTGCTATGCCCCAATCTCCATTTCAGCCGCTAAACAGAGGGAAATCCATATTTTCTCAGACGCATCAGTTGAAGCTATAGCTGCAGTGGCCTATTTGAAGACCTCAGGGATCAATGGAGACATACATTGCAATTTTGTTCTAGGCAAGGCAAAGCTAACACCAAAACCTGCACATACCATACCCAGACTTGAACTTTGTGCAGCCGCGCTAGCCGTGGAAATAGCCGAAGTCATAAAGAGTGAAATGGACATTAAAATCGATTCCTTCACATTTTACACAGACAGTAAGATAGTGCTTGGATACATTTACAACCAAACCAAACAATTTTACGTGTACGTCAGTAATCGAGTAGAAGGTATCAGAAGGTTCTCTCTGCCAAAGCAATGGCATTATATTCCCATGGACCTTAATCCTGCTGATTATGGGACAAGACCTATATCCCCAGCAGCTCTCCATGGCTGCTTGTGGCTGACACCTCCAAGTTTTCTTCACGAAAACTCCTACTCAATTTCCACCGATGTTGCCTACGAACTGGTACATCCTGATGATGATAAAGAAATCAGGTCTATGAACACCACACTGCATACCTCTACAAGTCCAGAACCAAACCTCAAGTCACATCGTTTTGAACGTTTCTCAACCTGGTCATCAGCCGTTAGGGCTGTTGCTTATTTGATTCACGTTGCCCATTGTTTTAAAAGGAGCTCAATATCAGAGTGTCATTGTTGGCATATCTGTACCAACCATCCTACCGCAACGGAAATTAAGCGTGCCGAAAAGGTTATCATTCACTGTGTACAACAAGAAGCGTACATGGAAGAATTCCACAGATTCAAAGGTGGAATACCTTTATCAAAGGATAGTTCACTATTTAATCTAAGCCCTGTGGTCGATGACAATCAGTTGCTGCGAGTTGGAGGTCGAATAGAGAAATCTGACCTGTGCAGCAAGGAACAAAACCCTATCATCATACCAGATCAGCACCACATCGCCACTCTTCTAATCCGGCACCATCATGAACTAATACAACACCAAGGTAGACAATTTACAGAAGGCGTTATCAGGTCAGCCGGCTTGTGGATTGTCGGAATGAAAAGATGTATTCTTCCCTGCTTTTCAAATGCGTCAAGTGTCGCAAGTTAAGAGGTAGACACCAACTACAACAAATGGCAAGCCTGCCAGCTGATCGTTTAAGCACAGATCCACCCTTCACCTACGTTGGAGATGACGTCTTCGGTCCGTGGACCGTGGTAACTCGAAAGACTCGTGGTGGAGCAGCCAACAGCAATAGGTGGGCCGTGTTGTTTACTTGTCTCAGCATACGAGTTGTACATATTGAAGTGATTGAGTCAATGGATTCTTCTTGTTTCATCAACGCTTTACGAAGATTCTTCTCCATCCGAGGACCTGTCAAGCAGCTAAGATCCGACTGTGGTTCTAACTTCGTTGGAGCCTGTAAAGAACTTCAACTAGACAATTTCTTAGCAAACAATGGATGTACTTGGCTGTTTAATCCACCACATTCTTCACATATGGGAGGATCCTGGGAGCGAATGATTGGGATCGCTCGAAGAATTCTCGATTCCATGTTACAGGACCGCAAGTCTTCACTATTGACTCATGAGACTTTGAGTACCTTTCTCTCGGAAGTATCCGCCATCATTAATGCAAGGCCTCTAGTACCAGTATCTTCTGATCCTGATTCTCCAGTGATTCTTACCCCAGCCACACTCCTTACTCAGAAGGTTGGGACTACTGTGATATCTCCTGCTGAGATTGACGCAAAGGATATCTACAGGCGTCAATGGAAACAGGTGCAACACCTAGCCAACGTGTTTTGGCACCGCTGGAGAAAGGAGTACCTGCATATCCTTCAAAGCCGTTCCAAATGGCAAACACCCAAGCCCAACCTCAAAGTAGGCGACCTTGTTCTTCTGAAAGATAGAGAAGTCTGTCGCAATAAGTGGCCTATGGGTCTCGTAACAAGTGTAGTGCCCAGCGATGATGGAAAGGTTCGGAAGGTTGAGATTAAGATAACCAAAGGAGGTTCCACACTGACTTTCTCACGACCAATCACAGAATTGGTACTTCTTCTCCCAAACGAGTGACTTATGCAAGAGTACCAGACCGTACGGTACTATGGCGGGGAGAACGCCGCTATAACTGTTAACTATGCCACTGTTGAAGTTCCACGGCTATAAACTGCAGACTATAGGACTTTAGCCATCTGTTATTGGACTTCATGTTTTATTGTTCATTTCCTGCATACCTTCTTTGTTTTGCAGGTATCTCGTATTTATGGTCTACACACCAGTATTATTTCCAATGTTTTCTTCACTTACAGGTTTGAGTTGGACTTTTGGACATTTGGACTTATCTTTATATATATATATATATATATATATATATATATATATATATAGGCTTTGTAATCTAAAGATTTCAGGCGGGGAGTGTCATGTTACATGATATTGTTTTATTATAATGTACTGTTTCTTTAATGTTCATCTTAAGTTTGTCCCTTGGGCCACTCCATAGTTTGCTGCTCCAGGTACTCCCCTCCCCTTTTTTCTGTTCTAGTGTATTCTATGCTGTACATTCATATGTGACTTGTTTCTCTGCTATCCTGTATGGAAGAATTGTTCTTTTACCTGTCGTAACTGCACATTCTACAGATCATATGACGAATAAACACCGCCAGATCTTTTTACATGTGAGTTGTGACTGAGTAAACTATCTGGGAAGGTGATTTGGTATGGATAATCTCATCAGGGCAATGAGCGCCATGTGCTCCTGAAAAAACACATTCATAGCCTCTGCAGCCGGTCCAGAATAGTGTCTTCTAATGCCAATCTTTGTTATTGCATCCATAAATACCTGATGGCACAAGTACTCCAGTTACCTAGACCTGTAGTGAATTTCATAGTTGCAACAGTTAAATCCAATCCTGTAACCTGTGATTTAACAACAGTTGGAGCCCAGTTTGCAGTAGCATGGAAACCAGTCCCTATATGCATGCTGGCCATGTTTAACTTATTCTTGAGGGTCTCCATGTCTATACTATTTAGTATACCCATAGTGGTTCCAGCACCTCCTAACAGTGTGTCATGCCATTCCCTTTTCTGCCTTTTGTTTGCTATGTTTCATAATGTTACAACAGTAGTGATTTTTGATGACACATGTACAGCTTGTAAGAAGACAGTTGTATTAACATGTGTGGACGGAATAGGTGTGTGTATCGTTATTGACTTTTGGTTTCTATGGTAGAGGATAAAAGACAGTAATAAGGTGTAAAAATATAAAGTAGTGTACATTTCTCAATTGCAGTGTTGTTCATAATGACTAACATTTGTCCCCTTTTCCAATTAATGGTACCAGTTGTACCAGTTATAATCATTATTAAAAGTAATAAGGCCTGTCTGTTTACATTGATATGCAACCTTACTAATTTTCTTATTATATATATCCCAAACCTGTTGAGGTGTTTTTTTCTTACCATCAGAACTTATATTAAATAAGGTGGCACAGATGCTAGTGTAATTAGCAACCTTAACTGTGCACATTTCTGCGTTATAAGATCTAACAATTTAACGTGAACCTCCAAACAAACATAATGCATCGGTTTCATTAGCTGTGGACACATTCCATATGGGTAACTGGTACTTATAAGGGTTATTATTTGTCCAATTCATCCAAATGCATTCAGTCAATGAGTGATTGCATATTACAAGCTGATAGATAGGTGGTGGAGAAAGGTTCTTGAGGGAGCTTGTGTTACGAATGCTAGAGGAGGGGCTAAGGCCTTATTGGGCTGGGGGTATTGAAGAATTGTTCATTGTGTCAGAGTCTTTTCTCCAGAAACAAACAGGTTTCAAACTTCCCATTGACTTGTACTCATAATGGCATTCAAAAAACAATATCAGAGGGAGTATAACAACTCCAGAAAGCATAGCGCAAAACATAATCTTGGTCTCAGATTCGTATGATCCTCTCAATCTACGATATGGTGTGGAAGCCATGATGCTTCGCTAAGGGGAAATTCTTCTGTTTCCGAGTGAGGAGTGGTGTTGTCTTCCTTGGTTCCCCACTTTGGACACAGCTTCACTCGGGATGCGTGAATCGGGGGTCCATGTTTTTAGAGTATGTTGGAGTACCAGCGAATAAACGGCTGGGGAATCCACATAGTCTTGGGGTAAGCGTGTCCAGGTATACTGACAGCCTTCAAAAGTAAAAGCCATAAGTAGCTGTGTCTCTTGATCAATAGGTATAGAAAAAAATGCTTTACTTAAAGCGGCACTGTCATGCCGAACTTACCTTTCCTCAATCTCTTCCTCTTCTCCCCCTCTCTCAGGATCTGTTATTCTTTTCTTCCTGTCTTCTTTAGTTTTCTTTAAAATCATAAGACAAAGTAGGGACTCTTTGCCTTATGGAGGATTCCTCCGCTTGACCAGCTCTGACCAGCGGAGGAGCAAAGCGTGCTTCATTTCCGCTGGTCAGAGCAATTTTCCCATGATCCCTAGCTTTCCTCTGTGATCTCGCGATGCTTCCTGTCACTTTCCTCAAAACTGCCGAATTGCGTTCTAACTGAATTAGAACAGTATGTTCGTTTGTTTTAGAACGCAATTCGGCACTTTATTCGGATCAGAATTTCATTCTAATGAATGAAACTCCGATCCTATTCATTGCCGTGGCTGCATCTTGCAGCCGCTTAGTAGATAACTCCCTAATTCTCACGGTATCAGGGAGTTATCTACTAAAAGGCTGAAAGACCTAAATTGGTCTTTCAGCCACATTTACTAATACTGAGTAAAGATTACTTAGTATTAGTAAATTAAATGCCCCTACTCGCTATACTGCGAGTAGGGGCATGTGTAGTAAGCAGTGAGCAGCTTATAGCTGCTCACTGTAAAAAAAAAAGAAAAAAACTAATAAACCCCCCCCCTCATGCCCGTGGGGGCCCTAAATAAAGATGGGGGGGAACCTACTGGCCCCCCTGGCCCCCACCCCTGAGCGGTGGGTGGGGGCCCTAAATAAAGATATGGGGGGGGAACTTCTGTCCCCCCCTGCGCGGTGGGTGGGGGCCCTAATAAAACAATAAGGGGGGGAACCTACTGTCCTCCCCCTCTGCGCGGTGGGTGGGTGGGGGCCCTAATAAAACAATAAGGGGGGGACCTACTGTCCTCCCCCCCGGCCCCCACCCCTGCGCGGTGGGTGGGGGCCCTAATAAAACAATAAGGGGGGGGACCTACTGTCCTCCCCCCCCCGGCCCCCACCCCTCTAGTAACATAATTTAGACATGACTCTCCTGGGTGGGGTAAAGGGTAAGAAATAGACTGATTATTTCCCATATTTCTGGCTCAGGGTAGAGACACTACCTACTTACCAATAGTGTGTCTCTACTTAACAAGCAAAATAAACACAAAGCAGACACAGGGTGACCAGAGGAACGAGAATTTTGGGTTATTCTAGATCTATAAACTGTGTTTCCTAGAACACCTATAGTCTTAATAAACCGGAGACTCCTTTATGGTCTCAAAACCTGTTTCTACCTGAGATACCCTGTATCTATCTTAGATAGTATCATGGGTTACCAAGAACCCTATACTAGACCAACTGTCCAGTAAAAACCAGAGACCTATTTACAGTCTCAATATAATTAAAGTCCTTACACCTTTCCTATCTACTGGATACAGACTTACTGAACCAAAGGGGGTCATAGACAATCAGCGTCAATAAGACACAAAAAGGCTACTTACCCACAATGGTCATGCTGTAATCCCACTTCTAACACCAAGCTGAAAGGGTTAATGCTGTTCTGGACTCAACTCCCCTCGATTCTCGAGTCACCACATCAATTGACGGGAGTTCTTGTTTAGCAAATTAAGACACAGACATCAAAGAGTACTTAACAAGTTCTCAGTGAGTATATTTTCAGGGCTAGCATTTATACACAGTTTGTCACGCAAGCAGCGAGACTTATCATTTCCTTGTAGTTAATAGTACATACTTTTCTGACATTAAAAGATAAGCATTTGAATAAAGACGGGACAGGAACATCCTGAGGTCGAGCGAGGTCATACATCCTGTAGAAGGGAGGCCTCTCAAAGCATGTTACAGAATACATCTGCCAAGGTCAGCATAATTATTTCAAACATTATTTTAAAACATATAAAAGAAAAAGAGTTAACTATTTCATATCCTTACAGGTACCAATAAATATAAGCTTAATTTTACTAATGATTTACATTTTTATTAATGTGAGTGATTGTAGACAGGGCCCCAGTGCTCTCCTTAGCCCCCGGGGTTTATAATTCTGTTAAGACGGCTGTGAGGGGGGCGGCAATAAAAAGTCACATAGAGGGACTAGGGGTAGAAAAAACACACACAAGGGGACTGGGGCTACAAGGAAACACACAGAGGGGCTGTGGGAGACACACAGAGTTGGCAGTGTTTATGGTGCCAGTAGCTTGTCTTGCCTAGGGCATAGAATGGCCTATCAGCAGCCCTGGTGTCTCAATGAGTATTACTTTAATAAATAACGTCCATATTGTGCTGTGTGTCTGGTTCCCTCTGAGGGAGAGTGACACGTTTCGCTCCATCCCTAACTCTCAGCATTCCCCACCTCGCGGGGGCCACGCCCTACCCCAGTGACAGGGCCGTTGCCGCTATGGACGTTGGCCCCGCCCACGCCACCAGGCTCCTCCCGATCCCATCCCATCCTATTCTATTCCCTCTTCCATGCGCCCGTGGCTGACGTCACTCCTGCGGCTGGTGCACGCGCTGCCAGTGTGTCGCTCCCGCGCGAGTTTAGAGCAGGCCGGGGTTAAGATGGCGGCGCCCGTGTTGAGAGTGTCTGTGCCGCGCTGGGAGAGCGGGGCCCGGTATGCGGTGTGTGTGCTGGGCATCGTGCTGTCCATCTATGCCTACCACGTGGAGAGGGAGAAGGAGAGGGACCCTGCCTACCGAGCTCTTTGCGACATCAGCGAGTGGGTGCGCTGCTCCACTGTCCTGTCCTCCAGGTACCCGGGGGAGTGGGGGTCCTGTCTGGGAATGGTCTGGGGACACACACACACAGGGAAACACCGGGTGACCGGCCAGGATGGGGCTGGTCTCCTCGCTCACCCTGTCACTGAGTGCAGGACCTGGCCAGCTACCGGATAGACTTCATCACCCCCATCCTCCTCCTCAGTGAGCCCCCCTCAAACATCTATCAATGGGACTGGGGGCTTTTTGGGGTTGTGCTCCCACATGAAGCATCACATTTTACGGAGCCATTGCTCGTACTCCAATCAAAGCCTCAGTGATTGAGACAGGTTGCTCTGTATGGGGTGGGTGGGATGGCACTAGTCCCTGCTCTGGGGGTATGATGACTGGTCAGGTGAGACATTTTGACAGGAGGAAGGTCTGTGCATGATAGCTTCCTCTCCTTTCTACGATTGTAGAGATCACCCAGTCTGACTCGACTTGTCATTGTCTCTCTCCCCCCCCCATATAAAGTTAATGTATTTGTCAGACGTGGCAACCATGGTTACTTGCAAGGTCTGACTGTCGCTTATAGGCTCTTTTTTAAATTATTTTCTTTTAACCTGATTTTTTTTTTTCTTCCTTTTCTGGTGCAGTATGAGGCAGCACTTGTATCATCTGAACACAACGCCTTTTTTTGGACCCTAGACCCAGGTGGGAGGGAGAAAACTACACATATAGGTGCAAAGGTGAATGCCAACTGTACTCTATACCGATAGGTGTATATAGAAAGCCCAAAAAGTTTCATAATTCACATGCTTTTAAAATCGACTTTCATTGTAATGCAGGGAGACACCTTTAAATCACAGGGGTGGATTTAACTCCAAAAGGTTTACCTGCTGAACATACAATTGTAATTCCCCCAAATGTGCTATTGTTGTCTTAATATTAATGTTTTTTTAGTTTATTGAATGAACCCTTAGGTGTTTTGCTTGTGTTTTAAGACTAAATAATTTGACATGTCTTCCCAGCAGATGCCAAACTATCCTTTCCTCTTAAAGCAGTGTTTTGTGTATGAGGATATGCTTATGTCAATTTCATAAGTGTTGAATTCTCTTTGAAATTTGCACTTTAAAAAAAAAAAACTTTAGTACACATCCCTGCTGTCTTCTTGATATTAAATATACAGTTAGAGCTATGTGAGCAGGCATATCCACCAAGCTCCCATGCATTCAATTATTTACTGGTTGTCTAGTGATTGTATATTGCTGAAGTTGGCTAGAAGCCCCCATCGAAGAGCTGTGCACTGTTAAACACCGCTCTCATGGATGCAACAGCCATTGCCTGGCTAGGAATTTTTATTTGAGCTGTGTTACAATGCAATGAGAAATATATACGTTGGAAAGCCGCTTGTGGCTCTTAATCATCTTCTCAATGAAAAGCATCTGATCACTCAAAGGGAGAGCTTGCAAAGGCGGCAGACAAGATTGTATTATTGGTGGATAATGTTATTAATTTGGAGTAGCACACTTACGAACTGGTCACCCAGTATAAAACCTATAAGGAAGTGTCCCGACATATTATTGGATAACTGTGTGGATACTGACCTGTGCAAAATAACTACAACCAAAAATAAGCATAAGTGTGACATCTGCACCAAAACTGCAAAGTGATCTCATCAGTCATAAATATTTTATGGTAATTTGGGTTGCTACTTTTTTATTTTAACTTATTTAGGGTGAGCTTTGTGGTTAAAGGGACACAGTAGGCACCTAGACCACTTCAGTTCATTGAAGTGATCTGGGTGCAGTGTCCCTTTTGCACTTAGTGCTGCAATGTAAAACATTGCAGTTCCAGAAAACTGGAAATGCCACTACAGGGATTCCACTTTTGGTCCTTTATCTGATGCTGGACGTCCTCACGGACCTCCAGCATCAGATTTTCCCCCTAGGAAAGCATTTAAAACATTAGATATGCCATTTGCGTGCGTGCGTGTGGGGGGGGAGGGGGACATAGGCAGAGCCTGACAAAGCGCCGAGGTTACACTGGCGCTGGATTCAGTTAAGTGGCTGAAGGTTTTTTTTTCCCTTCAGCCCCGCAGGAGGGGGGAGTTGCAAGGGAGGGGGGCACTCCAGGAGCAACGGGTTTGTTTTCCTGGCACTATATGGTCCCTTTTAAGCATTACAATCCTAGATCTTTTCATATGCAATATAATATTCTGAAAATCAAAATTCTAATTTTAATTTAGCATCTCTAATCAGGTTTCAGAAACTTTTTTTTTTTTTTTTTTTTAACATAAACCCTTTGTATTTTTATTGAAATACTTTAAGTAGGCTTAAAAAGTAATGTTGCCATTTGTAATATATTTTGTATGCATGCAATGGAAAATAAAACAAAATACTAATTCGTTTTGGTGTTACACTTCACCAACAGTAAGCAAAGCGACCAGAACTTATTACAGTATTGTATGCTATATTACAGTTACTTTGTATTTTTAGTTCCAAGACACACAGTTGTTTACGAATATGAGAATTCAAAGTGCATATCAAATTTAAGGTCAAAAAAGCCTTATTGGAAACATTCTCCAAGCCAGCTAAGCTATCAGTTTGGCTACTGTGGCCTTGAAGGAACACTACAGTGTTAGGAATACATGTTTGTATTCCCAATGCCATAGTGTCTGATTACTGTCACCCTCCCTGTGTAAAGTACAAAACAAGCTTTAGTTAAATTTATTCCATTGTTGTGCAAACCTCAGTCCTGCTGCCCTGCCTCCCATGTTGAGATACTTGAGATTGATCATCTCATACAATCCAATGCTTCCCAAGCAGACTACTTCATTTAGGTCAACTCATTTAGAAGTCAACTTTGAATGTTCACTTTAGTATATAACCCTGACAATGTCAATGCAGTAACTTCAATAAATGACATGAGGCTTCATGCAGTTGAGCAATTGTACTTTATGGTGACTGAACAGAAAAATAACAACTGGGAGGTAGCCAATAAAATCACAAACTCTTGCTTGAAGTATGTATGCTAGCAATACTAGAGAGGAAGTATATTTTTGGCAATTCTAATAATGTAAGTAGATTGCAGCTATGCTCATCAAGAAACCTGTGGAGATGTAATGCAGCTTTGCCATTTACACCCCTCTTGAAATATTTGGAAAAAAATTGGCTTTTGCTTGCGCATCTGTTGACATAAGGTGGTGCTCATGTCTGTTAGCACAGCTAAGGGAAGATACCAATGCATACTGAAACCAGAATAAATCTGGGTATTTGTTTCTTGGCAGCTAGACAGTTACAATAAACTTACTTTCCTAGCCAACTTCATTTCCACCGGGCCATCCAATTCACATTCCATTCAGTGCAGGAGTATTTGGTTTGTTAGTTGGCACTTTGCATGATTGTGGGGTTTGAAGAAACCATATTAGTATTTTAAAAGGATAAGTCACTAAAGCGTTTTAGTTGGGAATCCAAAGTAAATTCTTAAATTTCAGGCCAGAATAGTTGATTTAGAAAATTGTTCTTGCCTAAAATTTGAAATTCCCTTTGAACTCTCAACAATTCACATTTTAGTAAGTACTGTAACTGTGTCAATTTATAGTGTGGGGATATTTATGGGATAATAATAGTAACAGTGAGAATTGCCCACTAATTCAATTCTCAGATCCCAAATATCGTTATCGTGTTAAGTGAGAAGTATATCATATAAATAATATTCACAATTTTATAAAAATAGATTTTATTTTATAATAACAAATTAATTAATAATAATATGTAACATGCGTGACAATAATCAATGAATATCCAGTATAAAATGATATGCAATACAAAGAAATGGGTATTACGTTTCAATGGCTAAAACAGCATTTTCTGTCAAGACTTTTGACGATTTATGAGGTATCCTTACAGACTGAAAGGAAAACTTTTCACAGCGAAAAAGTTTCACTCAGAGAACAGAATTCTTCAGAGTGCAGCGTAAGGTCGTAAAGTTTAGCTGACAGTTAGAATAACCCTTTCAATGCTGGCTAGATCTCCTAGGTAATTAAGATCTATTCTTATGTAATTTTTAAATAAAATAACATTTAAACCAGTTCATTAGTCATTTCCTGGAACCATCCAATAAGAGAATCTACCATATTTTATGAGCAGAGTTTGTTTTTAATTTGTCTAAAAGATATCTTATCTTAATTTAGAGCAAATCAATACACCTGGATAAAAACAGCGGTATGCTAACACGTGATAATATCACCTTAATATATAATTATTCTTAATTCCACCTGCAGAATGGAATGTTTATAACTATATATTCTTTAGTTAACTAAGATTTCTTAATATGGAAATCTGACCGTGCTTTATCCAGTCATATATAATGCTATTAATACATTTTAATTAATTTAATTAATTAAATGAAACCAGTATAATTACCAGTTGAGTAGATATTTCATCCGATTGGTAGTCTCAGGAACTTATTTGGATGTCTCTCTGCATGGAGGTTGGAGTCCCCAAACTTCCAATTCCTCTCTCCTCTTTTCCTTTCTCCTTTGCATCTCTTGCATACCCTGCATATCTCTATCTTCCCTTTGTCTTAACTTTTAAAGGGCCAGACTCTCTGTACGTCATCAGTTGATAACCCAATAGAAGCACTAGAGGTGTGGTTATCTTCCAGATCGCAATTTAGTTATTTGGTCTATAGAGGACAGTCTTGTCCCACTAAACATACCTATCCAGGAAAGAGTTAACTTTTCCTGGTGGCTATTTTGACGTCATTTTGCTTATCTCAAATGACCACTATAACTTACGTATCCTTCACAGATCAAAGGGTTTTTTTAAGTTTTGTCCAGGCTATGTGTCTGGCAAATCTGTGTTTTTTCTGATATAGCAGATCATGAACTAAGTTTACCCTTTTCCATACAATGGTATATATATATATATATATATATATATATATATATATCTTCTCTGTCACAATTGTCTGGGTTTAGAATTGATTATATTCTTCTTATCACTTGTTTATACTATGCTATGCATTTCTTAGCTCTGGCAAAGTGGCTAGTCTTACAGAAAGAAATCTTGTGTCTTTTTGTTAACTTGAAAATAACAAAATGGAGTCTGGTCTGTTCAGAGTGACTCAGAATATACACTTTTAATTTCTATCATAGCACAAAATGTCTGCCGATATAAATACCCTGACAATAGCTAGATGACAGTTTCATGAACTATAATGGCCACTTTTTTGTCATAAATCTTGGTGTACGCAACAAAGCAAGTACAGGGGCACTCAGACATTTCTCTCAAATATTTGGTGCAGTCCATTCTTAACCTGTGGGTCTGGACCCATACTATTTTAGTTGGTACTTGTTGAATGGAACCCACTCATCATATGTATCTGGCCCCATACAGTAGCCTAAAATGTTATTTACTGTAGTGGCATTTCCTTCCATGGTGCAATGGAGATCCCCTCTTTAAGAATCTATTTAAGGTGCATTGCTAATTGTAAACTCCAGACCCATAGGGCACTTCACACATTGCAAATCAGCAAGCTTAAGGCTGTCCCCTTTTGTTTTGTTTTAATTTTACAAAAAGTACAGATTTATATAGAAATATTATCTTTTATAAATTAACCTTATTACACCCTCCCTGCTTGTCAATCAGAGAACTGATCTTGTTACTTCCTGCTTATTCAGTGGAGCTAAACTCAAGATTCAAGCAGTTGCTCCAAGCACCTACCTTACAAAGACTTCTCATTGAACTGCTGCATAGGTAAGTGTGTTATTGGACAACCATTGGAAGTCTGGGATTGGTTTGAAAGTAAGTGCTTGCAAAGACTTCAGATGAGAGCTGCAGCTTTTCTAAGCTGTTTTTAGATATATCTCCAATTAAAACATGCATAATTTAAATGCCTGCATGTTTTAATTGTGGGTATATCTACTAAACATTGAATTGTATTTGGGCAGTGGAGTATTCCTTTAACTCAGATTACATAGCACTTCAAGAATGGGTCACAGTGTTAATTTCCCAATTGAAGAAGGGGGCACCAGTTAATGTAAACAATTACACCATCAACAAAGAAACATTCCAATGTTAGAAATGCATTGATGTTGCCAGATGTGGAGTCACACCTCTGACAGCAAAGGGATTACACATTGTATGTGTAGCATTTCAGGACAACTCCAGACACCATTACTGCTTCAAATCACTGAAGTGGTCATGTAGCTTTGAGTAACCCTATAAATATCTGCTGTTTAATTTCCTTTATCAGTGGTGTAGAATTCCTGTCACTTGATGGTATGAAGTTGCGGGTTCGAACTGGCAGCAGTTGTTGGGTTTTTTTTGTTTGTTTTTTGGCCTTCCATCGTATATGGCAGGGGCAGAGATTGTGATCTGCCCCTCCGCCTTTTGCAGATCACAGTAATTGCTCACTTGTGCTCAGTCACTCACTAAGCTCAGCTTCCAGTATTGCCAGCCTGCACTCTGACACATTGTGTGCCACGCCTATTACGGGGATCACCAGGTAGTTTTTAGCCACCCACCCCATATTCCATCCATTACTGGCTAAAAAAGAACCTTAACGAGCAGCTATTCATTTTGTCCAACTATTTTACTAGAAATACCTGCCCACTAAAGCAGCTTGCTTGTTATGTTAGATTATGATGGTTCAGAGGAGTACTGCTACTACGGTAAAATATTTCATGGTGGGGACACTCTTTTCACTGTAACCTGTAAAGAGCCTTTACCAAGGATACGATAGATTAAAGGGATACTATTGTCACCAGAAGAACAAGTTGTTCTGGTGTCTACTGCCTGTCCCTGCAGGCTTTTTAATGTAAACACTGCCTTTTCTGAAAAATGACGGGTTTTACATTGCAGCCAAAAGAACACCTGTATTGACAGTCACTCAGACAGCCACAAGAGGTGCTTCCTGGTTCAATGCTGCACTAAGTGAGATGAGATGGAATGCACAAACCACGCATGCGCAATAGCCTCCCTATGCTCTTCTATGGGGAAGCATTGGATTAGCTGAGATTGTTAGTTTTGATGATCTCAGTCAAGGAGGCAAATCGGGGGCAGAACCAACCTCTGCGAGATCAGCATGGCATTTGCATAAAGGAAAGTGTGTGTGTGTGTGTTTTTTTTTTTTTATATACCTTTTGAACGGGGCAAGAGGGCTGGGTATCTAAAATGTGTCTTTAACAATATTGTGTCAAGAATACACGTTTGTATTTCTGAGAGTATTCCTTTAACCCCTTAAGGATACATGACATGGGTGACATGTCATGATTCCCTTTTATTGCAGAAGTTTGGCCCTTAAGGGGTTAAACTCCTAGTCCTGCAGTGGTAGGCTCACACAACTCACTCTTCCCTTGGTGTTTACCTCCTGATTCACATACTCTTTATGTGGGTTCTGAAGTATAGTGCTATTACAACAAAGGCAATCTGAGTATTTCATAAAGATTTTATCTTTATGAATTACTCTTTTTGGAGGTCGGATGGTGGTGGCAGAGCACCTTTAAATTAGATAAATTTAGCTACAAATCTGCATATTTTTCTAGTAAGGCATTGAGTAATGACATTTAAAGGTTTTGATGGCAAAGTGGGAGGGAAAAAAAATTAAGTGTACCTTGGCAATTTAGCTCTCTTTGAAATGCTCATTGGTTGAAAAAGGTTGGGAATAATGACTGAAATTCCAGCTGAAGTGTTAAAATGACATGCCATTGGTGTTTGTTTAAAAAAAAAATAAAAAAATTCTTTACTTTTAGAGGCATGTGTATTGGAGACTTTAAAAAAATATTTTTTTATAAATCTAACCAATAAGGCATCGATTTTAATATTTTGTTTTTGATATATTGATATTTTTTTTAAGTCAGGCCTCGATTTTTAATATTGAATACGCTTTTCAAGTGACTTTAAGGGACACTATAGTCACCCAGACCACTTCAGCTCAATGAAGTGGTCTGGGTCCAGGTCCCCCCGGTTTTAACCCTTCAGATGTAAACATAGCAGTTTCAGAGAAACTGCTATGTTTACATTGCAGGGTTAATACAGCCTCTAGTGGCTTTCTTCCTGACAGCCGCTAGAGGCGTTTCTGCGACGCTGGATGCAAATTTCACATCCAGCGTGCAGAACGTCCATAGGAAAGCATTGAGAAATGCTTTCCTATGGACTGTTTCAATGCGCGCGCGACTCTTGCTGCGCATGTGCAATCCGCGGGGGAGGAGAGGTCACCAGGATAAAGGTAAGTGGCTGAAGGGGTTTTATCTGAGGGTGGGGGTCCCAAGGATGATATAATTTCAGGAAAATTTGTTTGTTTTCCTGACACTATAGTGATCCTTAAATATTTTTTGAACTACTTTTTTTTTTATTTTATTTTTATTTATTTTTTTACAAGTTTGTTTTTAAAATATCAAAAGAATTATCTTATAAAAAAAATATTGATATGTAAAAAAATAAATTAGGAAATATTTTTCATAATATTAAATCATTTTACTTGTTTATCTTAAAATATTAAATCATGTGGACGGCTTATCCAGAAATCTTCAATTAAAGCCTTTGGTAGATATAGTTATTCTCTAGATAAAGTGTATACCCAGGCTGCAATATACTCAGTACAGCTAGCAGAGTAACATAAGTGCACTAATATACAATCAACTTGAAAGAGGTGAAGAAAACAATGTCTGTATAGCCAGTGTATAAGATCCTTTTTTTAACTGAAAAGGCTCCCATATGGTTTTATTTTAGTGCTAGGACAGTGCAACTTCACTTTCATTTTATGTGTTTTTAAGTATCCCCATTATTATTTCACTAGTCTCCTTGATATGGTTTCTATATAATCAATAAAATGGAATATATACTGTATTTTGAGGTTTAAACACCTCCTTGTAGTGTGTTACAAATAGATGTCTATCTTGTCAAGAGATTGCAAATAATTTTCTGTGCAAATATGCTAATTAGATTTTCTTAATGAAAATAGCAACTACAACACTAAATGTGTAATTCTTCCACATACAGAATATAGTGTAAATCCTCTTATACTTTAGTGTAATGGGTTAAGGGTGATTATCATACAAACATAGAGCCTGCATACTGGCTCAGTATAGCTGCTTAGTGTGGTTAAAGGACCACTAGAGGCACCCAGGCTACTTCAGCTCAATGAAGTGGTCTGGGTGCCAGGTCCCTCTAATTTTGTTTCACCGAGGGTTAATCCCGCCTCTAGTGGCTGTCTCACTGACAACCGCTAGAGGCGCTTCCGCGATTCTCACTGTGAAAATCAGACGCTGGACGTCCATAGGACAGCATTGAGTAATGCTTTCTTACGGGCGGTTTGAAAGCGCGCACGGCTCTTGCCGCGCATTCAGAGCTGCTGTTGGCAGAGGGAGGAGCGTTCCCCAGCGCCGAGGGAGCCCTGAGGGTGGGGGGGACCTAATGACCCTATAGTGTCAGGAAAACGAGAAGTGCTGCAGCCCAGATGGTTTAAACAAGAACTTTATTTAACAGTATCTAAAAACAAAACAATTTGTAAAAATGCTGTTAAATACCTAATGGTATATTAGAGTCCATTATTAGTAGTCCAGAGTGTATATATGTATGTGTATACATATATATATATTTTTTAACTCTTTGTAGAGTTTAAACTTTATCCCCTACCTGCTCTGAAAGGGTGCTGCTCTTTGGGAGCAGGAAGCTGCTTCCTGTTAGACCAGGTAGAGGGACAGAAAAATCATCTACTGTGTCTTGTGAGGTAACACACGAGAAGGGAAGAACAAGTGACACAAGGGTTTGATGAAAAGAGTGTAAAGGCGTGCAGGAGCCTTTTTTTTTTTTTTACTTTTGTTGCAAATCTTATATTCTGAAATATAGTAATACACATTTTCACACATGATATCTATAGACTTTTTTTGAAGTTGGATCGATTTACCGCAGCAATGGTTAGTATGATGTTTTCTCAAAAGATGTTACCTTCATGACTCTAGCATCAACATTTAACTTGGGACAGTCAAACATAATGGCCAAGGCACGGTTGTCATTTATGGAAAACAAGACCATTTTTAAAGTGGTATTTCAAATTTGAGAATGGAGATGTAAGTTTGCAACAGAACCTACAACACACCTGACAATATCCCAAATTCGAGATAAGTTTGGAACCCATGGTACCGTGTGTGTGTTCACAAAAAAATTTAAACAGCATGTGCAGCAATCCCACTGGAAACTTGGGGCAATGTTGCCTAGGCAGCAGCTCTCTGTACTAAGTGTATGGATGCTAAAGGCAAGCACTTTGAGCACCTCTAGTAATTGTAGAGATCAAAGGTAACTTGCATTCATCTACTGATGTCTGAATGAATTTAAAATATTTAGACAGGTTTTTCTTTTGCTGAAGTGCATATATATTTTTCTGGCTAGCTCTGTATTTTAAAGGGATGCAATAGTCACCAGAACCACTTCAGCAGTGATGGCTAACCTTGACACCATACTTTTTCTGGACTAAGTTTTCCATGATGCTCAGCTAGCTTTTAGAGTCTAAAAGCTAGCTGAGCATCATGGGAAATGTAGTCCAGAAACAATTTTTGGTGTCAAGGTTAGCCATCACTGCACTACAGCTTAATGTCTATGGCAAGTTTTCCTGCAATTTGAGCACTGTAAACACTGCCTTTTCAGAAAAAGGCATTGGTTGCATTGCTGCCCAGTAATACCTCTAGGGCAGTCACTCAGATGGCCACTAAAGCAGCTTCCTATCCCGATACAGCACAATGTGCAGCACTTACTTTCTACACGCTTTGTATAGAGATGCATTGATTCAACAAACCTACATTCTTGACACTATAGTGACACATATCTTGACACCTTTTATTTATTTTTATATATATATATATATATCTCTATCTATCTCAACCATATTTTTGAGTAATGATTGATCTTTACAAGTAGTTGCTATGTGATGCTAAAAAGCATGTCCTCTTAATTAAATATATATGCAACTTTGGCATCTTTAGAAATGCTGTATGAACTCATAGACAGAAATTAGGCACACATTGTGCTTGGAGTTGGAAATGACATAAGCCAGCATATGTTTGTGTTCCTGACCCTATAGTGATCCTTTAAATGTTTGCTATCAGGGTGGATTTGATTTAAATGAAGTCTAGTTACGTTATTATTTTTAAATGAAGACAAATTTTTGCTGGTGGTTATGTTTTTAATTTTTGCAACTCTATGATTTCATATTTAGATTAATAACCTCACATTAGTTGAACAGTTATTTCAAAACTGAATTTGAAATCTAATGTTGGAAATACATAGATAATAATGAAATCATTGTAACTTGCACATCCAATTGAAATATGTAATCACTTAAATTTTGAGAGCAATGTAAATTGTTTTCATTAACAAAAATAATGTTTTATAACATACATATTTTTGTATTTGTTTAAACATCAATGTTTAAGTGAAGTGACTATACAAAATATATATTAAAAAAACATAAAACTTCGTCCATGTCAAGCACGGCGATCGCGGTTGGGGGGACTCCCAGGGAGCCCCCCCGCGGCACGTCCGACCCCCTGGAAGCCCCCCCAGCCATGTGAGAGTGAGGTCCTTGCGAGGACCTCACAATCACATGGCCGGGATAGCTGCCTCCTGCATTGCCAGCAAGGGGGCTGCCTGTAATGACAGGTGGTCCCCCTGCTGGCTGAAAATAAAAATTAAATAAAAAAAAGTTAAAAGTGGAAAAAAATTAAAATATATATACTTAGATCATATATATATAAAATGCAAAAAACGAGAGCACTCACTGGATTTGATACATAAATACTTATATTAAATGAACATACCAATCGACGTTTCGACCGTCTCGCGGTCTTTATCAATCTTGATAAAGACCGCGAGACGGTCGAAACGTCGATTGGTATGTTCATTTAATATAAGTATTTATGTATCAAATCCAGTGAGTGCTCTCGTTTTTTGCATTTTATATACTCGTTTGGAGAAGCACCTTGGTGTTTAGAATTGATTAACACTTTGTGGGCAGAGTGCCAGATTTTGGATGTGTGTATGTATATGTATATATATAATATTATATTATATTATCAAATTACACGTAGACTGATATTGATTAAATATATATTATTGTGAAAAAAATATGTAAATACGTTAAAAAATAAAATAAAAAAATAAAAAAAAATATATAGATGTGTTATTTCGTTCTAACTGTTTTGTGATATTAATATATATATATTTATATCAAAATACACGTAGAATGAAATATATATATATATATATATATATATATATATATATATATTCACATACATATATTAATTCTACATATATATATATATTTATGTAATATTTTTACATAATTAGGTATCTTAATTACAATTAGCGGGACCTGCCTGACAACCCATGCCGAAAGTAAAGGGAATTTAATTTGCTAGCACTATATTTAACCCTATAACTTTCCAAGACACCAAAAAACCTGTACGTGGAGGGTACTGTTCTACTCGGGGGACTTCGCTGAACACAAATATTAGTGTTTCAAAACAGTAAAATGTATTACAACGATATCATCGCCAGTAAAAGTGACGTTTTTTGCATTTTTCACGCACAAACAGCATTTACACCGACGATATTATTCCTGCGATACTTTTTACTGTTTTGAAACACAAATATTTGTGTTCAGCGAAGTCTCCCGAGTACAACAGTACCCCTCATGTACAGGTTTTATGGTGTTTTCAAAAGTTACAGCTTCAAATATAAGGCGTGTTTCATTTTTTTCACATTAAATTTGACAGATTGGGTACGTTGCCTTTGAGACCCTATGGTAGCCCAAGAATGAAAATTACCCCTATGATGGCATACCATTTGCAATAGTAGACAACCCAAGGTATTGCAAACGGGGTATGTCCAGTCTTTTTTAGTAGCCACTTAGTCACAAACACTGGCCAAAATTGGCGTTTTTGCATTTTTCACACAAACAAATACTAACGCTAACTTTGGCCAGTGTTTGTGACCAAATGGCTACTAAAAAAGACTAGACATACCCCATTTGCAATACCTTGGGTTGTCTACTATTGCAAATGGTATGCCATTATGGGTGTAAATTTAATTGGGCTACTATAAAGTCCCAAAGGCAACGTAACCAATCTGGCGAATTTCAATTTCAAATGTAACGTGCTATATTTGACCCTGTAACTTCCCAAAACGCCATAAAACCTGTACATAAGGGTTACTGGTTTACATGTGAGACTTTGCTTAATACAAATATGTGTATTTTATTGCAGTAAAAGCAAACAGTATTATGACATTGGCAGTTAAAATGTCGTGTAGAACTAAAATAATCTTATTTTCTCCCATTTTTTTCATATTAAATTGTTTCATAGCTAAATATTTGATATTAAATGAAAGCCCTGTTTCCTCTGAATAAAATGATATATATAATAAGGGTGGGTGCATTTAATATGAAAGAGTTGAATTACGGGTTGGATAGACATGTAGCGCAAATGCCAGGTTTTGTTTACATTCTGTTTCGTTCACAATGTGTACATTTGGCTCCGTCCTTAAGGGGTTAAAGTAAGCTGTTCATTGTGTGTACATAGATTTGCAGAATAACAATAGGAATACTTTTTTTATTTATTTTTTTTAATTTTTTTTTTTTGTGTGTGTGTGTTTTTAAATGAATTTTGAATGTCTATTTAAAAACATTTTTGCTGTGTGTTCCTCTGCAGACAAGTTCAACTAATATGGATTAATGCAATTAATTTACCAATAATGTAAATACTGGCTGAATACACAGCTTCATGTTACTTAGCTAATCCATATTTCATGCTAAAGAACCTTTGGACTCTATTATTTACCCTAAATAGAAAACTATATTTAGATAGATTTTTCATTTAAAAGCATTGTTTTGTTTTTCAAAAATTCAAATTTAACCCCTTAAGGACCGAGGACGGTTCAGGACCGTCATCGGCATTTTTGCCTTGAGGACCGATGACGGTCCTGAACCGTCCAAACGGTCTGGGGCTACTTACCTGATCGCCGTCGTTCCCCCGGCGGCGATCAGTGTTCCTCCGGTTATGGGGAGACTGCCTGCAGCCCAGACAGTCTCCCCACGGCAGATTAGGACCCCTGTGGCCATGTGATCGCTTAACACAGCGATCACATGGTCACAATAGGTGTCCATAGTGCTGCCTGCAGGGGGACTGTCTGTGCTGACAGGCAGTCTCCCTGCATGTGTAAAATCATTAAAAAAAAATAAAGTTAATGGTAATAAAAAAAAAATTAATAATTATATATGTATAAATATGATATATAGACATATATTATATCTATATAATATATGTCTATATATCATATATATAATACCATACTAAGTGTATTTTTATATTAATATGTACTTATATTAAAATAAAAATACACTTATAATTAAATTACACACGTATATATATAATATATATAATAACTATATATATTGTATATATATATTATTATAAAATATAAATAATAAGTAATTTAAATTAAATAATTTTTTAAAAATAATAATAAAAAAATTTAAAAAAATTATATAGCTATATGAAATTTTATTCTAACTGTATTTTAAAATTAATATATATATATATTTATATCCAAATACACTTAGAATGAATTTGTATATATATCTATGTATATAAAAATAAATAAAAATAATACGAAATATACATATGTCCATATACAAAATTACATAAATAATTATATAAATATACACGTAGACTTCAAATATATAAATATGCATATATATTTAAATTCTCATCGCGTATTTATAATATTTTATAATTCAGTAATTTTATTGATTGCAATTTGAGGACCTGCCTGCCAACCCAGGCGAAATTCCAGAGAATTTAATTAGCTAACTTTTGTATTTTACCTATGTACGTTCTACGACACCTAAACCTGTACATAGGGGTACTGTTTTACTCGGAGACTTAGCTGAACACAAATATTAGTGATTCACAACAGTAAAACATATCACAGCGATGATATTTGAAAGTTACTTTTTTGCATTTTCACAAACAGCACTTTTACTGATGATATAATTGTTGTGATACGTTTTCCAGTTTTACTAATATTTGTGTTCAGCGATGTCTCCGAGTAAAACATTTACCCCCCATGCTGGGATTTTATAGCATTTTTGAACGTTACAAGGTCAAATATATGGGTCAAATATTTTTACATTGAAAATGGCCAGGTTAGTTACGTTGCCTTTGAGAGCGTATGGTAGCCCAGGAATGAGAATTACCCCCATGATGGCATACCATTTGCAAAAGAAGACAACCCAAGGTTTTGCAAATGGGGTATGTCCAGTCTTTTTTAGTAGCCACTTAGTCACAAACACTGGCCAAAATTAGCATTCAATTTAGTTTTTTACTTTTTCACACACATACAAATATGATGCTTGCTGGCGGCCCGATGTTTTCGACTAAGTGGCTACTAAAAAAGACTGGACATACCCCATATTTAATACCCTGGGTTGTCTACTTTAAAAAAAATATGTACATGTGGGGTGTTATTCAGAGATTTATGACAGATAATAGTGTTACAATGTCACTATTGATAAATTTTAAAAATGTATGTTTTTAAACCGCAATATCCTACTTGTACCTATAGCCCTATAACATGCAAAAAAAAGCAAAAAAGCACGTAAACATAGGTATTTTTAAACTCAGGACAAAATTTTGAATCTATTTAGCAGTTTTTTTCATTCACTTTTGTAGATGAGTAAAAGATTTTTCAAGTAAAAGTCAAAAAACATGTATTTTTTTCAATTTTTCATCAGATTTTTGTATTTTTTTAAAATTAAAATACATGAGATTATATAAATAATGGTATGTAAAGAAAGCCCATTTTGTCCTGAAAAGAACAATATATAATTTGTATGGGAACAGTAAATGAGAAAGCGGAAAATTACAGCCAAACACAAACACCACAAAAGTGTAAAAATATTCCTGGTCGCAAATGTACAACATCGCAAAAACAGTCCAGTCCTTAAGGGGTTAAATAATCTTTATCTCCCCCTAATTGCAATATTACTTTTTAATTTTCTAAATGCATGCTACGTCTGGATATTTCTGTCACATTTGTTTTGTAGTGAATGGAAATTAAGTTTTTTGTCTCTGATATATTTCTCAGTGTTTTAAAACTGTTAATTACTGCCAAGTGTTTTGGACAGTTCTTTTTCCCATATCTTGTCTCTCCTTTACCAGTGATTAATTATAGTATCTTAGTTCCAAGGTGTGTCTGTGTCCTGTTATTTATGTGAACGTGGCAGCCAGAAACACATGCAGTTTGGTTTTATCAGCTGAGTCATTTTCACATGGAGGCAACTTGGTTGTTAGCTCACTTCCTTCTTTTCTGTCCATCTTTCTCATCTGAGATTTTTAATTCTAGTCTTTGCATCTACTGTTTTATTTGTGTTCTTTGCACAGTAAAACAATTTCTTTTCACATTCCATTTCTTCAGACAATGGATATCATTTGTTTTAAAAATGATCCTGTCAAACTTCTTTACATGAATAGCATATAGCAAACAAAAAAAATGCAAGCAATTTTGCACGCAATTCCTGAGTGTTTTTATATTTGCATGTATTTAAAAGATATTTTTAATCTTATTCTTTTACCTATCGATCACACATTGCATTGAGCAACCTGTGATGAAGAAATTGCCTGTTGCTACCTTTGAATGAATGTTCAGTTCACATTTTCCACAATTTTTACCTAGCTGCCCAACCATAAAACGAAAAAATAGTGCCGCTGGAAGGTGTGCATAATACCTCCCACCTATAAGCGACCTACTTGACACAAGTTGTGCTTCACCAGGGGAAAGCAATGTGTGCAGCCTCTAAATACATTGCTGCATCCATCTTACAGGTGAGGAGGTTAAATATAAATTTTAATCTCTACATATGCTAGGCATTTTCTCTACACAATGTAGTTTTACATGTATAACTACTTGAATATCAATTTGTGGACACATCCCTCATTTCTACTATTTGCTCTCTTAATCGATCTTTTTTTAAAAGGACACTTTGTGCCATGACACCTATGCTCGTTGCATAGAGTAGGGCTAGGCCACCTTTGGCACCATGGATGTGGACTACCTCTCCATAATACTCTTACAGCCATAATGTTGGCTTGGCAATGCATTAGGGGTGATGTAGTCATCAACATCCGGAGTGCCCTGTGTTGCCTAGCCCTGGCATAGAGTATGATGCACAATATGGCTGATGACTGTAGGTGTAAGGGTTCCCTCTTACATATTTACATAGCTGAAAAGAGACTTGCAGAGGAAAAAGAAAGGGGTGGTACCAGCGCTAAAAATTTCCCAGCCAGTGAACTATGTTCTAGATAACCAATAAAGCTGCTATCACACCTAGTTCTTATCTTACAAAAATAGAAACCCAAAAATCTTGAGGTGTAGCGCTAAATTTACAGGTAAAAGGTAGTAATAGGAAACTTGGATGTACAATAGTAATACCTTGAATATTCTTTAAGTCTTTATATTCACACTAGGGTATAAATTCTACAAGACATAAAAAACAGACAAACCAAACATAGTGCAGACTGCGTAATATAGTCCGTTATAAAATATTAGGAAGGGAACATTTCCCACTCACAATTTTAGGAGCTAATATGGAATAGCTCAATATCAGCGCTCTTGGGGTCCGTAAAGGCGACCCTCACCCTTCTTGTGTATAGGTATCCTTGATTTCCTATGAAAGTAGAAAACGTATATGGTGCAGTACCGTAATTCTTTAATGTGAGATAAATATAAAATATAATACTCACAAAATTAGAGCCATCCAGATCGGCTCTAATCCACACACCTGTGTAGTTAAGGACCACACACCTTCTTTGAAAAAATAGCAGGGGAAATGCCAATATATAATGTAAAAGAGTAGTAATTTTATTGTAACAATAAATGTATAAAATTTTATATAATATATAAAAAAAAAAACAATATCAAATTGGCATAAAATCCAAAATTCCAATAGTCTCAGTCTCTCCAGTACGCGTTTCGCCTTGCAGGCTTCCTCAGCTGGATATGGTGATTCAGACCTCTAATGGATCATCCCTGCTATATGTACCCCTCTAAGGGGTGAAATAATTGGTGTCCAGGCTTGTATTTTCGCGGGCAATCACCATAGAAACGGTGACGCCCTGCGTTTCAAGCCATTTCTGCTGTTTATTTCCGGGGTTTTTGCTCCATCGCGTCATTTCCGGTTTCGCCGATACATCACTTCCTTGCGTTCCACCGTGCAGTTCACCATTTATTTCCCCAGGGTTTCCGGATCGGCGATTTTTAAAGAAAGATACAAGTATAGATGGATTTAACACATGTATAAGATTAATAAGCATTCGTTTTCAAATGTAAATAAGCCTTATAATTGTACAATAAGGCTAATACTGATTAAATTACATTCTGAAACTTTCCACCTATCTTTTCTTTTATTTCTACTTATGACATGAATATATATTTATTTTAATTTTATTTTTATTAAAAAAGGTTACCACCTTTAAAAACAAATAAAAAAAAATATATTCATGTCATAAGTAGAAATAAAAGACAAGATAGGTGGAAAGTTTCAGAATGTAATTTAATCAGTGGGAAATTTTCCCTTCCTAATATTTTATAATGGACTATATTACGCAGTCTGCACTATGTTTGGTTTGTCTGTTTATGTCTTGTAGAATTTATACCCTAGTGTGAATATAAAGACTTAAAGAATATTCAAGGTATTACTATTGTACATCAAGTTTCCTATTACTACCTTATACTTGTAAATATAGCGCTACACCTCAAGATTTTTGGGAAAAGAGACTTGCGTCCATCAAGTTCAGCCTTCCTCACATAAGTTTTTACTGTTGATCCAAAAGAAGGCAAAAAACCTAGTCTAAAGCGCTTCCAATTATTCAAACAATTCCTACTTGACTCCAAAATGGCAGTAAGATGTCTCCTTGGATCAAGCAGCTATTACCCCACTAATTAGAAATTATATCCCTGTATGTTATGTTTTTGCAAGTATTTATCCAATTGCAGTTTAAACATCTGTATGGACTCTGATAAAGCCACCTCTTCAGGCAGAGAATTCCATATCTTTATTGCTCTTACTGTAAAAAAAGCCTTATTTTAGTCTTAGGTGAAATCTCCTTTATTCCAACCCAAATGTATGACCTCGTGTCCTATGTATAGCCTTGTTTATGAATAGATTTCCAGATAATGGTTTGTACTGGCCCCGAATATATTTGTATAATGTTATCATATCCTCTCTGAGGCGCCATTTTTCCAAACTAAAGAAATTTATATTTTCTTACATTTCTTCGTAACTAAAATGCTCCATTCCTTTTATCAATTTTGTAGCTTGTCTCTGCACATTTTCTAGTGCCATGATATCCTTCTTTAGAACATGTGCCCAAAATTGCACAGCATATTCAAGGTGTGGCCGAATTATAAAGAGGCAAAATTATATTTTCATCCCGAGAATTTATTTCCCTATTTAAACATGTCAAAACATTTTTGGCCTTAGCAACTGCAGATCGACATTGCATATTGCTGCCAAGTTTGTTGTCTATAACAATTCCCAAATCCTTCTTGTGTGTGGTTATCCCTAATTCACTACTATTTAGGGTGTAAGTTACTTGTGCATTCTTGACCCCTCAGTGAATAACTTTGCATTTCTCTACATTAAATCTCACCTGCCATTTTTAGTGCCCAGTCCCCCCAATCTATCCAAATTCATCAGCAGCAAAGCAATATCCTGCTCTCATTTTATTACTTTACAGTTTTGTGTCATCTGTACACACTGAAACATGGCTTTCAATGCCTATTTCAAGATCATTTATAAATGTTAAATAGAAGCGGTCCCAAAACAGAACCCTGAGGGACACCACTTACCATTTTTGTCCAGCCTGAAAATTTACCATTAATGACAACTCATTGTACTCTATCCTTAAGCCAGTGTTCTACCCAAGAACAAGAATAATCATCTACACCAATTTCTTTTAGTTTGAAGACTAAAAGGCAAAATCCAAGTACAGTATATACTCGAGTATAAGTCTAGTTTTTCAGCACATTTTTTGTGCCTAAAAACCCCCACTCGACTTATACTCGAGTCACTGTCTGTATTATGGCAACTTAGAGAGCCGCGGCCGTCAGAGCCATGGCAATGATCCGCGCTGCAACCAGACCGCAAGACTTACAGTGGAGCTGACCGGAACGGAGGAGAAGGGAGCTGACAGGAGCTGCAGGAAAGGTAAGTAAATGCTTCCTGCCGCCCCCCCCTTCACAGCCCATGCCAGTAGCCCCCCTCCCTGACCAGTTAACAAGCAGGGAGGGGTGACAAAAAAATTAAAATAATAAAAAAATATTAAAATAAAATAAAAATTTAAATAATAAAAATGCCCTCCCCCCACCTAGTTCACACACACTACACAAACACACACTCTGCATTATATACACAGTGTGTGTATATAATGCAGAGTGTGTGTTTGTATGAGTGTGTGTGTGTGTATATAATTATAAAAATCACAGAATTTCATAGCCCCAAGTTTTACCCTCGACTTATCCACGAGGCATAGCATATTTCACAATTGTTGGTCACAAAACTGGACTCGACTTATACATGAGATCGACTTATACACGAGTATATACGGTAGATCACATCCACTGCAACACCCTGATCTATTCTTCTACTTCCTTCTTCGTAGAATGCAATTCGGCTAGTTTGACATGACCTATGTTTCATAAAACCATGTTGAGTATTGCCAATAACAAAGTTCTTACCAATGAATTCCTGAATATTATCCGTTAATAGCCCTTCAAATATTTTCCCAGTCACAGAAGTTAAGCTCACTGGTCTATGTAATGGACCGTTTCTCTCACAAGAGGATAAAAACCGTTTAGGCGATAATCCCCTTTCCCATAGACCAGCAGCTACTGCAAGCACCGAACTGCAAACTGTACGAATTCACCAACTCCCGAACTGGAAACACACGAACACTGGAATCAGCCGAACAGGAAAAGCATACAATCCGCTTACACTCCTGGCAGTCAGCATACAATCCAATTCCCCCCCAAAAACGAGACGACACATCGGTTTGAGGGTCAAGCAGAATCTCTCTGTACTGTCACATACAGTCTCTTTTATTCCCAATCCACAAACATAGTACAGCCCACAGGGCGTTACAAAACAACAAATCAATCCGTACAATACACCCAGACACTCCCACACAAAATCCTCCCCTCTGCAGGTGATATGATTACTGAACACAATGGGTAATCTCATTATCACCGGCAGAGGAATACAGTTTTTACACAATATTTATAACTTCTAAAATATACATGTCACAAACATAAAACATACATTTTCATAATCAATCCATTCAGGGGAACAACATATTTAAAAAATGGCACGAATCAGACCAGGGGTTCAAAAGTTAAGGGAAAGTCCTTTGTGACTAAATGAAGCATGGCTTTCCGGCCCAAACCAGTTTCAGAGTCTTCTATCCTGGAGAGTAATTCAATTATCTCCCAGGACAGACACAAGACTCCATTAAGCACATGGTTGCAAAAAGACACAAAACACTTTAAAATACATAGTCACCTTTTACACATAACACACAGACATTTCACATATCCCCAGATAGCTGGGATCTGAGCGCACATTATTAGATGAATGGCACTCAGATCACACAAATAAGCCTTTCTGCAGGGGAAATAAACGGTTTAACCTGAGGGCCATAGTCCAAAGGGAGCAGGCGAGCAACCAGGCTTCTCCAGTTCACAGTGGCGAGGTTGGTTTCGCCACAGTCTATAATTCCCAGGCATGGATTTTGAACCATTTTTAAAATATAGTAACATAGACTACGAACATAGAATAAATATTACTTCCTGCCTTGCTATCCAGGAGCTGTTCAACTTGTTTGTATGTGCTTAACACTTCTATCATATCCTTTTTTTCTGGAGAGGTCTTTCTTCTGCAGGGGCTGTCTGCTTCTGCAGATTGCATGTGCAAGTGTGATAGTTTTAAAAACTTTGTCAATAGGTTCACCCCCACCCACCACTCATAGGTACGGGCTGGGGAGGGACCCATTATTATTTAAGGCACCCAACTGCCGGCAAAGTCAATCAAGGCATATGAATCTATCTATGGGGTAAACATATGTTGTGTGTTTTTTTTTTTTTTATCTACACTGAACAACATTATAAACGCAACACTTTTTGTTTTTGCCCCCATTTTTCATGAGCTGAACTCAAAGATTTTTTTTTTTTCTATGTAAACAAAAGGCCTATTTCTCTCAAATATTGTTCACATTTCTGTCTAAATCTGTTAGTGAGCACTTCTCCTTTGCTGAGATAATACATCCACCTCACAGGTGTGGCATATCAAGATGCTGATTAGACAGCATGATTATTTCACAGGTGTGCCTTTGTCTGGCCACAGTAAAAGGCCACTCTAAAATGTGCAGTTTTATCACACAGCGCAATGTCACAGATGTCGCAAGTTTTGAGGCTGTGTGCAATTGTCATGCTGACTGCAGGAATGTGCACCAGAGCTGTTGCCTGTGAATTGAATGTTAATTTCTCTACCATAAGCCATCTCCAAAGGCGTTTCAGAGAATTTGGCAGTACATCCAACCGACCTCACAACCACAGACCACGTGTAACCACACCAGCCCAGGACCTCCACATCCAGCATCTTCACCTCCAATATCGTCTGAGACCAGCCACCCGGACAGCTGCTGCAACAATCTGTTTGCAAAACCAAAGAATTTGTGCACAAACTGTCAGAAACCGTCTCTGGAAGCTCATCTGCATGCTTGTCGTCCTCATCAGGATCTCGACCTCGCATTCGATGGCATCTGGCACTTTGGAGAGGTGTTCTCTTAACAGATGAATCCGGTTGTCCCTGTACATGGCAGATGGCGTGTATGGTGTCGTGTGGGTGAGCGGTTTGCTGATGTCAACGTTGTGGATCAAGTGGCCCATGATGGCGGTGGGGTTATGGTATGGGCAGACATATGTTATGGACAACGAACACAGGTGCATTTTAAATGCACAGATATACTGTGATGAGATCCTCAGGACCATTGTTGTGCCATTCATCCATGACCATCACCTCATGTTGCAGCATGATAATGCAAGGATCTGTACACAATTCCTAGAAGCTAAAAAAACATCCCAGTTCTTGCATGGCCAGCAAGCTCACCGGACATGTCACCCATTGAGCATATCTGGGAAGCTCTGGATCGGTGTATTCGACAGCGTGTCCAAGGTCCTGCGAATAACCAGCAACTTCGCACAGAACTTGAAGAGGAGTGGACCAACATTCCACAGACCACAATCAACAACTTGATCAATTCTGTGCCCCCCCCCATACAGTAAAACTGCAAATTTTAGAGTGGCCTTTTATTGTGGCCAACCTAAGGCACACCTGTGCAATAATCATGCTGTCTAATCAGCATCTTGATATGCCACCCTGTGAGGTGGATGGATTATCTTGGCAAAGGAGAAGTGCTCACTAACACAAATTTAGACATCTTTGTGAACAATATTTGAGTGTAATAGGCCTTTTGTGTACATAGAAGTCTTAGATCTGGGGGGCGGAGCCTGAACTGCAAGCTCAAGTCGCATGTTGGAGGGGCTCCCAATACTGATTATAGGAAAAATACTCACTGCCTCAAAGCCTACAAAGATGCCGGGGTACCCAACCAAGTTAGGAGCACCCTGGTGAATCGCCCAATAACAGACACGAGTGTTTCCTGCAATCGTGAACCTGAGGTGGCACGCTGCGGCCTGCGGTGGATGAATGCAGTGTGTGTGTATATATAATGAATGCAGTGTGTGTGTATAATGAATGCAGTGTGTGTATATAATGAATGCAGTGTGTGTATATAATGAATGCAGTGTGTGTATATAATGAATGCAGTGTGTGTATATAATGAATGCAGTGTGTGTGTGTGTGTATATAATGAATGCAGTGTGTGTGTGTGTATATAATGAATGCAGTGTGTGTGTGTGTGTGTGTGTGTGTATATAACGAATGCAGTGTGTGTGTAAACCGGGTGAGGGAGGGCATTTTTATTTTATTTTTTTATTTTTTATTATTTTAATTTTTTAAAATATTATTTAAATTATTTTAACATTTTTGTTATCCCCCCTCCCTGCTTGTTGCCTGGCCAGGGAGGGGGGCTGTAACATTCCCTGGTGGTCCAGTGGATGGGCTGTGCAGTGGGGGCTGGCCGCGAGCTCTTGCTTACCTTTGTAGCAACTCCGTGCAGCTCCCCAGTTCAGCTCACAGTGTAAGTCTCGCGGTCTGTGTGCTGCGCGGAGCGTTGCCACGGTAATCCGTGGCAACGCTTTGACGGCCGCGGGTGCCGCAAGACTTTTACTGTGAGCTGAACTGGGGAGCTGCAGGGAGCTGACTGGAGCTGCTACAAAGGTAAGTAAGAACTCGCGGCCAGCCCCCAACAGGACCGCCGGGCTTGTAATGAGCACGGCGGTCCTGGTCTGTATTATGGCAATGTAAGTTGCAATAATATAGACCTTGACTAGAGTATAAGCCGAGTGGGGCTTTTTCAGCACAAAAAATGTACTGAAAAACTCTGATTATACTAGAGTATATACGGAAGTTGATGTAGGGGAAGGACAAAAAGAAATATGGGAAAATTTTGCAAATGACACATCAGTATTAAAGCGGCACTGTCATGGCTGAATCCCGTTTTTTTTTTTTAGTGAGACTTTTACTAGTTATATTGACTTAGGACTATTGTACATGCTATTATTACTAATTTTATTATTACATTTTAATATCTACCTCTTGGCGCAGCCCTTCTTATGGTTTTTGTTTTATCTTCAGAGGGTTTCTCTTTTTTGGGCCGCTGCCTACATTCTATTATTTATTAGCACCTACCCTTACTCTCTTTCTCTATATCTAGGAGAGAGAGAGAGAGAGAGAGAGAGAGAGAAAATCTCTTTCCAATGTTTTAAGATATTCCATTTATCTTCAGTTTTTCAAAAGACATTTTGATCACTATTTTCCAAGGGCTCCCATACTTGAATGTTTGTCAAAAGATTAACATTGTTTGTTATAATGAAATCCATCCTTTCTAGTTTGCTGCTTCTACTAATTGTGACATGAAAGTGGAATTTAACAGGTTCAAAAACCTAAAGCGCTTTGCTAAACCACCATATCTGCAGAACTGCAAGGTTTTAACTTGCATGGTAAAAACTCGGTTAGGGTAGTTGAGGTTTTCAATGTATTGGTATGAATGTTCCTTTCAATTTAAGTCATTGTTTTGTTTTTTTGTTTTTTCCTTATGTGCAGGTGAATATGCAAAGTTTATTATTCACCAAACTTCTTCTCACTGATACTCTATATGTCATGGTTCAGACTTTCCATTTGTCTGTCACCTACTGGCGAGTAGAAATTCAGCCCCAGATGACATGGATCCACCAGGCTCGCAGTAGCTAGTAATTTTTAGACGTATCTGGTAGCATAAGAAATTACATGTTGACCTCTTGAGTTCTGAGTATCTGAGAAACTGTTTTAATGCAAACCTAAAACTTTGCAATGTTTACTGAATTTTAAAAGTGTGTGTGTGGAGCAGTATATGGATATCTGGAGGAAATGGATTATTAGGTGGGAAGTGCATAATGGATGGCAGTGGGCAAGAAATGTGAGGAGTTACATAAAATAAGCATCTGATATTGAGGGAGTCATATGAAGTATATTTCTAACATGTTCTACGTAAACTTTGTAGTTCTTTATATGTTTAACAATGAAAATGCCTGGTGCATGTTACTCTAGTGCTTTTGGCTAGTGATAATTTCAACCTGATGAGTGAGAATTCAGCCCTAGTGAGTGTTCCATGGATCCTAAAGGCTAGCATTGTTGAATATCTTTTAAGGCCTTAGCTAGTGTAGGACTCAAAATGTTAAGCCCGGATATAGGGGATGCTTCAAATAGCTAGCAGCAATATATTTCGGCAAGGAGGGGGTGCACAATGTGTCCTATTTCCCACTCTGGTTTTGGTAGCATTTTTCCCAGCAATTTTTAGTATTTTGTTTTGGCAGGGTTAGTTACTCAGACTTTAATGACAGGTCAGAAGTTGCTATTTTTGGAGTTACAATTCATTGCTCTGTGAGAAAGCAGACTTTTGCCTTAGAAAATTTAAGTGAGAAACGTTGCATTTTGAAATTTTACAATATGTATTTATTCCAAAATTGCTTTTAATGCTACGGACTGTTTGTATGCAAAATGCACCTATATATACAGGTTCGCATAGACATAAATGTGCTACTCTATTCAGTGTTATATCTATCAGGATGCAAACAAGGTATTTGCCCAGGGCAGCACTTTCCAGTGGGGGGGGCCACACTAAAAAATGCTGCTCCAAACGCCATGGGCACTCTGAATCTGCCTTTCATGAGGGGCATTTGAGCTGGCTTGTGGCTGCTCACTGTTGAACAAAAAAAAAAAACCCTAGTACCCGCCTCCCGAGCCGCCACCCGTGTCACGCGAGTGAGGGCTATTAAACTGAAGGGGGGGGGGAACCTAGAGCCCCCACCGCTGAGCGGCGGGTGTTATTTATGGCCCCCTGCTGCCGCTCAGGTGTGGGGGGCGGGGGGAGGACAACAGGTCCCTCCCTTATTGTTATTTATGGCCCCCACCCACCGCTTGGGAAGGAGGGGAGGGACGACGACAATAGGTGTGTGTGTCCCCCCTTATCGTTATTTAGGGCCCCCACCCGCTGCTGGGGGGCTCTAGGTCCCCCCTTTAGTTTAATAGCCCCCACTCGCGTGGCTCGGGAGGGGGGTACTAGGTTTTATTATTTTTTTGTGAGCGGCCACTGTTTAGTAGACATGCCCCCTACTCGTGGCATAGCAAGTAGGGGCGTTCGGGAGATTTTAATCTCCTCTCATATTGACCCTATAGAGTGAGGGAGGAAATGGGGGACTTAGGAAGTGGCGGGGAGCGCTCTACTTTTACATTTTACAAGGAGGGAGCTGCGCGCGGTAGCTTCCTCATTGTAAAAAACTGAAAAAACGAACACTGATATTAGGGGCATTTGCGGGGTGACTAGGTCAATTAGATGTAGTGGAGTCGAGAGGGGGGGGTTAAAAATAAAAACTGGATTCTGCCGTGACCGTGCTGCTTTAAAGGAGCATTTTAGAGTAGAACTAAAGTCATCCAGGCCATTTCATCTTAAGTAGCCTAGGCGCAGTGTCCCTGTAGTTTTAACCCTGCAATAAAAAACACTGGAGTTTCTACACTATTTCAATGTGTGAAGGGTTAAACACACCTCTAGTGACTGTCTTCCTGACAACCACTAGAGGTGCTTCCTCTGCAATACCAGATGCGACCAAATGCAGTTAATAGGAAAGCATTGACTTAAATGCATTTCTCTGAGAAGCATTTGGAAGCACTACATTTGCAGCTCGTCAGCATCACTCACCAATTTCAGAGAGAGCCAGATTATGCTGCAGGAGGTGGTGCAGACAGCAGAACTGAGGGAGCCTCGGTGCTAGAGAAAAGGTAAGTAAAAAGTTAAAACTAGTCCGGATCTAGGACACTATAGCGTTAGGAATACAGGTTTAAATTCCTAGCACATTTGTTACTTGAACCACCTTGTCCACCACTACTTATCATAGTAGTTACATTGCTGGGATCCTTACCCTGATTATCTACCCATTTAAATGTTAAGTTTTTTTGTTTGTTCTACATATTCCTACTTTACTCCTCCTCTTCTGCTTTATCATTACTGATAGAGTGCTGAATTTAGGACAACTGTTCATTGACGTTGCAGCTCCCACCAGATTAGCCCAGACCAGAACTTGTATGTTCCAGTACTCTCCTTAGATTAAAAATGTGTACAGAAGTATTTTGTATGCTGGCTTAGGCCACTGTTACACATGAAATGAACTTTATATTTATCTTGCATGCATATTGTGTTTCCATTGTGCAGATGGGGTCGAGGATTTGGCATGTTGGGTACCATCTTTGGAAAGGAGAGTGTAATGAACCAGCCAAACAGTGTGTTCGGACTTGTATTTTATTTTGTACAGTTGCTACTTGGTAAGTTTTTTGCTCCAGTTTACTTAGCAAATCTAATTTTGCTATGTTTTGTAAGACAAGATGCATAGATTTAAAAAATAAATATAATTTTATTTTTTTTAAAAGAGAACATATAGTACTGCCACTGCTCACTCACTCTGAATATACTGTGCTACCTCTTCCACACCCTTCTCCCACTATTCGGTCATTGGTCACCTCACTTAAACTCCCACTATCTTGTCACTACCCAGTCCACTCCATCTTCTATCCCGCCTCCTTTCCAAACCTCATCCTGCCCCCACCACCCTGTTTTGATTATCCTGCATTGCCAACTCCTCTGTAGCTGCCATTTTTAACTGAGAATTGGTTTATGAATCCATCTGGTAATTAAAGGTTTATGCCCAAGCACCATAAACAACACATATATACTGAGATTAATCTCTCTGGTGGTGGTGGTGTAACGCCAACTACAGCACGAGGGCAGGCTGTTCTGGGCAGGCTAATATAACAAAGCATGCAGTGCCAGACAGCAAATGGAAGATCAGGATGAGGGTGAACTTTGCCTCGTCAGTTTTTTAAAATTATTTGTGGGGTGACAGCCCAGCACAGAAAGGTGTTTTCTAACCAAAGCTGGTGTTTAAGGAAAACACTTTTTTTTGGTTGGAGTAATCCTTTAAATTTATACCCTCTAACATCCTCAAACATGATTATTTGCACAGGGCGTTTGGGATGATAATCTTGACAAAGTGCAAAAAACTAAATATAACAAATATATTTTTTATTATAGTATCTTAAAGTATTTTTCAACACATGCAGCTCTTCTTCTGCTGTTCCCCCCACCCCTCCCCCCCTTTCTCTTCAAATTGCCATGCATCTTAAAATATCCAGTTTACATGCTAATATCCTGCAGAAAATCCAATATGTTTTTTAAAATACAATTTCTTGCTCACTTCAATAAAATAGTGTATTTTCCCACCTTTCTTTCAAATAAACACTTCTTATATTGACTGTAAAAGCAGAACGCCACTCCGTGATACCATAACTGACTGATTTGTTCATTACACACCAATAAAAATGGCAATATTTAGCCAGAAAACAGCAGTTTTTCCAGCTTGGCTATACTCACAACTTGGCTATTGTTCCCTAAATATTTCAATTTCAATATAATTTCACTACAATTCAGTTGTCCGTGAATAAACTCCATACTAAAAGGAGACTTGGGGCCACTTTTAATTGCTTGGTCGTTCCATGTCATGTAATCTAGTTTGATATACATCAGTCATTATCTCTTTAATGGACTACCCATACCGTCCAACATTTAAGATAAGCAAGTAGGGACACCTTTTTAGGCGTTTGCCGTGGACCTGGCACTATTGCGAAATGTTAGGTGACTTATAAATAACAATCTATTCCATCCAAATGTAATTTAGAACAAGCATAATGCATCTTATTTACACAGACTGATTTCTAAACACATCTATTTTAGTTTAAATGGTTACTTGAAGCACCATAAACACTTAAGAGGGTGTCATCAGCGAGCTCAGAACTAGACTTTCTTGCTCACTTCAATAAAAGTGTATTTCTCCCCCTTTCTTTCAAATAAACACTTCTTATATTGGCTGTAAAAGCAGAACGCCACTCAGTGATACCATAACTGAGATGTACAACAGTCTGATTTATTCATTACACACCAATAAAAATGGCAATATTTAGACAGAAAACAGATGTTTTTTCAGCTTGGCTATACTGGCGACTGATTTCTAAACACATTTATTTTAGTTCAAATGGTTACTTGAAGCACCATAAGCACTTCAGAGGGTGTCATCAGCCAGCTCAAAACTAGACTTCTTGCCTGGCTAATTTCATTTCTGTGCACCTTTTAGTTACACATATTTGCGTTTATTGGTTAAGCGGTCAACTGACGCTCTCAGCTCAGAAGTATCAGATTGAAAGGCATCATTGATCTACTATGGCGTATTGGAGCCCAGCAGGGAAACCGATAAGAGGGTAAACTGTTGCTAAATGGTTTGCTGCATTACCGGGGAATTGCGTCAAAGTATCCCTGGAATCATAACTTCTGTGCTGCTGTGAAGCTCTGTGAGACACACCAACAATATAGACTTGAATACAGGAAAAACAGAGATACGGCTGTATACAATCTAAAACAGGAACAAAAGGAGACACCTGGTGTAATACAGTAAAACCAATATAAATGTGTTGAGATTGTAGTGCACTCACAAAATCAAGATGAATAGTGCGCTCAAATGGTGCCTGCCCCGATGAATTTGGGCGGCTAGGGGTATCCACTTCCCAAGGGGAATCCACAGGTAATCCAAATGGACCAAAGGACGAGACTCCAGTGGAAATAGATGAAATATGCAACATTTATTTAATAAAAAGGGCTACATATATTAGCCACATCAAATAAATAAAAAGGAGGTCCTACGCGTTTCGTTCCTATAATTATGAACTTTCTCAGGGACTAAAATATAACAAAGCAATAGTAAAAACAATCAATACAAAAAATGCATAGGCTAATATATGTAGCCCTTTTTATTAAATACATTTTGCATATTTCATCTATTTCCACTTGAGTCTCGTCCTTTGGTCCATTTGGATTACCTGTGGATTCCCCTTGGGAAGCGGATACCCCTAGCCGCCCAAATTCATCGGGGCAGGCACCATTTGAGCGCACTATTCATCTTGATTTTGTGAGTGCACTACAATCTCAACACATTTATATTGGTTTTACTGTATTACACTGTGTGTCTCTCTTTGTTCCTGTTTTAGATTGTATACAGCTGTATCTCTGTTTTTCCTGTATTCAAGTGTATATTGTAAAGGGTCGGGAACTGGGCCACGACCTTGAGAGGCTGTTCTGATTGATTCAGATAAGTACTTTTGGATACTAATCCTCTTTCTTACTATATTTTAGTAAAAGTAGAGGTATTGTGTGTGTGTGTGTGTGTGTGTGTGTATATGTATGTATGTATGTATGTATGTGTGTGTGTGTGTGTGTGTGTGTGTGTGTGTAAAACAATATAGAGCTCCTAGTAAAAAGGGACATTAGCATAGAACAGAGGGGCAGATGTTGACTCAATATAGGGACTATCCCTCTTATTAAATGACACTTGAGAGATATTGCTACCAAAGATACTTAGAAAGTTTTAAAATTTATTTCATGGTTTTTCTTATTTGGAAATTTTTTTTATTTATTTTTTTTAAATTCTTCTCCTTTTCTGAGCATTTAGATTAATAATTCTGAAAACGAATAAACATGAGTAGAACTTAGCATAATTTTACATTCCTTCAAAAGAATTGGGGTTAATATAACAGGCTGTCTTATGCACTGTCTGCTTACTTTGATATTGAAAAAGTGATTTTCACTGTCTTGGTGCCACCAGGTAGTGTTCCATAATTTGTAAAACAAGACATTTTGAAGTGGCAATAAAATGAATTTTGACTAATCTACCCCATCACTCTTTCCTTCCTGAACTCCTTTCCACTCTGGCAATGGGGAGTGATGTCAGTAGAGCTTTCTTTGGTGCTGGAAAAAAAGGCACATTTCTATTTTTAAGAGAATGACGGGAAGCAATGCTTGCAACTGAAGTCCTAGGTTCCAATGGAACAGGTATGAAAAATAGAATGGACAAACCCTAAATTTAATGTATTATTTTAGGATTTTAAATATGGCAAATAAAAAGATTGCACTTGCACTTATCTGGAGCTCAAGATCAGCTCCAGATCACTGCGCCTGGTCGGTACAATCCCTGTCTGTGGATATGTAGCTGGTCCTGGTCCTACATGAGGAGGTGTCTTTTGGCCTGTTATTAGCGTTCTAAGGTCAGCGGTAATATAGGTGCTAACATTCAGTGTATTCTGGTATGTCAGTAGATAGTGCTCCAGTAATATAAGAAAAAAATATAAAACCAAAGTGTTCTCTGTAATGTTAAAATACATTTATTTTAATGTTATCATTTTGTTAATAAAACTAGTTTTTAAAATTAATTTCTGGACCTTCTTATCTGCATCCTTGAGGATTTTACCTATAAGACTCCATATTCTAAAACACCTATGCCGTTTAGGATTGAGCAATACTTATTTTCCTTATCTTCCTTTGTGAGTATATCTCCATTTATTTATTCTTTTAACATTACAGAGAGCACAATTTTTTAGTATGTGTGTGTGTGTGTATGTATGTATATATATATATATATATATATATATATATATATATATATATATATATATATTTTTTTTTTATATATATATATTTTTATATATATTTTTATATATATATATATATTTTTATATATATATATATATATATTTTTATATATATATATATATTTTTATATATATATATATATATATTTTTATATATATATATATATATATTTTTATATATATATATATATATTTTTATATATATATATATATATATATATTTTTATATATATATATATATATTTATATATTTATATATTTATATATTTATATAATTTTATATTACTGGAGCACTATCTACTGGCATACCACAGTACATTAAATGTGAACACCGCAATTACCGCTGCTGACCTTACAACTCTAACCCCTGGCCTAAAGACACCTCCTCATATAGGACAAGGACCATCTACATATCCACAGACTGGGATAGTACTGTTCAGGCTGATCTTGAGCTCCAGAAAAGTGTAAGTGCAATCTTTATTTGCCATATTTTGTACCCCAAAATACTACAATATATTTGGGTTTTATCCCTTCTATTTTTCATATTGGTCCATTGGAATTAAGGACTTCAGTTGCAAGCGCTGCTTCCCATCTTTCTCTTATTTTCATCTACGACCAAAAGGAAGAGACTCTGGTTCAGGACGTTCGAGTTGCTACAAATACAAAAAGCAAGCGCCAGAATTCTTTCACATTCCTATTTTTTATTTATTGTTTTTTGGGTGGAAGGTGGGGACTGGGTTGGCGTTACTAGTGTTACGTGTTTTGGTTGGAGTAACACTTTAAGAACCAGGGTAGGGGGGAGAAGACAACAGATATTAGCAATGAAAGTAATCTGTCTCAGGATAACCAACAAATTTAAATAAGACAAATCTAGTAAGCTTAAAGGGTTAAGCTTCTGGGACATCTTCTGTGCCCCCTCTGACATCACTGGTGCAACGTATGAAAAGCCTGTGATTGGACAATTTCGCTAGCTCAGAGTGTGTGTGCGCGCGTGCAGGATGTGAGATTTTTATTTTCTTAAACACTGCCTCACTCCCTTCAAGGGGTAAATTATCACAGCTACTGTCGGTGTGCACTGAAAAGAGACCTATTATGTGCAGAGCTTTGGCATTGCAGAGTTCTGGGCTGCCAGTGTCATGTGCTGGGGACGCAGTTAGCCAGAGCACACAATTACAAAGTTCTCTGTATGTGCAGGTTTTCAAGATAAAACACTGCACGTACTGACTCCTGCCACCATAACCACTTCAAATCACTATAGCTTTATGGTATTATGCTTGTTAATAGAAAATTACTATAACAATTTACACTGGCTAAAAATACAAACACAATTATCATTTTTTGAATTTTACCTTTCTACTAAATATTGTGCAGGAATGAACAGTCTGCTAAATGATAGTTACAATTATATAAAAAAATAAAAAATTAATAGAACACTAAAAGTGTCATAACCACTACAATCCACTGTAGTGCTTAACGTGCCCACTCAAAGTAACGTGTCTTAAGTTTTAGAACAAACATCCAGAGCCCCCAGATTCTCCACTGAGCTGAATGGTTTCAGCAGTACTACGATCATTGACTGGGAATATCGGTTGATTGTTTTTGGCTAATGAGTGCAGTCTTGTATCGATGCATTTAGCTCTGTGATGACACCCAGCTTCTCCTGCAGGAGAAGACTTAATGCAATGTGGGTTCCCAGGAAAGTTGTCAAACTGTTCTAAAACAGTTTGACAGATTACTTTTGGAAGGATGTCACTGGGCTATAGTGGTTATGGTGCCTGGAGTTTATAGTAGATATGATTTTGAATACATAAAATCACTTTTAAATTCCAACCTGAAGTTTATTATGAAATGCTCTAAAATGTCAGGGAACACATTGATTTTAATTATTTTTATTTTATTTTACAAGTGTTTGAGTATGGTGTTTTGAAATGCCAACTAACTCGAACATAGTAATTTAGTGTAACAAATTAAGGCCTGTAATACTTTGCACTGGATCGCCTAACATGTGATGACCCAGATTTACATAAACTGGCTTTCTGTGAAGTAGCAGAAGATTCTAATTATAAATAAAGCTTAAAAATGCTGTCACAAATAACTTTTACAATAACCTTGTATAACCTCTGTGAATTGACTATTAGAGTGAATTCGTAAGTTTGTTCTGTAGTGTAAGTAGTGAAATCATGACGGTTTTGCAAGCATCAGCTATTTTATACTTAATGAGCCACAATGCTGGTATCAAAGTTAGTCGTCTTATTTTTGTTAATGTGAAAATCTTCCTGCATGTACAATAGAGATGTGTGCCTTGTATACTAACTCTCTGTTCTCTTCCAGGTATGACTGTGAGTGCAGTGGCAGCATTAGTGTTAATGACTTCCTCCATCGTGTCGGTAGTAGGGTCACTTTACCTGGCGTACATTCTGTACTTTGTGCTGAAGGACTTCTGTATTATCTGCATCACCACCTATGTGCTGAACTTCATTCTCTTTATCATCAATTACAAACGACTAGTTTACTTGAATGAGGCATGGAAACAGCAGCTGCAGGATAAACAGGAATAAACGGTTTCTTCAACTGTGACTGGCACCTAAAGTACACTGCTTCCTTAATGTTTATTTTGCAGTACATTTTATTGGTTAGGGACAGTTTTCAAGAGAGAACAATCTTAACTATTTTTTTTTCTTTTTCATTTCTTTTGACTAAATGGACCCTGAATATTTTTTTTGTGTGTATATTTGCTCTGGCACCTCATCATAATGAAATGGATGGATGAAGGCTTAAGGATCTCCTAGTTATGAGTGACAAGCTTTAACTGTACTCACAATGTGTTTGGTTGAAAGGCACACATTACCATCTTCTCCTCTCACCTTCATCACCTGTGGACCTCCCTGTGCCCTATCTATGTATGTGTGTGTCAAACCTTTTTAATGCGGGTATTTTTGTGCAAGATCTAATCATGTGGCTATTTACTTGTTCCGAATTGTAATTTTGCCACATATCTTTGGTGGCCGTGGGATGTATTTAACTTATTCACAGGAGACAAATTGCAGCCAAAAAACAAACCGTTCTGTGTTTTATTTCTGATTGGCTATTCTAGTATATTACCCCTTTTACTCCTAACGCAATCGGCAGTTTGCATAGTTTGCCGGCTCCCTGAAGACTTCTCCAGATGAGCAGTATATTTTAATGGATTATTTACTTGTGTTTTGGCTGCTAAATGCAAAATATGGCCGCTACAAATGTGTGCATCTTATACAGGTGACCTTGTAATAAGTCAGCCTTTGGGTGCTTGGCATCATCTAGTATGTAGTTCATATAAGGTCCTATGTGCTTGACACAGCTTATAACATGCAAGCTTCCTGCAGAACACGGATGCAGGTTACAAATAGTCTGTGTATGACATTCTCAGTGTTGGCTCTCTCAATTTAAATGAATAATGGTTGCCATATTCTTTCAAAATAGGCCATTTGTTGAAGTTATAGAACTTCATGCGTGTTTTTTTTTTTTTTTTAATTGTTGCAAATTATCGTAAAGCAGTTCTACAGTCAAAGATGGTCATGGTAACTTATACTGTATGAGAAAAGCAATTATGTTCTCACAGTTGTGGCTAAATATGATGCTTTAGGACAGGTGAACAATCAGAAATACCTTTAGTTGACTATATTGTATTACCCAGATCTCCGATCAAATGTGTACCTCGCGTTGTTTGAGATCCTGTTAACATTCCAATTTATGTGTTTATGGCAAGTAGATGGTAGGAAATCAACTGTAGTCTAAATTATTGAGGTGCCCCGTTATGCATTAATGTTTTAAAATATATATAAAAATTTTTATTTTTTTTTTGAGTCAATGTGTCATCCACATTGACACATTTTACCACTCAGACTTTTACAAATGAGGATTGAATTCTATGACAGGAGGGGTTAAAATATGAACGTAGTATCTGCTCTTGGATTATAGGGCTGTAATAAAGTGCTGTTTCCAAGATATTATGTCCAATACATGATAAGCAATAGATTATGGTGGTGGCAGTTGATTTCAGTATGTTTATCATCTCCCCTTTTAAATATTTTTGTATATTATTATTATTATATTTTTTTAATTAAATTTTAATTCCTTTTTTCTTTTTGGCATGAGTTGGCCTAATCCCACTAGAGACATTACTTTTGAATGCCTTCCTTATTTGTCTTGTTTGTGAAACACCACTTTTAGAAAGGGCAAAACCCTCCAGATACTCATCCATATATGCTGTATGCAAGGATGGTTATTCATAATATTCCAAGGCACTGCTTTGCCATATGTTTTTATACAGTATTACTGTTTGTGAAGCCACCAAAGCACTTGTGTTATGTACCTTTTCCTCTGGACAAGGTGCAGAGGTGAAGGTAAACAAATAAGGCACATTTCTCCAGATATTAACATGCTTATTCTTTCTTGCATTGCTAAAGGGCACTCTGAGCAATGTCAGATTACATCTTATTACTTTATACATCATGCCATCAGACACCTCATGTAAAAATGGTAGTCCTCTCTTAACAAGATATATTTTCAGCTTAAACATCAGGTTAGCAAATAAACTGCAATAATTTTTTACAGTGAGGTTATTTACATATCTGACATAGGAAAAACAAACTAGCAGACAGCAGAAGAGCTTGTGGTAGAAGCTTATTCTATGCATTACATATAAATTCACATAAGTATTGAGTGAATTAAAGATGTAGAGCTTTGGCTAGCCTAATATTTATGGGGAAATGAGCTTGATTAAAATTGGACTGTCATTTTACATATTTAAGTGCTCCTAATTGTTGAAACCGTTGACCGTGAATAAGAATTGATTTATAGTCATTCCAGAATATAAAGTCATAACTGAGTTGCTATATTATATTTAATTTTCTCTACCTGTAGTAGACTGTATACCAGGGGTCCTCAAACTCTGGCCCCCCAGATGTTGCTGAACCACAACTCCCATGATTCTCTGGCTATCTATGTAATTCAAAGAATCATGGGAGTTGTAGTTCTTCAACATCTGGGGGGCCGGAGTTTGAGGACCCCTTCTGTATACTATGAGATGGATCTTTTGGCATTCATTGAACCAGAATCCTCTCTTTACATGTACTACACTCCATACAGTGAGCCACTGCTAAATACATTTGTACATACCATGTAAACATTTATGTTTAGTGTTCGTGGGCATGTGTACCTTCATCTATAATGATGGGGGAGGTGGTGTGGATATGTCTACAAATGATATGAGAACTGGTCTTAGACCCACCTTTGTCAAATAGTTATCTGGGAGAACTAACAGAGTTTTAAAACTGTTCAAAATCCTTAAAATGTATTGCATGTTCCTCAGTAAATAGGTTCAAGTGCCTTCTGCTGTTCGAGCCAGAGCTCTGCCTGCTTTCTTTTACATTCTCTGTATTGTACATGTTTTATATTTCGGCCATTAGGAATTGCACATGTTCTGTAGGACTTAATTTATGGGCCACCTGATTTGAAAGATGGGTATGTACCCCCTTCATCAGTTCTTTGTATCTAATAAATTACTAGTACAAAGAATATTTAATTTCCTATTCACTCCCAAATGCCAAAACCTTAGAGATGTCTTGTCATCTCAAAGGAAGAATGTGTTCTTTGACTCAATCAAATTATACTCCATTTAGCAGTTTCAGGTAGGTGATACGCACAGGTGTAGCAGTAACAGGGGGGGGGGTGAATGTAAAATATCCTGGCACGCTTGGCACATATGGATAAAATCTTTGTACAAAAAGCATGACTTATATATATGATCCGCACCTTATGGCATTTCAGGGAGTTGGTTTTCCTTGTAATGCCTCAAATGTTTACATATGCCAAACATGCTTGCTTTTAGGGAGATGGCCTCTGCCACTGGAGAAACTATTAAATGCATTTGGTCCCAAGGTAATGAAATCACTAATGTAGATAATCTTTATAAGTATGGGATATTATGTTTAATATTGTTTCATCTCATAGCTGCAACATAATCCACCAGCATCTATTAATACAAGCATTTTTTGTTTTCTGATGATTTACTATGGTATGGGAAATTTTATGTACTGCTGTCTGCCACTTGAAAAATTGGCACATTTTAATGGTGTCCAAAACAGTTTGGGAACATTAGATCGGGGAATTGACATATTTACCACTTTTTTGTGTTCTGTATCAGTTGAATTGCTGATTACATGTCAGGTATTTAAAAGTACATAAAAAAGCAACTGCAGTCAAAGTTTAAGCCTCTCCACCCCTTTATTTACGCCTCTTGTTGGTAAAAATGGTGCATGGTTTTGCCATGTTGAAAGACATCATTTAATTTCTGCATTGCACTGAAATTTGATTGTCACATTAAGAAAAATGTGAATCAAACACAACATTGTTGAGACCACATAATGTATAAATATCTCTGCCTCTTTTTTAAAAACAAAAACAAATCTTTGACCTGGCAACGAAAGTGTCGTTCTCACATTTTATGCCATGCTCAGTACCAGATGCTGACTCCTTAAAGCTAAATGGTGTGTGTCTTGTATATTTCTCAGTACATCTTGTCTAACATTACAGATTTAAACATAATTTGATGTTAGCACATCACCAACAAAAAAGGTACTGATATTTTTGTTTTCTTGATTCTGCAGCTTTTGTGCAAATACAGGCATTCCTTTTTGAGAAAACTTGTAGAATACATTCCATTCAGTGGTCAATATTATGAATAACACTGCAATAGAACAAATCTAACAACCTTTCCTGGGCCAAATACAGTATTGTTTTACAGGTATATGTATTTAACATGCCAAATTCCCATTGTACCTAACCAATGAGCTGCACATCTTTTCCGGCACTGGCAAAGCCAGTTCAACTCAGTATTTATATTTCTGAAAAATATTTTGCCCCACTGGTACCCATTAAGGCGTTTTCTGTAACCTACTACTTGGATTAAAAGAAAATGATATCAAAAAAGTTCCTTTTTTATATTTGTTGTTATTGGCAAGTTTTCATATGTGGTTGCAGTCTTCTAATATATACACAGTCTTTAAAGCATCTTAGCATCTCAAACAGGATACTATGAAAGAAAATAGGAGAACAGTGCCATTTTCACAGCAGGTTAAAAATGCAACAATTCATCTCTTGTTATTTATATATATATATTTCATATGAATTGCTGTAAACATGGGTTGTAGGCATACAAATGATATACTTGTATAGCAGTATTTATGCCTGTGTGATCTAACACACGCACATATTTGGACAATGGCAGTCCATCCATTTGTATATTTTGTTTATCTACAAATTTAGATGTGTATTTATCATTCAGTCAGAACGTTGCAACAGTAGGTATGAAAATCAAGAAAACTATATAGTTGAGCCCAACCCATTTTATACGTTATAATAATTTCATTTTAATGTGTTGGTAAGCATTGGCAGTGGGTACAGCATATTGCATTTATGTCTGTTTTTTTTTTTTTTGGTTTGCTTCTGGTACCTGACTAATTTTCTAAACTGTAATTTAATTGAGGTTAAACACTAAATTGTGTATTAAAAAATTCATAATAAACCTGTTAAATTCCTTAAAAGAATTCCTTTCGAATGATTAAAGTAGATTGAGGTAACCTTGTTATCCAGAGTCTGCCTAATGCACAAAGTCATCTATTGTATCACTATGTTCTTGTCCTTTAACAAAATGCAGCAGTCTTGCAAAGTCCAGTTAAAGCTTGTCTTTTTTACATGTAACATGCAAGCAAATGCATTGGACATGCTTGTATTTATTGTTCTAATTGTGTCTCATGTTGGGATTGATTCCAGTCCTTTTGGACCTCAATTTTAAATGTTGAATAACTGCCCTGCTGGGAGACACCACCCCTTGGTAAGTAATTTAATTCCCTGCAATTAACACATAAGAATCCAAGAATGGACATTGGGGGCAGCTTTATGAATGGGAATCTGAGTTGGCCCAGTTTTATTGTAAAGCTGTACATGAAAGCTAGAGTGTGACTGTTTTCATGTTTAACTTTTAAATGGTTTTGCATGGGAGAACAGATCATAGCTATGTGCATTGATTGATAGGGAGCCTATTGGACTTATCTGTGAGCTTAAACTAGTGCATATTGGTTTGACTTGCCTAATGGTGATCACATACACATTTAGGCCTTTTTCTTGATTGAAGAGCCAGATTTTCCTGATTTTACTTTTTTTCGTGTTTTAAGTAGATCATGATGTATTGGGTCCCAGACTGTGTTTAATACCTGTTAAACAGACTTGGTTAGAAAAGAAATACTTTAAATACAATGTTGGCACATAATTCCCTTTTAATTGCTATTGAGGTAGTGCCTTGCTTTTAAAATATTTGCTTTTTGATTAAATGCCTAAAATTCTCCAGTTATTTTTCCTCTCATAGCTTTAGATTTACTCATCTATAGTATTTAAAGAAACAAATTAACAAATATGGGTTGGTAGTTATTAAAATTGCCAAAAAACAAAACCATAGTTAATATGTACATACACCATTTTATTTTGCCAAGCATTACTAAAGGGGACAATATGTAGAGCTCAAACTGACTTTTGTACTGACCAGATGCAGAAATATTGTGGTATAGCAGTTTAAACGAACGTCTTGGCTTCTCCTTTGAATCTAATTTTACAATGCTTCTCTATGAGAAGCAATCGCTGTAATCAAAGCATCATGCTGTAGGAGATGCTGCTGAACATAAGCCCTTCAAAAAAATTGAAGGATCTAAGGTGATACCGGCTGTACTTCCTGTCTGACAGCCACTTAAGGACTTTATCTGTATAGTTTTTTGTTTTTTTTGACCAAATGTTATGTTGCTGTTTCTGTGAAATATCTGTATTTTATATTGTCCAAAAAAGGACCGCATCTGTCCACAAATTTTTTTTCCCCCCGTGTAGATCATCCCTTTAATGAACTAGCATCGTTAACATAGGCCTTGCCGATCCTCTATAATAAAGAACATTAAAAAAAAAAAAAAAACTTCAAATATATATATGTAAAAGTTACTTAAGAGCACCATTAAAAACACAAATTGCAACTTTTGTTCCTTAGGTTAAGGTTCGAACAAGTCCTCTGGCAATGTCTACTTTTGCACTGTTGCTTATAGCAGCAATTTAGCTAAATTCCCACAGTGCATGGTGTTTGAAGAGGAAACTGTGCTTCCTCCTCTGTCTGTCTCTCTATATCTATATAATATCATGTTTCCATATATTTAAGGGATAGTATAGACACCAAAACAACTTTAGCTTAATTAAGCAGTTTGTGTATAGATCATGCCTCTGAAGTTTCACAGCTCAATTCACTCCCATTTAGGAGTTAAATATTTTTTGTTTCTGTTTATGCAGCCCATGTCACACCTCCCCTGGCTGTGAGTGACACAGCTTGCATGAAAACATGGTTTCCCTTTCAATCAGATGTAACTTATTTTCAAAGTTTTTATCTCCTGCTTTGTAAATTGAACTTTAATCACATACAGGAGGCTCCTGCAGGGTCTAGCAAGCTATTAACAGAGCAGGAGATAAGACATTCTTATTAAATGAAACAGGATTCCAAATAAAGGAAGTGTAAACATTGACTTTTTTACAGGAAGTGTTTGGGATGGCTGTTTAAGTCACACGCAGGTATGTGTGTCTAGGGCTGCAGAAACAGTGATATAACTAATAAATGGCAGAAAAATGAGCAGTGAGGCTGCAGGAGCATGATTTAAACACCAAAACTGCTTCATTAAGCTAAAGTTGTTTTGGTGACTGTAGTGTTCCCTTAAGTCACAACGCCCTATCGAGCTGGCTGTAGCATGGTTACTGTTGCTAACAGCTTAAGCATCTTACATTCATGCTATGTGATGAGTAGAGCTGCTATGAAGTGCTGAACTACTTATCTGCATAAACATATGCAGTTTTAGACCTGTTAAGATACCATTTAACCAAATCAAAGGATCTTGAGCCGAGTTAGTTTTTAGCGTGAACTCCGTGTAGAACACTGTATCTTTCTCTTATTAATTTTTCTAATTTTTTTTTATTTTATTTTTTTATATTTAATGCATTTCTATACTTTCATCTAAGAGTGACTGATTCATTCCATCATCATTTGGTCATATGAAAGTAATTTAAAATGTTTTTTTTTTTGTTTTCTTAGTTCTACCAGTTTTCATAGAAATTTACACTTCAGAAAACCTCCAAACTTACAATGGTGAAAATTCATAAACCAATTGTTACGAAAATAAATAAATGGCATATAGTAATAAATGATTAGAACAATTGTTACCAAAAGCTGAAAATCAGATTACACATGTCGACAATACTTTGATAAACCTGCCCCAGTGTTTCAATTTATCCTCTTAATTTGCAACTTTTGCCCTGGCTTTGTTTTGAACTGGATGATGTTTTCTAAAAAGAATATATGGATTTTAAAAGAAAATGAAGTATTTCAATAGTGTAAATTCCAGAGCATCCATTTAAGATGGTTGCTGGATTATTGCTGTTAAGCATTATATGCTTTCTCAAAAAGACAGAGCTCATTGCAGTAGTAAAAAAATGTAACCTCACATTCTGTAACTTTTACATACATATATGAAAATCTACAAGTGCACTATTTTTATGTAGGAGCTATTTTTATTTAGCATTTCTGTGCCTTTACAGCACGGAATAACAGGACAATTAAAGGGACACTCCACTGCCAGACTAAAAATAAAATAAAAAAATATGAAAGTATCAATGTTTAGTAGGTTTATCACCAAATGAAAACGGAATATCTAAAAACAGCTTGCTTAAATTTAAAATCTTGGCTTCAGCCCTCTGCAAAGCCTCCCCTTCTTCTACAGACTTCTGTGGCTGTCCATTTAGACATCCCAATGCAGCTCATTGAGAAGACTTGGCAAGCCAGATGCTCTGACAAATTGCATGCCTCTAGTGTTAAGCACCACTGAGCTGAACTACCAGGAAGTAACAAGACTGCTTATGTGATTTGACAGATGTAGGGTTGTATGTGGGGAAGTGACAAGTATGAGGGTCACAGACAAGTGGATGAGTCATCAGTTGCACCAATTGGTGCTAAAAGGGATTCCAGTGTACAAACTATTTCATAGTAAAAAGTAAACAAAACGGAAATAAAAACCAGAACAATAACAAAATTGGCTTGTAAAAACATAGTTGGTGTTGCAAGCGGATAATTGGCTACAATAAGCTACCAAAAAGTAAAAGCTAAAGAGGGTCAGGACATTTTAATGCAACTAAAGGGAGGGCAACTTGTTATGCAATAGGGAATAGACCTGCAGTCACTTTGGTGAAATACCAATTTGGTAAATTAAAGCATTTAATCATTGTGTGGGTAACACTGTTAATTTGACAAACGAGACACTCGTCAAACATAAAACACTTTACCTTGATGAAATACTTTAAGGGTCTGGAGTGTCCCTTTTAAGGGTAGGAATGGTAAGATAAATGTACTCCTAGCAAATCATTTCTAATGTACTCCACATTCCCAAACTAAGCTAGAAAAAGTTAAGTGCAATGTTTCTTTTGAACTTCGAAGTCATAGTTCCAAACCATTTCACACCAGTTTTCTAATACACAAGATATGTAGTTGCTTCAAATGTTCATATTGTCTTCAGGTGCCAAACTACCGTAAATTTCCAGGACTCTTACATTCACAGAGGCAGTACAATAGGATACAATTTAGTTTTCTGAATATGAACGTTGCAGTGGTGCCAACTGTATTGGCATGGCAGCAGAGTTGGTTTCATGGAGGTGAGGCTTTATGATAATGATGCTGGAGTGTATAATATACAAACAAACAAAGTTTGTCAACCTACACAAAACAAATTTACATAAAAAATTTTTTTGCACGTTTTTCTTTTTGTGGAAAGGAAATATTCACTAAAAACTAAATTTCATTTTGAGAATATAGTTACATATATTTTTGTCTATATTTAAATGAAAATTCTGATACAGAACTGAAACATCTATTTTGTTTGGATTTTTATTGTTTTCATTTGAATACCAATAAAAGAAAGATTTATGAATGCAGAAACCTGGGAGTGCTGGTCTATTATGGATATATGTGTATCTCCCTCTCCCCCCCCCCGCCCCCCTTTTTTTCTTTTCCCAATATAGCTCTGTTTAATGTCATGAGTATGCTTTCTTTTTTTATTACATTAGTTTATTGCAAAGTAAAATGATCGCTTCACTGCTAGTTTGATAACGGCGTCAGAAGAGTGCAACACGTTTCATCTAAAAATCTTCAATGGCTGCCCCTTGTTAAAAGGTTATCACAATGCACATGAGTGATGTAATATCTGTGTCTCCCAGTTGCTGTTGGCAATACAGTGACCCTGTGTCAATTAATTTTTTTTAAATTGTGGGCCAGAAGACATTGGTGACTCTGAAATACTAGACCTGAAGTTTTCTCTTACTGTAAAACTCTTTACGAGCATGGCCAAAAATTAGGTGTGTGTTTGATGTTTATGGTAATGTTCCTTCAAAACGTATGATCTACTGCTTTTGACTCCAGAGTTAACATTTCAAGCAATGTTGCCTGTGAGATGTTCTCTCAAAGTGCTACAAAGCAGCCCTAAGCCAAAGAGGTTTGGGGCTCTGTTTTACTGTATCTAAAAAGAGCGCTATGTAAATATGTAAGATTGTTTTTGTTGCATATAATTTTTGGTATAAAAATAAATGTAGAAATTACAGAATTATGTTTTTGTCTTTCTTGCATCCTGCATTGTTTAATTATAAATACTTTATTTTAGGGGTGCAGTTATAAGTACAAGCTTTAGTAATGACTTATGAGTCTGACAATATGTAGTCATATTAAGTAAACTTGCTCATTCACAGTAAGTCAGTATATGAGTAGTCTAGAGTGGTGAAGAAATAGGACTATGCAGACTGACATTGTGACCACATTAGCTTCTCCTCTTTCCATGCCCACTCACAAAACCACTCTGGTGTCCCTACATGCTCTCTCGCTCCAGCAGTCAGGCTTAAGTCCTGCAAGACTTCTGGTGCAACTTTATTACAAGGTTGGGGACGGCTGATTGGTCTGCTGACCATCCTAAGTCTTGGCCCAGAGAAGAGACTATGTGCATCCTGCATTTTGATTCTGTTAAAGAAAACTAAATTTGCTTAAATCAGCGTTCTAGCATTGGTAAAACTAAATTGTCTGGGCAATTTATATTTGGCAGTTATAGATCTTATCTATCAATTGTGCTGGGAAAATTCCAAGTAAATGTATAGATTACATACCTGAAGTGAAGCTATACGAGCCTTCATAATTCTTACGCTAAAATCTGAATTTTTAATTGCAATAGCAAGACTTAAGGGAAAAAAAAGTCACGTTATGACTAAAGCCGAGACTTACTTTTCAGTTTGAATTTCATTTGTGAAAAAAATCTTTAGTTTAGAGTTTTGACGAACACTGTCAGTCTGTAGGTACATGTTAGGGGTTGTGAGATGCCACTGTCATATGGGAGAGGTAAGGATGTGCACTCTGTTGCCTGTGGATTTCATATTTTCAGCCATTACCACACTGCCAACAAAAATGAAGAAAGTACAATAACAAAATTGAGTGGGGGCAACGATGACAACTAGATCAGCAACAAAATCATATAAGCTGTAAAGGGCATCGTGAGGTGTAGATCTTTATTGGGTGATAAGACCCCACCCGAGCAAAGTCTATTTATTGGGCAGAAAATGATTTATTTTTTATTATTTTTTTTTTACTGTTAATCACACCTGACATTTGAAGACTATTTCATTAACATAAATGTTGCACAATATGTCTGATAATCTCATAATGCAGTATAGTAGTGAAGGCTAGTCTTGGTACAGCAGATGTTCCGTAAAGCACAGTTCCCATAGAATTCACAGTTTAAAGGTCTCTGCAACAGAGTCATGGAAAGTCATGCAGCAGGCAAGGTGGTGTACCTAAAACAGCTTGGCAGCACAGCACACAAGTACTCTGAGAAGAAAAAAAACTGTAGTGAGGGACAGAGACGGACTGACAGTGCCTTGGTCCCCCGGGCAAAATTAGGACCTGGGCCCCCTGCAGACCAATATGTATGATGATGTAGATGTACCATGTATTTGATTTATATGTGCATGTAAAGTGAATGTATGCTTCTGTGAGTATATTCACTGTGACCCTTTGTGTAAGTGGATTCAGAGTATTTCTAAATACATGTTTTGATTTTTGTAAATAGGGTAGAATTTGTGTGTGTTTGTGTAGCATGGCAGTATGTATAAGGGAGTATTTGTGAAACATGGCAATGTGTTTGAATGAGGCATGCATGCATCCAAATTTTAGGTCTTGACTTACTAACCATGTGTTAAAAGTTACAAGCCACCTTAAATGGACACTGCAGCTTAATGTAGTTGTTCTGGTGTGTGTATAGTCAGTCCCTGCAGGCATTTTAATGTAAACATTGCCTTTTCAGAGAAAAGGCAGTGCTGACTAGGGACATCTCTGTGGCACTCACTCAGACTGCTACTAGAGGTGCTTCCTGGGTCAGTGATAGACAATGTGAGTACTGATGTTCAGTAGAGGCGCTGAACTTTCCCCACAGAGATGGGGATTGATTCAATACATCTCTATAAGAAGATGCTAATTGGCGCATGCAGCCTTTTGCCGTGCGTGTGCATTAGCTTCCCAATGCTTTCCTATAAGAAAGCATCGGAAAGGCTGAGATTGTCAATTCTGATTATCTCAGCCAAGCGGGCGGAGCGTGCGCTGAGCCAGCGCCGGTGGACCTGTGTGGTGCTAGAATAAAGGTAAGTTTACCTTTTTAAGGGTGGGCAAGGGTGTTCACAGTGACCTAAATGTGTTTTACACAATAGGGTCAGGAAAACACGTTGGTATTTCTGACCCTATAGTGTTGTCAGTATATTTATACTGGCAGATATTTTGTGTTAAGATAGAAATTAAGAGTGTATACTGTAAGTCACCATCAGAACAGAGGTGACTCAATTTTCTAACAGAATGCTAAGACAGACAAAAATGTTTTACTTTCTGTAACTCTATTCATTCACGTCTGAGCTAAGGAATGCGACTTACATAAACATTATTGATAAAACCTGAGATAAGGGGCATGATGTCTAACCGCAAAAGGGGGGTTGAAAGGTACAACCCAGAGAGAGAGAGAGAGAGACACACACACACACTATATCTACATATAACTTACTATTATATTAATCATATATAAATAGTACACAGTTAATAGAATATTCATGGATATAATATCAATGAAGAAATGTATTATTTACTAATGTTAGTGGAATAGGTGTAATCTTAACTACAGTTTCACACAAGAAAACCAGACACCAAATGACATAACGCTAAGTAATTTGTCTTACTTTCTAAAAAAAAAATAGTTGCATTGTAAGGAAGGTGAGATTAAGGCTACATATGCCAATTCTAAAACTTGACACTAAAATGCAGACGCTCTGTCTGGTAAAAACCAACCAAGCGCTTTGAAGATGACAGCTTCTGTGAGGTATAGTAGCTATAAGAGATGACGAAATTCAGATAACCCATTCTACAAAAAGGTAAATGGACCTCCTGACAAGAATTTTTGGTGATGTAATTGTGCCATCTACTGACCAAAATCTAGATGATAAGACCAATAGAGAACTGTGGGTGTGTCTTCCCTACAGACTATCAACTAGTGACGTGTAGGGAACAAGTCCTTTAAAAATTAAGGACAAAGGGAAGAGAGGACACTCTCTTGGAGACACATTCTGACTCTTGGACTGGACTCAAGACTCCCACTCTCAAACTCTCTGGGATTCATACGGACACTCTCAAAGACTCTTAAACTCACTCAAACTCACACCTAACATCTAAGGTCTGACATCTGGAGCCAAAGCTGGACACACCTAATTCTTAGTATCTTTCCCAACTAACACAACTTCAGAACTGAAAAACTTTTCTATTTTCATACAATTCTCTCATCATACTTGCACTCAAAATTCCTGAGACACATCTACACGACTGATAGAAAATCTACAACATAACTGGTAATTATGTTGGTTTTATTTAATTAAATTAATTGATTTTATTAAAAGGCAGAATATACTTGAATAAAAGCTGCTGATTCCAACATTTAATGAGTCATGATTCGTTAATATATAGAATTCGTAATTCCATTCCTGCAGGTGGACCAATGAACTCTATATTACTTTTAACTTTAAAAATAGAATACCAGGCAATTATCCAAATATATTAGCTTATGTAATTTAGAAATAGTGAATCTTAATTAAGGAAGTTATAATTCTGCAAACGTAAAATCTGGTTAGAATTATTCTTATTGGATGGACAGTGGAATGGTGAATGATCTGGTATGAGAATTATTGTAGTTGTAAAATCGCAATATAATAGGAAATCTTGCCTATGAGGATTGTTGCTAGCAGTGAAAGAGTTAATTCAGTGTGATTCGACTGTCAGCCAAAGTTTTTATTGCTTTACACTGTGCTGCTGTTATGTGTTGATTCAAAGTAGTGTCCTGTCGTAAATCTTGTGAAAACTGCATACAACTGTTTCACAAAACTTGCATTTAGCTGTTTATCACACCTGTTAAACCACTACCATATTGTATACTTATATTATACCTAAATATTCACTGATTATTGTCACGTATGTTACATATATTTTATTATTATTGTCACAATAAATTATATTTTTATAATTAATTTGTGATTTAATGTGTGAAGTAAAATCTTCTGGTGAAACTTACTCTAGGATCTAAGAGAATTAAAATAGTGGGTAATTCTCAGCTTTAATCGGGGAAACCATGCCAAAATATATATATATATTTTTTTTTATATAATAAAAATGACATTAATTATTATGAAAATATTATTTTTAATATTTATCACCCGATAAATATCATCAGTGTTCCTTTAGACGCATGTGTTTTTTAAATTTCTTTTTAATTAATTCTAGTATGTCCATGGCATCTGTGTGTATGCAGGGACATCTCTGTATTAAGGGTCTGTATGTGTGTGTAAATGTAAGGCCATATTAGTATGTAGTTAGTGAACCCAGCCTTGCATGTGTGGAAGGTCAGTGTGTGTGAGCACAGGGGCATGTAGTGGTTATAGGGGCTATAATGGAGGGAAGTGGTAATGGATGCAGGGGAAATAGGATGCACAGAGCAATGGAGGCTGCAGGGGAAATTGGAGCTTTAGTAATAGGGACTGTAGAGGGTAATAGGGGTTGCAGTATGTGTAGGGCAGTGATGGCTAACCTTGACACCATAAATTGTTTCTGGACTACATTTCACATGATGCTCAGCTAGCATTTAGACTCTAGAAGTAAGCTGAGCATTATGGGCAATGTAGTCTAGAAACATTTTATGGTGCCAAGGTTAGCCATCACTGGTGTAGGGAGTAATAGGGGTTTAGTATGTGTAGAGAGTGATGGGTGTTGTAGTATGTGTAGGGGTTGGGGCTGGAGAGATGGCTATATAAGTGTGCAGGCTGGCTGTGGAGCTTGTTTAACTCCCCAGCTGAGCCATTACAATAATGCACAATGGGCGGGCCCCCTAGAGCCTCTGGCCCTCAGTCCGCCCCTGGTGGGGGACATTAATGGAAGCTGTTTATGCAGAGACCAGTATACCTTTTTCATGAAGTATCTCAGAAAATGTGAGGTGGATGGTACTGTCAGAGGTTGCACAGGGAGTAAAATATGTTACACTTTAGTGACTTGGAGTGTTCCTTTAACTTGTCATAAATGTTCTCCAGCGGAACGCAACCTGTATTGCTTACTCATCGCAAAATTGTGCAATGTTAATAGAGTTAGGTTTGCTCTTCTATACAAGTGCAGCGCTAAATGTTTCTTCCGGTATAACATTAGCTGCTGTATATTACACGTTTTGCAATGCCTTTATTTTACCCTCTAGAGTTCTGGGAATTTGACAAACTAGTGATTTTTCTTAATTTTTCACTGAATACTGGTGTTACAATTGCCAGATATGTTATAACAGGCATGTCACCTACACCTTCTTATACACTGTGAAATGCTACAGTCCTTGTGCATTGCTGTTTATGGGGTGGGCTTTGGGTGTCAGAGAATGCTCCAAGTTTTGTGAAACTATGTGAAAATGGGTTGACAAAAATCTTTTTTTCTGTACCGCAATAAACTGTAGGAGTTAAAGAAATACTTGCATTATACATACACTGTCAATGCTATATTTGCAGAGTTTCAAGCAGAACCACTGCAGATACAGATTCTTAACACCAGGGCACTTCTAAAAGCAGAATGGATCACAAAGGTTAATATGTGCTACTAGCTTCTAATGAATTAGGAAAGGTTATATATGGGTGCGCGCATATATTTTTAATTTTTTTATTAAAGTTTATTGAGAGCATAACATGAAAATTGCAATTGGTATACAATGACAATCAGTATATATGGGCTATGCAACACAAATTATACTTTGTAGCAAGAAGAATAATGTCCTCCATTAAGAGAGGGGAGGCTACTGTGTGAGTATATGCTTTACTTGTAGCTAGTCAGTTGTGGGCAATTTTATTAAAGACACAGAGGCTCCTATTAAGCTTACTCTCTCTGTTAATTTCCCTCCGCAGTGAAGAGAGATGTATACAAAAGAGAGAGAATAAACATAACATTGCATAGTAACAGTGCAACCAATCAGCACTAGGCATGTAGTATATCAGGTGTTGCACTCCTCAAACTCTTCCTTCGCTGCTCCCTCAAACCAGCTAAGTACATTTTTTGTTCATACACTGCATTGTTGTACTTTTATCGCTAACAATCATATTATGTTGCTTTAGTTGCTTCTATGTGATTGCTTTACTGTCTGGGGAGTGTTCTGGATATTTTACCCTTAATACATGTCTGGGGTGTGTTCTGGATATTTTACCCTTAATACATGTCTGGGGTGGCCTGACCCCCTCCCTTCCCTCTTGGATCCCTTTCCCTGACTCCCTCTCGGCAATTATTTGCCTGGCTGAGGGAAAGCAACACAGGTCCCCCTACTACAGCCGTTCCCTCTGCCGGTGGGAAACCGCGGTCGCCGAGACCTGCACGCGGCTTTTGCCACGAGCTTTCACTGAGTCTGGGCGCGTCTTTTTTTGCGCGCAGAACACTTCAACTGCTGCGTGTGCCTTTTTTGCAGGTCCGTTTGCAGGTCCGTTTAGCTGACGGGACACTGCTTCCTCTGGCATCCTCCCTGTACCTGGTATTAAGTTTTTTAATCTGTTGCAGTAAGCTTTTCTCCTGTTAGCTCCTTAGGTTAGTGTGGCTGGATTAAGCAATCCTTATCTCACTTCGACAACTTTTTCCCCTGTTGCTATACTTTATAGGGGTTTCTCTCAGGATCTGACCTAAGTGGCTCTGCTGGGCTAGATATATTAATTGAGCACACTTTAGTGGGATTCAGTTATTGTTGTGTCAGCATGCAGTCTACTGCCAATGGGCCTTTTGGCCACCCTCTGACTTTGACTGGGGCCCCTATCTTTGACCCCCTTGGATCACGCCAACTTAATGACTTCAGAAGAATTCCAAAGCCTGTTGGACAATGACTAACTCCATTAACAAGGCCTTAACATCGGCCATGGGGGTTATGTCCTCCACTATTACCCACTCCATTACACAGGCACTGATGCAGGCACACCCTGCTACTGAAGCCCCTCCGCTTCTAGTGTAGTATTGCCGGGCCGTAAAGCCCTGAGCAAGCGCAAGCACATTATAATCCCTCCACACAACCAGGAGACCCCTGGCTTGACTGACAGGCCTCAGGCTGTCCAAGATGGCGCGCAACAACCGCGCAACAAAGCCACTGGCCGGGGAAAAGCAGCCAGAAATTGAAAAAGGGCGAGAACCCAAGATACAATGTCCGATTCGGATAAAAAGTGAGGAGGAGGGATCAGACGAGCCATTCTTCGATCCTTATGAGGACAACATGTCTGATGACAAGAACCTTGCAGGGAAGAAATTCTGACTTGGCAGGGTCAGGTGAACTCCAGGACACTAAGGCAATCCCTTTTTCGACCCGGATGACCTACACCACCTACGATCCGCAGAGTGGGAACCACCGGGGTATATTGCGCTATACCTGGCACTAATAGTTTGTAAACTTCTCTCACTTCTCTCCCAGGAGGGTCGTAATAAACTGAGGGACCAATGACCCTGACCTATTATACCAGACATGGTAGCAAAAAACCCATAGGTAGACCCACAGATTGTCCAATTTTTGGCCAAAACAGCCTGGAAGCCAAAAAAGGGCCTTGACTTTTCACTAAAAAACTGTCAAGACAAATTCCTCGACACCCTAGGCCCGATTACCAAGTTATACGAGTTACTGGAAGCCGCACAGTCGGGGGGAACCCAATTGGATTTTAAGGTGGCTTTTGGATGGCTGCAACGCCTGGTGTGCATGGTCGGTAATGCCAATTCAGCAATGTCCAGTGAATGCAGGAGAGCCATTTTACTAAAAATCAAACCAAAATTGGCTAGTATGGCTACCAATGAGCCAGGAGCGGACACTAAAGGTCTCCTATTTGGCGAGTCCTTTGTCAAGGACCTTGGATCATATGTGAAGACATTCACAGCGCTTGACAAAGCGCAGTCTTCCATGAAGTGGGTGTTTGCTCCTTCAACCCACACAGACCAGTGCAGGAACGCACTTATACCCCCTTCTTCCAAACTAGAGGACAACCTTGGAACGCCCATGGAGGTCGAAGAACGACCCAGGGAAAACATCCTTATGGTGAGTACTATTTATCCCCATTTTCCCCACCTGTTTTACCAAGCCTGCACTATGATTACGTCTGATGCATGGGTCTTACACACAATCCAGAGTATCATTTAGAACTAACCGTTGTGCCCGTGCAGGAAACCCCACCTCGGGTTCTAACTATGTCCACTGAACATCACGACCTAATCTACAAAGAGATCATGGAGCTGAGGTCCAAAAACGCTATAGAAGTCGTCCCTTGGGATATGCCAGGGCTTGTGAGCAACCCTCTTTCTAGTCCCAAAAAAGGGTGAGTGTGCTCGACCGGTCATAAATCTGCGACCACTGAATGCTTTCATCCATTATCGACATTTCAAAATGGAGGGTATTCACTGCATCAGACCTATTGCTATCTGCGGACTGAATGGTCAAATTAGACCTACAGGATGCATATCTGACAATCCCTGTTGTGGAGGACCACAGAAACCTACTATAATTCCAATGGGGAAAAAAGGAAATGGCAGTTTACATGCTTCCCATTTAGCCTGTCTTCAGCTTCCTGGTGCTTCACAAAGGTTCTGAAACCAGTGGTGACATTTCTACAGTTACACAGAGTACGACTAATCATTTACCTAGACAACATCCTTCTGTTTTCACAAACGCAGGAGCTACTGAAAATCCACTTAACATGGACCATCCAACTTCTTCAGAACCTAGGTTTTCTAGTGAACTGGGAAAAATCAGTTCTTCAACGATCCCTACACATGGAATTTCTAAGCTTTCAAGTCTATTCTGTTCAACAGATTCTATGTCTACCGACAAAAAATATCAAGAAAGAAAAAAGACATGTGATGAATCGTCCGAACATCTCCCTCCGGCAACTAGTGAAAGTCATTGGTCTGTTGGCCTCCTCCATCTAGGCGATTTTCCCGGGTCCGTTACATTATTGGGCATTACAGCGACTGAAAGCATCTTACCTAAGATGCGGTCACTCATACGAAACACACATTTCACTAGACGAGGAATCCGGTGAAGAACTGACCTGGTGGTTGGCCCACATGGAAGCGTGGAATGGGCGGGCAATCTTCGGGGTGCATTCCAGATCTCATAACCGAATCTGACGCGTGCCTACATTGCGGACCCATATTCACCATAGGCAGATGGTCCACAGACGAATCATTTCTACATATCAATTGCCTTGAACTATTGGCAGATTATTTTGCCATTCGTAGTCTCTCTCCCAAGAACATTTCTTGTTCAATTCTTCTAAAACTAGACTGTTTCCGCCATCCGCTATATCAATCACCTGGGTGGAACCAAATCACAGATCTAAGCAGTATTGGCTCGAGACTTCTGGCATTATGTGCGACACAATATTTCCGTGCCTGCAGAACACATTCCGGGTCTGGATAATTACACGGCGGATTGAAACTCCCGTTATCTGAGGGACATGGGAGATTGGAAACTTCAACCATCTATATTTAAAGACATTGCCAAGTCATTGGCCTACACTTGGATCTCTTTGCATCCCGACTGTATACCCAACTGCCTCAGTTCTTCAGTTGGAGGCCAGATCCGGAAGCCAAGGCAACAGATGCATTCCTTCAAGATTGGTCCAGGAGCCGGTCGTATGAATTCCCCCTGTTCAATCTAATCATTCGGACCCTGGCATACCTACAGCATTGCAAAGGCACTATAGTTCTGATAACTCCGTTCTGGAGGTCACAACCCTGGTTCCCACATCTCATGGAGATGGCGGTAGACTACCCACGATTACTACCGGACAGACCTTTCCTCCTGGGGAGATGGGGAGAGTCACGGACTCATAGACCAGGGCCTTCTACGTCTACTGGCATGGCTTATTTCCGGTTACCCTGGGCAATTTAAGACGTTTCGCACACAACTCGCAAATGCCGGGCATCAGGAACTCAACGTTCCTATTACTCAGCATGGAAAATGTGGTCTGATTGGTGCTTGGAACGGTCGTTGGATCCTATATCAGCTCCTTTTGAAGATGGAGTTGAATTTCCTTACATACCTTTTCGAATCGGGCAAGGCCTTTCATACCATCAACCTAGACAGATTAGCAATCTCTGCAGGGCATAGAGGTTTAGATTGTGTCCCAATCGGAAAAAAATCTGATGATTTGTCGCTACTCAAAGGTATTCGTTTTTCACACCAAGTATGGTTTATTTTGGGACTTGAATTTGGTCTTCAACCTATTGGACTCCTGGACTCAAAACACAGACTTATCACTTAAACATCTATCGGCCAAATTACTCATGCTGTTTTGTTTGAGGCCTGTATCTGACATCAGAGCATTGGATTGGCACGCCCGGGTTTTCACCCCAAAAGGAGTATCCTTCAATATCTTGCAGAGGACGAAGTCTTCGACTTCCATCTGTCTGATGGAATATGAACTATGCACATCTTTCTTGCGTCCATTACAACACGGCCTTCTCTTCATCTTGTTTAAAAGACCTCATCTACCAGTGTCTACACCCACTCTGGGGATGTGGTTAGAAGGACGTACGTATGTAGACTATCCGGTTTTCTGTTCGGTTCTGTTCTACATTTTGCGGTTCTGCTGGTCTTCAGATCGCTACAGAAAGAGGAAGTGTTGAGAAGTGCAACATCTGATATACTACATGCCGAGTGCTGATTGGTTGCACTGTTACTATGCAATGTTATGTTTATTCTTTTTCTCTTTTGTATAAATCTCGCTTTGCTGCTGAGGGAAATTAAAAAAAGAAAAGGAGGGGAGGGGGGAGAGAGAGAAACAGCACAGTTAACTGTAATGGTTTGTATTTTCTTTTCATTTTGTAGATAATGGACTTTTTGATTAGACGTTTTTTTTCTGCACATTAAATTCTCACCCACCATTGCTCTGTGTGGTTCATCATGTCATTAAAGAGCACTTGTAAAAAAAATCACTTAAAAAAAAAAAAAAGTTAATGTTTCAGCAATAGCCATTTTCTGGTTTTTGGGAAAATGATGCAGTTATTGTCTTATGCTTCCGGCACATTGCTTCTTTAAGAAATTCATCTCCCTTCAATGTATCTGTTAACCTGTTACAAGTGGGCATGGTAAATAAAAGGCAGTCAGTGATGTAATGCTAGATTGGAGCATAGCAGTGTTTTTTCTTTTGAGTTGATTGCATCTATTGGTATGGATTACAATAGCTGATTAAATGAGGCATGCAAGTAAACGGTTTATATCTGGGTGCCTACTATTTGGCTCTCAAATTGAATTACATTAGTTATTCCTTGCTAGCTTTTGCAACCCCGAACGTTCAAGGCCAATACATTTGTAAATGATGTCCACTGACTAGACCACTGCAACACTGGCATGTTAATAAACCATGCCTCTGAAAGACCTGATCTATACATTTATGGTGCAATGACTTATAATTGGAAAAATAGAAATATGATCTTACCTTTTACTAATGACCCCCTCGGTTTGTGGACCATGGAAAGCATTCTGAAACCTTGGGTAGCCAATATTAACAAATCTTGTGAAAACCATCTGACAACATTTGCAAATCAAACTGATGTTCCAGCCTGAATAATGAAGGTGAAATGAGATACATAACATCCATACATAAAGCTGTGGGAGACAGTTAAATGACGCCCGGTTTTTATTACTAATTTTAATTTGCAAATGTTTTCATCATGTAAACATTACTGTTTATTTGAAAAGCCAATGGTTTACATTTGGCTGAAAAAGGCGCCTCAGACTCACTACTTCTAGACATACTTCCTCCTTAAAGGGACACTGCTCATGTCTCTGCCATTAAGTAGGTAAATCAGTTTATACAGACCTAAGCACACCTACTTGCATGTGATTTACACATCCTTCCTAAACACTTCCTCTAAAGAGACATCTAATATTTATACTTCCTTTGTTGCAAATTCTGTTTAATCACATACGGGAGGCTATTAAACGTGCAGAAGATACATTTGAAATTAAAGTTCAATTTACACAGGAGGAGATAAAAACTTAAAGGCATGTTAATATCTGACTAAAAATGAAACCACTTTTCATGCAGTGTGTCAGGGACAGCTAGGGTAGATGTGGCCAGGGCTGCATGTGCAGAAACAAATGATCTAACTCCTAAATGATGCATGCAGCTCTTTAGAGGGTGCAATGTGTCTTGCAAACCTCAGGGGTGTTGCTACCATAAGGCTGCCGCCTTAGGGTGCACTGGTCCGGGGGGCAGAATCCAGCTGACCGGTAGAAGGGAGCGCGCTGCTCATTTCATGTAGTGTGGCCAAGCTGCTAACTGTGGTAGAGGCGCTTGGTTCCCTCTATGCGGCCTGGTAGGAAGTGAGTGCAGAGAGAGCCAAACTGCTTCCTGTCAAACCAGGTAGACAAGCTCCTTCACTGTGGATGTGGCTCGGCCGCTCTACACAGGACAGGGGGAATGAATTTGGTTCTGTTGAATACTCCAATAAATTTAATTGAGGCTCCTGAATATTTAAAAAAATTAAGTTAACTGCATTATAGCCAGATTTGTATGTAATTATATGTTAGTAACCAGTGTCCAAAACCAGAATTAAGAAACTATGCCCCTCCACCAAGTACTTTCTTCATATATAACGTACAAAGTTAAACATTGTATTTAAAATGGGAAACCATCATGATCAAATATATTTGTCAACAGGAATGACATTGTCGTTAGTTGCAAGATATTTTCACATTTTAGGATATAATAGCTGAACTGTATCCATAGCAGTGTTTTTGTTTTTTTTACTCTCCAATTTGGTTGTTGTGGCTTAAAATTGGAAATTTGCTTGGTGTTATTCACTGTAGTGAGAACTTAAAGTAAATTCAAGGTAAAAATAGCAGAGCTGGGGGCGGAGCATGAACGCTGAAGAGAACGGTCGCAAGTACTCGCAGCTCCATACACCACCCGCTGAAACTAGAGTCTGAATTGACCCCCCACCCCCCAGAGAGATAGAAAGGTCCCCAGAACTCACATGGGACGAAAAACAAAAAAAATCGGTACCAAACAAGCCCACCTCGGGGCTCACGATCGGGGAGATGTGGCGGCAAACACGAGGTGCCAACGGCCACAATATGGCGGCACTGCATGGCGGATGTTCCGACTTCTCTGAAGAACTCTCCGAGGAGTTAGAAGAATACCCGCAGACCCCAGCCCCACTACGGAGGGTGAATCATAGCACGACAAGCACTGACACCGACCCAGTCACCACGACAGTCCTCAAAGCGCTGCTGGCCGACCTCCGGCAACACATCCATGCAGACGTCATTACACTGCGGGAGGATCTGAAAGGCCTGACAGGCCGCATTACTAACCTAGAAGGATCAGCTCAATCCAACTCCCAGCACATAGTCTCGCTCCAACAAGCTGTGCAAAACCTGCAACTCCTGACCAAACAGTATGACCGCCGCCTCGCAGCACAGGAGGACTCTAGGAGGAGACTAAATATAAAGATCAGGGGGGTCCCTGAGGAAGTGTCGGAAGCGGAGCTACCGGGGACCATGAAGCGTCTGTTAACGACAATACTACCGCCTGCCCAAGCCAAGATAGGCACCCCTGACAACATCTTCCGAGTCCCAAAACCAGCCAAAGCACCAGCCAAAGCCACCAGAGATGTCATACTCACCTTCCGCACTCACAACGACAAAGCGGCAGTACTCGCGGCCTTGCGAGGAAACACCCCATACCGCTTTGGAACTATGGTGCTGACCTTCTTTGCTGATCTGTCCGCTGGCACACTAGCGTGGCGTAGATCACTCCTGCCGCTCACATCTCTGCTTCAGAAACACAACTTCACCTACAGATGGCGGTCCCCCCGTATGCTCACGGTACAGCAGGGGCCGGATACGTACAACATTCAGGACATTCAGGAAGCTCCTGACATGCTACGGGCTCTTGGCATACAGCAGGACACGCTGCCCGACACCGCATCCCCGGCACACACATGGGACCCAACAAGGATCATACCTTTCTTCCCCCAGGGCTCGACACCGGACTCCTATGCTGCAGTTACCACATAGGGTACCGCAACCTACATGACACGAAGAGACCCTCGCCCACCCCGCTGAGAGACACTTCCTGAGGACCAACATATACCGCAGGAATGAATCACTCACTATTCGCAGCCCGCCATCTAGCTCACCGTGAGATGTGCCAGGACTAACTCTAATGTTGGCACATAGTTACTCCCGCACACCTCCGGACTGGTAACCACCCACGGAGGACTTTACAACTCTAGGAAGCGTTAGATAATCTCAGTCCAACCGACTGTCTGTATTTTTGATCTCATCTATTAGGCAGCTACTTATCTCTTTGCCTAGATCCCAGCGAGAACTCACGTAGACCACTGCCAGAAAGCAGTGCTCTACAACCCCCACTTATACTTTGTGTCACACTCTTAGTTCAACGTTACGTTTAACATTGCCTGCACACTCAGTACTCGACACCCATCACCCCTAGTAGGCACAACCAGCACTCCACAATGTGCACACATCAAATTAACCTGCATGGTATAACCTCCTCGCTGGGACCCCACCACATAAATCGCAGAGGCTTCCCTCCCACCTGCTCAATTGATATAGGATAATTATACACAACACTACTAAGAGCAAACACATAGCCCACCACATACTCAACTAAGCCCCATACAACATATCTTAGTACATAATTCCCAGCCCACAGACAGAATGACAGTTGGCATGTCAGCCAGGAACCAGAGGGGCTATCTCCCACCTCTGAACATTGTCAGATGGGCCACCCTAAATTTATAGACCACTGATTGACTTGTTCGGATAGCTATCTGAACTAGTCACTCAGAGCTCAAACCAGAAATGCTAATTTTGTCTAGCTTAATAGATGCCCTTCGGCCAGGATCATATAGTCCGAATGTTGTCACTAACTAAGTGACCTCAACTGGCCAACCAGAAAGGGTGAATCTCTATAAATTACAAAAGGCAACCCATAGACCCGACCTTTAAGCCTTGCATAGCACAGCACTACCTAGGCAGGTTGGTAAAGACCCTGATGCCCAAATACCCGTGCCAGGACTCCTTCCTCCCACAAAGGGACAATACAAGGCCGCTAAACTGGACTCTGACCGAAACTAGGAATGTCTCAGAAGTGCTGTTTTTCTTTTTATTGCTTACCCTCAATTTAAATTTTATTCTGTAACCCTATACACTGTTTACTCAGGTAAAAGGCTGCATCTTGTACCAGGTTATAAGCTGGCACACTTTGAGCGTAAAATGTATTTCCCACGCTGCTTCTTCATTAATAGCATATAGAACTTACTTTATTGTACCGTCAGATGAGACGTGCCTAGCAGCTAGCAAGTCCTACTTTACATAATCTATGTCAAGAAAGTGTAGCAATGACCACTGTGATAAACGTGTCATTTTTTGGCAAGGGTACGCTGAACCACAAATGGCGAATAAGAAATGGCGGTATTAACCCCTTCACCCCTACTTGGCTACTAAGGCATGCATACTTCAACTCGCGATCACACTCAATATGCCTATGTACCCCAAAGCGGCTAGCCCAACCCCAGGGGGTTTACACAACTATCTTAAAGATCTAGCATGTAACCGACCAAACATTAGACTATCAACACCAACCGTATTGCAATTAGCACACTCCTGAACAGCAAATACATAAGTAATTACAGCCATGTATTGTCTAGCATGTTACTCCACATTTAACTACTATAGAAGCAAGCCTATTCATGTTTTACCCCTTCCCCCTAGTAATCACAGTAATGGACTATCTAGCATGTTACTCAACACTTGGTTAATACTCTTCCAAAGTTTAAAATATGCAGAATCAGTCTGAGAAACCTATTATGTAACACTTATGATGCTATTATACTGATATGCCTCTGCTATTTGTCTTAACCCTTTACCTTTAACTCAAATCTACTGTTCATTCCTGTTAATCTGTCTATAAAACCAAAAAGGTGCTCTGTTAAAGCTTTACCATTGTACAATATTGCAGCCAATGTCTGGCTAATACTGTAATGTAATACCATGACCTTGCTTTGCACCACCAAAATAAAGAATTAAAAAAAAAAAAAAAAAAATAGCAGAGCTGAAAATATTCTATACATGAGCAATGGTTCCAGTTTGGCTACTTTAGCCTTAAAACTGAGATTAATTTGGAAATCTTACTTTATTGAATAACCCTTCACAAATTCCTGACAATTCACACGTATGACTTGTTTCAGCCTTTGGGGTGAAACTGTCAGGGTATCTACACATTAAACACATTATTTAATCTATACATTAAACAATATATTCACTGGTAATTTGCCAACATTAGAATACTGAACTTTTACCCAGAGATATTTACTTACCTGAATTAAGAAAGCTAAAATTCTGCATATGGTAAAATCTAGTTTGAATTACTATTATTGGATGAGAAGGAATGGTGAAATGAACTGGTATGAGAGATTATATTGTCAACTGCAATATAAAAGATATTCTGCCTATTAGAATTGTAGCCAATAGTGAGAAATTAACTCACTGGCATCTAAAAGTTTTATTGCGCTATGCTGTGCTGCCGTGATGATGCGAAGAGTTCTGTGTAAAGGAATTTCAAACTGATGCTGTGTTAACCCCTTAAGGACATATGTGACATGTCATGAGTCCCTTTTATTCCAGACGTTTGGTCCTTAAGGGGTTAAGGAATGTTTAGCAAGCTGGTCTTAAAGTTACCATATATGTCGAGTTTTTCAGCACATTAATTACCCCAAACAGCCCCAGAAAGTACAAAAGCCGGGTAACTGCAAAATTCAAGTTTATTAGAAAAAAGGGTGGAACGTGAGCACTGCCTCTAATCTTCCGGAAATTTTTTTTTAGAGGCAGTGCTTGACAAATGGGATAAACAAAGCAATCCCCTCAGGGCGGGTCTCACTTCACCACTGCTTGTAACACCTTGCACCCAAAAGATGCGTCTTCCAAGGCCAGTATGTCTAACCTGTAATGTTTAGAAAATGTATGAAGAGATGACCATGTGGCCGCAGAGCAAATTTGAGAAGGTGTAGCCAATGCCCGAAGGGCCCACGATGTGGATACAGCTCTGGTAGAATGAGCTTTGACGGGGAAAGGTACAGTAACGTTGCTGGTGGAGTAAGCCAAACGAATGCAATCTTTCAGCCATCTGGCCAGAGAGCCTTTTGAAGCCATCAAACCTTTTCTAGAACCGTGAAATGAAACGAAAAGACTGTTAGATTTCCTAAATGTCTTAGTACATTCCAGATATTGAAGCAGACATCTCTTAACATCAAGACAGTGACATTTCCTTTCCAAAGCATTGGAAGGATTTTGGCAAAAAGTAGGCAACACTAATTCTTGATTGATGTTAGATGAAGACAAAATCTTAGGTATAAAAGAAGGATCCAGCTTTAAGACCACCTTGTCTTGATGAAAAACCAAAAAGGGAAAATTCGCAATAAGAGCTTGGAGTTCACCCAATCTTTTAGCTGAGGTAATGGCCACCAAAAACAAAATTTTGAAAGATAAAACCTTCAGAGACGATTTCTCTAGAGGTTCAAAGGGAGGCTCACACAGAGCTGTTAAAACTAAATTAAGATCCCAAGGCGGACAAGTTTCCCTAATGTTGGGAACCAAACGGGACAGTGCCTTGAAAAATCTGGAGATAAGAATATTCGATGCCAAACATCTGAAAGAAAAGAAACTGATAGCTGAGACTTGCACCTTGAGCAAGGCCGGTTTTAAACCTTTCGCAAAGCCCATTTGAAGGAAATTAAGGATGTTTTGAATGGAAGTGGTAATTGGATTAACTTTTATCCTAAAACACCAGTTACAAAATTTCTTCCATATTCTGGAATAAATTTTAGATGTAGATTCTTTGTTAGCAGCCATTAAAATCTTAATAACCTCCTGAGATAAACCCTTATTCTTTAAAATCTGGTATTCAGACACCAGGCCGTCAATTTGAATCTCTGTAGAGTCGGAAGAGGTACCATGGAGTGTTCCAGTATTTCTACTGACAGGGGAAGTTTCCAAAAAGTGGAACCGGGTATATTTAGGAGAATTGAGAACCAACTTCTTCTTGGCCACCCAGGGAGAATTATGATAATTTTCACACTTTCCAACTTGATCTTTTGTAGAACTCTGGGAATAAGAGCCACCGGAGGAAACACATATGATAGGTTGAACTTCCAGGGTATCGAAAGGGAATCTATGACCTCTGGTATGTCTGCAGGGATCAGGGAAGCAAATCGACTCGTTTTCCTGTTTGCTCTTGAAGCCATAAGGTCTATTTCTGGACAACCCAAAATCCTTGTAATTTGATTGAAACCTCGACAGAAAGGGACCAATCTGTTTGCTTTAATTGTTGACGACTTAAAGCATCTGCCAACACGTTAAATTTTCCCATTATATGAACTGCTGAAATTGAGAGAAGGTGTACTTCTGACCATAGCATGATTTTGGAACATAGACTTTCTAATTTCGTCGATCTTGTTCTGCCTTGTTTGTTCACATGTGCAACTGTCGTAGAATTGTCTGACCGGATCTGAACATGTTAATACTGGATCTGGTACTGAAAAGCCAGGAAAGCCAGCCAGACCGCCTTTAGTTCTTTGTAGTTCGAAGAAGTTCTTAAATCTTTTACTTGCCAAAGCCCTGGCTTCTTTAGGTCTCCTACATGAGTCCCCCAGCCGACAGCCGAGGTGTCTGTTAAAATTCTTAAAGACTTAATTTTGAAAAGAAAGTCCTGAACGCAGGAATCGAGATGAGGTCCACCATAGAAAACTCTTCAGCGTCTGACTGTTGAATTCCATATCTTTAAAATGTTTCTTTGAAGGGGTCTCATTCTGGCCTTTGCCCAACAGACTGCCGGGATAGCAGCTGTAAAAGACCCAGCAAGCTCATTGCTTATCTGATGGAGAACAAACCTTTCTCTCTGAGCTTCTGAATAGTTTGAGTAATCTTCTTTCTATTTTCTTCTGGAAGGAAAATCTTCATGGAGATGGAGTCTATAATCAGACCCAGGAACTGAATCCTTTGGACTGGGACTAATTCCGACTTTTCGAAATTTATCAACCAACCATGATTTTTTAGAGAGTCCAAAGACGTCATAAGGTCTAAACACAGTTGTTCTTTCGACTCCGCAATCAACAGCCAGTCATCTAAATAAGGGATGACATAGATGCCTAATCTTCTTAGATATGCTGAGACGACTACCAGCAGTTTTGTGAACACCCTTGGGGCAGACGACAGACCAAAGGGAAGGGCTCTGAATTGGTAATGCATAGTTACATTTTGGAGGAAGATAGCAAACCATAGGAATCTTTTGCTGGATTCTGCGATGGGTACATGTAAATAGGCATCTTTTAGATCCAGAGAAAAACCAATTTCCTGGTTGAATAAGATGCCTTGCGGACTTTCTTGATTCCATATGGAACTTCTTTTTTAGAATAAAATTTTTGACGGACTTGATATCTAGAATGGGTCTGAACGATCCGTCTGGTTTTGGAACCAAAAGAAAGTCTTGAATAAGTGCCCAGGAATCTTTCTATTAGGGGCACTCCTTCTATGACCTTCTTTTGAAGGAGCTTTGATACTTCTTGCAGTAATGTTTTCTCTGTCGCAGGTGAATGGGCCGTACAGCATAAAAATTCTCTTTTTGGGATCTCTGATAGATCCAGAAAATAACCGTTCTTTATCACTGAGAGAACCCAGCGATCCGAGGTAGTCATTTGCCAGCAATCTAGGAAATCTGTCAGTCTTCCTCCAACCGGGATGGCGTCTTAACATTCTATTCCTCATCAGTGAACTTCTCTTTTCTCCTGTAATCAAATACTTTCCTTTGTTGACCCCTGTAAGCATTCTGTGGTGGGCTGGACTCCAAAATTTTCTTATTCCAAACCTGTTTCCTGTAGACTTCAGGCAAGGCTTTCCTACCTTCCTTCATCTGCTTTAACAGATCATCCAGCTTAGATCCAAAAAGTCTATCAGGTTCAAATGGAAGGTCACATAAAGAATTTTTGGATGCTGAGTCAGCTGACCAGTTTCTCAGCCATAGTCCTCTCCTAGCCACTGTAGCTAGACCCAGAGCCTTAGCTGATAACTTCCGACTTTCTGAAGAGGAATCTACTAAAAAAATCTGATGACATCTTGATATTTTTCAACAACTTTACAGGGTCTTTCTTAGATTCACAAAAGTACCTGCAATAAGAGCTTTTGCTTGTGCAGCTGAGGAGACAAACATTTTCTTTAAAGAAGAATCCACACGTCTCTCCATAGCATCTTTTAAGCCACTTGAATCACCAATAGGTAAAGTGGTTTTCTTTCCCAGCTGAGCAATAGGAACGTTTACTGATGGAACCGAATCCAGCAGGCACTCAGGATCCATATCAATGGAAAAGTGTTTTGACATAAACGGCTTTCGCACTGGAAATTTCCATTCTCTTAAAACCAAATCCTTTAGCTTTGGATGAAATGGGAAAACTTTAGATTTCTTCCCTGTTTTCACATCCTCCATCAGGTACTGGACTTACTTTACTAATTTTCCAATTGATTCCTCTGGAAACGCAAATTCCTCATAAGATGAATCACTAGATTTCTCATCTCTAGAATCAGACATACAAGACCCTGAGCCTTCGTCTGATAATTCCCAGGATCTAGGCCTTTTCTTAGCCGGTTTTACTACAGACAAATCCTGACAAACAGAAGCCTGAGCAGACTGAATGGCTGCCATCTGCATTTCCACAAAAGTTTGTTGCTTACTTTGCTGGAGCCAGTTTAGGAATGTGGACATTTCTGATTTCTTTGCTTCCTCAGAAGCCTCTTTGGAACATATAGAACAAAGTTTCCTTTTACATCCATCTGGCATGGGTTGAGAACATGCAGCGCAACTTAGATGTTTGGTTTTTGCAGAACATTTACCCCTCTCTGAAATTCTATCTGTAGTCTCAGGATTAGACATACTGAGGAGAGAGGAGAGAAAAGAGAGGAATTTTTTTTAAATCTCCTTCAATTCAGACTAGAGCCATTTAAAATAAAAGCAAAAAGTCTTACCTTAAATGGTCTCAAAGTGTGTTGGAGGGCAGGTGACAACACACTTGCAACAGAGTCTGAGTGCACCTGGTAAACAGTTAGTTGCTGCTGGTGAAATGACCTCTTTAAGTCCTGTAAAACCAAAACTGAACGAATGGGGAAAAAAATAAAAATATTTGTTGTCAGATTTTGGCGCCTGAATTCGAATCGCATTGCGCATGGGCAGTGCGCACCGTGAATTCCTGGTGGAACGCAACGTAACCTGTACGTGCGTTCCACCGCCAGGACTTCTCAGCTGGCGCATTCCTGCGCCCCTCGTCTGCCCGGCACCTGGCGCGGTATAGACGGTAGCCACATAAAAAACAGAGGGGATTCAGCTGTCCGGCGTGCTTACCCCTGTCCGGAACCAAGAAGAAACAGAGCCACCCGAGCCTCAGCCCTCTCACCATGTGTCACCCTCCTCTGCCGAAGGCAAGCAAAGAACTGGGGCTGTTTGGGGTAAGTGGATATTTATAAGGCTTGGGGGTTTGCCTGCCTGTTTTTTCCCTCCAGATTACAAATCCCATTTGTCAAGCACTGCCTCTAATCTGAAGGGAAAAACCCTATTCGAGGCAAAAATAATGGGGGTTTAGTTATATTATATGATTATACATTGCATAAGCCTGTCAAAACATCAATGTACCCCATTTTTGGCAGGTCCTACTCTAGAAGCCTAATGTCTGCCGTTATTATTATTAACCCACTCACTTGGAAGGGGAAATTTTTTTTTTTAAAAATTCCATCTGGGGCTCTTTGCAGTACAGTGAGCTTTGAAGCCTTCCCTGGCTCAGAGTGCACGCATGCTATCTGTACTAGGGAAAATGGTCCAATCAAATGCTTCCTATAGAGAAAGAGAGTGTGAAAACAAGTGAGGAGGACATTGCCCAGTGCTGGATTCAAGGCAAGTTAAAAGGTTACTTTGTGTTCGGTTTTTAAAGTTAAATAAGCGGGTTTATTGAGACCAATAGGCTAAATGTTTTACAGTAACCCTTTTCTCTATTTTTAGCTTTATTATGTCATAAAACAAAACACTAAGCCCTCAATGAATACTATCCTAGCAACCTAATTTTCTACCCTACCCTTACCTTTTGTGTCACTATACCCCACTCCCTCTAGCATGTAAGCTCATTGAGCAGGGCCCTCAATCCCTCTCTGTTCCTGTGTGTCAAACTTGTCTGGTTACAAATACATTTCGGTTAGTCCACACATTGTACAGCGCTGCAGAATTTGTTTGCGCTTTATAAATAATAATGCCCTCTATGCTTGATTGTCACACCTATAATACAGTTGAATATTGCTAATTGTTGCTTTTGTTTGCAAGAAGCAGGTTTATTTTGTGTGCCTTTTCTGCAAATTCAGCAAGTAACAGGTAGAAATCACTGTATTACTTCAAATGGGATATGTACAATTAAGCAAACCACCAGATTAAACACCTATTTACCTTTAGTAAACATCTGAATAGCAAATATGGCGGAAAGCTGATGATTTTTACAAAATGTTTGCAATCTGGAGTATTTTCAGATTTTAGTGAATAACTGCATGTGTATTATGGTGAAAGGACTACAAAATCTCATTGAAGTCGTCTAAGTGCAGTAGCCCTGTAGTTTTAACCCAAATAAAGTGTGCCTGCCACTTCCATTGGCTCTCCTGAGGAAACAAACCTCCCTGGCTGCCTGACTGACAACCAGTGGGGTGTACCATAAGTTAATGATAAAAGTGCAAATTTCTCATATAAATTGAAGCTTTTATAAACTGTGGATAAAATAGGATACGTCTCACCAAGCTAACTGAAGTGCTTTGTGTGTGTGTGGAGTTATTTAAAGGAACACTATAGTCACCTAAATTACTTTAGCTAAATAAAGCAGTTTTAGTGTATAGATCATTCCCCTGCAATTTCACTGCTTAATTCACTGTCATTTAGGAGTTAAATCACTTTGTTTCTGTTTATGCAGCCCTAGCCACACCTCCCCTGGCTATGATTGACAGAGCCTGCATGAAAAAAAACAAACTGGTTTCACTTTCAAACAGATGTAATTTACCTTAAATAATTGTATCTCAATCTCTAAATTGAACTTTAATCACATACAGGAGGCTCTTGCAGGGTCTAGCAAGCTATTAACATAGCAGGGGATAAGAACATCTGAATTAAACAGAACTTGCAATAAAGACAGCCTAAATAGGGCTCACTTTACAGGAAGTGTTTATGGAAGGCTGTACAAGTCACATGCAGGGAGGTGTGACTAGGGTTCATAAACAAAGGGCAGAGGATTGAGCAGTGAGGCTGCAGGGGCATGTTCTATACACCAAAACTGCTTCATTAAGCTAAAGTTGTTCAGGTGACTATAGTGTCCCTTTAACTAATTCCCATCAAAGGTTGCTCGTTTTGGTACCGCTACTCCCATCACACTAACTGACAAATAATCTCGGTTATGATATTTTTAATTATTTAGAATTATAAAAGGAAACATTCCAGAGATTGACAAATATGTAGCAAATAAATGATAATTACGCATGCAAATTATACTTGGTCACATTAAAAAACAAAAACAAAAAACACAAAAGTACACAGCCTTATGTAATAAAAACCGAATCTATTTATTTAGGAAAATAAGCATACTCTTTTTCTTCGAGCCGCTATTTTATTACAAAGATATGTTGAGTGCAAAAAATAAAAATAAAAATCAATCATCACAAAAGAAGGTAAAGCGTAGATTTTTGATAGGGTTGATATTGGCAGATTCATAAATTAAATCGTTTTTATAATTATTTCAGTACTTTTACTTTGTATCTCCAGGATACAAATATGTAACGGAGTTTGTTAGGTAAACATTATGCAAGTTAGGTAAACATTATACACTTTGACGTGTATACTAACAATGTATTTCTGAGGTAATTATTTGGCACATTCATTAAAAAAAAAAAAATATATATATTCATTTATGAGATTAACAAACAATTCCCAAATTGGCCAAGAGTTGCTTAAAAAATGGGAGGCCATAAGCCAGTCATCATTCGCAAAAGTGTGCAGCCATTCTACAGCTACTTCTTCCTGCATACCCATCGCTGACTTCCAGACATGTTATGAGAGTAATATTTAATACCTAGGCATTTGGCTGAAGGAGGTGGTGCCATTAGCCATCTTCCAATATCTGTCTCTCAAAATGAATGCAGAGGACTTAGGCTGGCGCTGTCGAGTAAAAATGCCCTTTTTGTTCCCCACAACTCGGGTTACCCCTACATGAGCAAAACAGAAATGGAAAAGTTAATCATTACATGTAATTCAAACGCATTTCAAGGTTTTCTTGTTTGTTTTTTACGATCATTAAAGGTACACTCAGGTGCAGACCCTCCAGCTGTCGTCAAACAGTTTGATGATAAGTGAAGCCAGGGAATCCTCAGATTTTTGTCAATTATAATTCACTTAAATAATTTCTTATACTTTAATTTTTAATTAATATTCTCCTTAGAGCTTGACATAAATATTTTAAAGTGTGTAACATTTGTGCACTCCTCTTTTGCTTTTTATTAAAAATACTTATTTATAACTACAGCTGTAAGTAAACTAAGGCATAACAAGAAATGTTATTTTATTATTGAATAAAAGAGATGAAAAACCATAGGAAAGATGGTAAAAGTACACATGGGAAAAGATTATGAATTGTGCATTTTGGAACAAGAACTAAAAACTTTAGAGTTCACCCTGTAGAGCCATTACAGTTATTGGCATGTTCTCATTGAAATGGAAATGGGAAGAGGATATAGGAAATGTGAATGTATTTTTATTCCTGGTAATGGCAATATCATTATCAGGTTTACTGTATAACAAGCACTTAAATGAATGTGATCTATTGTGTTAACATTACAATTATATTTTCACAACACCTTTAACACAAATTGTGCATATCCTGTGTATATACATTCACACACACAAGCTGTATTACTACTACAGCACTGATTGCACTATTAATAAAACAAATGTATGTAAAATGAGTATTAGTGCGAGGATGAGGGGTGGTACTGAGCAGTATTATGTGTTAGTGCGTGTGTCGGTAAATAATGGCTTCATTTGTTTTAATAATAGCTAAATATGTTACACTATCATGTCTCCCACACATTATTAAAGGTATGTGAAATTGTGTTCTGTATGCATACAATAGGCAGGCTGTGTGTGTCCATCATTACCTCCACTCCCATTCTTGGGAAGTGTGAAGGAGCAGAGGTCCTCAGCAATGGAAACCCCTTTCAGTGCGGGATGCAAATGACCATACAAACAAAGACTATGGCAGTTGGCAAAGCCAAAATCAAAGAGATAGATAAAGGGCATACTAGTACCTTGTACGGTCATAAAGTCAGCAAAATTCCAGATGAGCTCTCCAATGACATATTTCTTTCTTTTTTCATCAAACACAGAGTGATAGTTCTGTAGCACCATTTTTTGGTATTCCTCAGTGAACATTACTGGAGGGTCCTGCAATATACCATTAAATGAGTATGATGCTCTTTTTCTTTTTACCATAATGCCAATATACATGTGCTTTTATTTACTCTTTTGAGAGCTGTGTCACATTGTTACTGCCATCTTGCAGCTCCCCTGCTGAAGAGCCCCTAGTCGCCATCTGCTCCTTCACTGTCCAATACTATTGTAAGTGCATCTGCTGTTCTATAAGGAGAGTTTTGTATGTGAGATTGACCAACTTCATTGAATCAACAGCTTTGCTTGACCCACTTTAGTCTGGATTCCACACTCGTCACTCTCTCGAAACGGCTCTAACAAAAGTATCCAATGTTTTAATTGCCGCAAAATCTAGTGATCACTATACTATCCTAATTCTCCTTGACTTTACTGCTGCTTTTGACACTGTTGATCATCAACATCTTCTCATCCTCCATAACCTTGGTGTACGAGAAACTGCTTTCTCCTGGTGCTCCTCATGTCTGTCCCAGAGCTATTTCAGGGTTTCTTTCTCTGGATCTTCTCTGTAACCCTTTTCTGCTGGTGTTCCACAAGGTTCTGTCCTTGGTCCCTCAATGTTCTTGATCTACACTGCCTCCCTCATCAGTTTCTTTGACTCTCAATATAATTTCTATGTGGATGACACACAAATCTGGATGTCTTCTCCCAATCTCTTGCCATCCCTCTTGACTCGTGTCCGACTGCCTCTCTGCTGCTATTTATAACTGGATGGCTAGTCACTTTCTTAAATTTAACCTGTCGAAGAGAACTTTTCTTCCCTCCCTTAAGTGTTGCTCCTTCCTTGACTGTGTCCTTCCAAGTCGATGGCACTACCACACATCAAACTTGTCTGGTTACAAATACTTGTCTGTTAGTCCACCCATTGTACAGCACTGCGGACTTTGTTGGTGCTTTAATAAAATAATAATTAAAGTAAGACAAAGACTATAGAACTCACATTGTGAAATCCAGGAATTGTATCAGCTCCATATTCACTCTGTATTATTGGTTTTCTGTGAGTCTCATACCAGTTCTCAAATTCTGAAGTGAGCTGGATCTGAATCACTTCAAGATGTCCAGCATCATGGTACCATGAAAAATAGCTATTGACACATATCACATCGACATATGGAGCCTACAGACACATGGATGCAACAATTAGTAGATCAGTATTATAGTAATTGAATGAAGACATTACAGATGTCTGTCAAATAATAAGATCTAATAAAATTACTGTTTAACTGCCTAGTGGGAATCAGAGAGTGACAAATAGCCACATAACCACACATTCAGGAATGGTAATCATACACTGATCAGCCACAACATTAAAAACCACCTTCCTAATATCATGTAGTTTCTCCTTGTGTTGCCAAAACAATTCTGAGGCATGGACTCAACAGGATCTCTAAATGTGTGCTGTAGTATCTGGCACCAAGACATGAGCAGTAGATCCTTTAAGTCCTGCAAGTTGCAAGGTGGGGACTCCATGGATCAAATTTGTAGTTCCAGCACATCCCCCCAGATAGACAGGTTAAGATCTGGTGAATTTGGAAACCAAGGCACAAACTTGAACGCTGTCATGTTCCTCAAACCATTCTTGAACAATTTTTGCAGTGTGGCAGGGTGCATTACCCTGCTAAAAGAGGTCTTTGCCATCAGAGAACACCATTGCCATGAAGTAACATCCACATGAATGCCAGGACCCAAGGTTCCCAGGCACGCCAGAGCACAAAACTGCATACTCCAGCCTGCCTTCTTCCCATACTGCATCTTGCTGCCATCTCTTCCCCAGGTAAACGGTGCACCCATCTAACCACCTGATCTAAAAGAAGATGTGATTTATCAGACTAGGGAACCTTCTTCCATTGCTCCATGGTCTAGTTCTGAGCTAATCTACTAGCCTTCACTCACCATGTGCACCAATGAGCCTTGGGTACCCATGAGTGACACCGGTTCACTGGTTGTCCCTTCATTGCACCACTTTTGGTAGGTACTTGCATACCACTGCCACTGTACCACTGCATACCAGTAACAGCCCACAAGAGTTGCCATTTTGGAATGCTCTGACCCACTCATCTAGCCATAACTATTTGTGCCTGCCCAATTTTCCTGCGCCATGCTTACATAATATCCCACACCATGACAGGTGCCATTGTAACAAAATTAATTTTATTTACCGTATATACTAGAGTATAAGCCCGGCGGTCCTGGGGAGGGGGGCAGCAGCAAGCTGTTACTTACCTTTCCTTCAGCTCCCTGTGTAAACCTCACAAGTCCTGTGGCCGTCAGAGCGTTGCCACGGGTTACTGTGGCAACACTCCGCGCGGCACGCAGAGCGCAAGATTTACACAGGGAGCTGAAGGGAGCTGCTGGAAAGGTAAGTAAACAGCTTGCTGCCGGCCCCTCCACTTCTCAGTACATGCCACTGGACCACCAGGGACTGCTATATCCCCCCTTCCTGGCCAGGTAACAAGCAGGGAGGGGGGACAAAAAAAAAAAAACAAAAGTTAAACAATTAAATATTAAAATAATAAAAATGCACTCCCCCCACCCAGTTTACACACACTACACAAACACACTGCATTCATTATATACACCCACACACTACACACAAACTGCATTCATTATATACACACACACACACACTGCATTCATTAATTATATAACACACATTCTGCCTTCATTATACACACATTCTGCATTCATTATATACACACACACACAAACACACACTGCATTCATTATATACACACACACACATAAATATTCAATTAATGTAATTTTATTGGGATCTAATTTTATTTAGAAACTTACCAGTAGCTGCTGCCTTTCTCACCCTAGGCTTATACTCGAGTCAATACGTTTTCCCAGTTTTTTTGTGGTAAAATTAGGGGCCTCGACTTATATTCGGGTTGGCTTATACTTGAGTATATACGGTACCTTTCATTGGTTTTAATATTGTGGCTGATCAGTGTTTATGAAAGTGTACAGTGATTTGCTGGTAGAGGTATAAAATGTCATTATACGATTACACTGCTAAACAATATTATCCTAAACAATATATACAGTATGTGCACATATGTCAATCCTTTGTGTTTATTTCACATGGCATATTTCTCCTCAAATAAACACCAAAGACACGGTTAATTAAAAACAGTAACTAAGGTACAGAAATCAAGCATATATTTCCTGCTTTTTCTTATACTGAGTTTTTTGGTGGACTCTTAGATAAACACTTCCTTTGCGTTTACTCCAACCTCCATTACCACTTAGAAGTAAGTGGCCATGACTATATAGATTTTAAACAGAAGAGCTCTACATACAGAGTAATCTTCACTTTTGTTTCATCTCCGGCACACCTGACCTTTTTTTATTTTAACAGAATTGTCCAAGGTCAATTCCGTGCAAAAGTTACATCTGTCATTAGAGCACATGGAAATTATGCACAGGCATAATGAGCTTCTCCCTTTCAGAGCTGCCTACAAGGGGAATACTTGATCTTCCCTGCCCACCTCCCTGCATTGATAGTATTCAAGTCCCTTTCCTGAACATGTGGACAGAGATGGAAGCTATTCATCCTACACACACACACACATATATAAATAATTCTACTATTCAGAAAAGGCATATACTTATACATTTAGAAAAAAAAAAATCACACCTCCCCGTGTCAAGGCAGACCCCCCTAGACGGGTCCTACTCTGATCCTTCACCTTGCTTCCTTGAGCTTCTGGCAAAGATCTCTCTAATGAGACAGAAACACATCCCATGTGTTCCCTATTAAGGGTTAATAAGTATATAGGGGTGTATATAAAGAATACGCCTTTCTGTCTCATTAGAGATATCTTTGCCAGAAGCAAGGTGAAGGGTCAGAGAAGGACCTTTTTAGGGGGGTCTGCCTTGACGTTGGCAGGCGGGCATTCCCTCCAGTGGCCATTGGAGTAACTAAATGACCTCCGTTTGTTTAAATATACATAGGGATTAAGGAGAGAGCGCAGGTAACTTTTTTCTTTGGTTTTTACTATATGTATTGGAGCTTATGTGTACTGTGGTCGTTGCTGCCGCCAAGGAGTGATGGGAGTGAGCGCAGGACTTTTTGTATTTAATTTTTTTTTAGGTTTAGTTTTTTACATTTGTAACATATGACAATAAATCATTTCAACAAATTAGAGAATGCAGAGTTATGTTTCACATTTAAGTGAGTAAGTTTTGTGAATACTCCTTTAAAAAGTATAGAACATTTCATGGTTTCATGACTGTTTGTCACTCTCCATGCCTTCAGCGCCACCAGTTGCCCTTTAAAGAGTTATGTTCCACACTGCTATACTACCTTTCGGTAGAAGCCTGCTTGCCATGTCACTGGTTGCTCAGTGCCATAACCTACGGCCATTTTCTGGCATTACATTTTTTGAATGATAACAGCATATGCCTTACAGGCTTGCTCTTTGACCTTTCTGATCTGCCTGTTGATACTTCTGATACTGCCTTATAATTTAGATATTCCCTGTGATTGTTTATTACCTTTGCCCTTGTACTGTATCTAAAGTACCTTAACCTAGCAGAAAATATAAAGACCTGAAGCTTCAAATCTCTGAAGATCAACATATTTCATAACCGCTCGTTCAGCCAAAGGATAATTTAAATTAACAATCCAGACCCGTGAGGAAAAACTAAAATGTTGGCAGGCAAATGCAAACTTGTGGCTGGTTTAAACAAACTGGGGCACAAATAGGTATACTGTAGAACTGCAGCATTCAGAATCACCTTGCAAATCAGCAATATAAAGAATATAAAACTTACACCTTGGTCATTGTCATATCGCGCATTAGTAACATAAGTAACTGGTCTGGTGGGGTCAACTTCTCTCGTGTGAGCGATCACGGTTCTGTTGAGTTAAGAGAAACAGATATTAGAAACGCCTAATGAGAATATTTCAGTATTCCACTGGCAGAATGAAGAGACCATGTGTAGCTTATAAGTAATAATAGTCTTATCTCTTGTCTCTACAAAACAGCAAACGTTCATAAAACCGGAGTCATCATATTTCACTAAGTACTGAAATTAAGCTGATCAAAATGGATTTCTCATCAACTCTTGGACCTGTAATGACCTAGTGGAAAAAATCTGTAGTTGCATTTTACTACTTCATTTGAATTTAGCAAATTTTCCTGTTGAAATCTGGAGGCTGCCAGCTGTCAGGGGACGTAGTAAACACCTCTAGTTGTGTTTGGTTTTCCTTAAAGCGGCAATGTCATGCCGAACTTACCTTTCCCCAATTGCTTCCTCTCTTAGAATATGTTCTTCCTTTCGGATTTAGATTTCTTTAAAACATACCTAAAGTCCTCCCTTCCTCCACCACCCATGAGCGGTGGGTGGGGGCCCTTCAATGACAAAAGGGTAGAAAGGGAACCTAATGTCTCTCTTCCCCCTCCCCCACAGGTCCCCACCCATGAGTGGCAGGTGGGGACCCTAAATGACAAAAGAGGGGGGAAATTCTGTCATGATGGGGGTCGGAGGGCGGGGACAGTAGGTTCCCCCCCTTGATGGTAGTGACCAGACCGTTTAAAAAAAATTCTTACCGTTGAGGACCAGGGCCGTTTTTACATTTCTGCTGTGTTTGTGTTTAGCTGTAATTCTCCTCTTACTCATTTACTGTACCCACACATATTATATACTGTTTTTCTCACCATTAAACGGTCTTTCTAAAGATACCATTATTTTCATCATATCATATAATTTACTATAAAACAATTATAAAATATGATGAAAAATTTTTAAAAAACAAACAGTTTTTCTAACTTTGACCCCTAAAATCTGTTGCACATTTACAACTGCCAAAAACACTGTGCTAAATAGTTTCTTAATTTTGTTTAGAAATACCCAACGTTAACATGTTCTTAGCTTTTTTTTTTTGCAAGTTATATAGCTATAATTACATTTTTTTTTAAATTTATCAATAGTGACATGGTAACACTGTTATCTGTCATAAATCTCTGAATCACACCTCACATGTACATGTTTTTTTTAATTTTTTTAAAGTAGACAACCCAGGATATTCACAAACACTGGCCAAAGTTAGCATTTATATTTGTGTGTTAAAAACGCAAAAAACAACAAATATGCCTATATAAAATAGAACAGTAAGGATTGAAAAAGTCCCAAGTGTACAATAAAATTGGTAATTCTCAGGAATATAAAATGGTAAATAAGTCACATAAAAAGTCTCTCTATATACCAGGATGGGAGGGGGAAGAAGAGTTGATCCGTCCGGATGGTGAAAATATCGGTATATGTGGAGAGAAAGGGAAAACTACAAAATAGCCGATGGTGTAATATTGTCAGGATCCAGTAAAAAATTATTAAAATGAAGGTAATACACTCACATTTAGAAGAGCTCTTATTTTTTATTAAGATCTTAGCTCAGTATCCATGCTATACAGTATACTTGGTTATTCTCATTGTCTATAGATGTATTCATGCTCTCCTTATGTTCATATGTTGTAAGTTGTATGTATATATTAGGCATGTTTGCATGCACATGGGATTATTTCTCTTTTTCTCTCTCTCTTTGATATATCTTATATATATTCCTCTTATATATATTCTTCATATATACACTCATATAGGTCTCTTGTCCCCTTTAATATTTTTTATCTGTATTGGAGTGGTATAAATACCCTGTTTAGTACATATTATATTTCTGCACTATATCCAGCTATAACATTCCTGTATGGTGTACACAGTGTATTTAAGGGATACTATTTAGCTCTTATTTCCTCCATAGTTTTTATGCATTCACATCTTTATGAAGATCACCTTTTAGTGATCATGTTTATTCACTTTAGTTACACTTTGCGATCTGCATTACATATTTGCAGTTTCGTTTACTATCGTTGCCTAGCAACGTCGTAATCACGTGCGTCATCACGCCGGTCACGTGGTGCACACTGTTTCACTTCCGGGTTCGGACGGATAGGGAATCTTTCACCCACATCTTTTTGGTAAGTGTCCATTTGATGTTTATCCATATATATTCATTTGTTTGCACATTATATTGATCTTGAAAAAGACCCTTTAGGGGTCGAAACGTCGATTTGTTTGATTTCTTTGCACATGTATATTTGCATGTAAAATAAATAGAAGCACATTTGAAGACCTGTGAGTGCACCTTTGTTTATATATATATATTTATTCTGTTTTTTTAATTTTATTTATTTATTAACGTTTTTATTTTTTTATTACACATGCAGGGAGACTGCCCGTCAGTTCAGGCAGCACTATAGGTGCCTATTGCGGGGGCCTAGTTTGCTGAGGGGGGACTGTGTGGGCTGACAGACCGTCCCCCAGAATGAGAGGAACACCGATCGCCGGTCGGGAAGGGGTTAATTGACACTCTACCTAGTGTTGGCAGATGATGTGAACTAGATCCAGGCAAGAAATCAACAGGTTAAGAAGGATGAAATGTACATTTGGGGGTGACTAGGGAGACAATTAGATGGGGTAAAAAAAAACAAAAAAATAAAAATAACGGATGCAGCCATTAAAGTGCCACTTTAATTTGAATGACCCATTAAAAATAAGAAAAACAAAAGCACACGTATCGGATCTAGATTTGCTACATGATTCATAAGTAACGCTGGAGTGGCTTGTTCTGTGGCTGAACTGAGGAAAAATTAGGTATTCAGCATACACAATACAGCATATTTCTGCCATTAAGTTCCAAAGGAGACACATTAAAGGGACTCTATAGGCACCCAGACCACCACATTTCAATGAATGGTCTTGCCATGTTCTCCCTACATTTTAACCCTGAAAGTGGTTTTGATAAAAACAGCAATGCTTTCATTGCAGGGTTTAAATGCATTTTGTAATTTTGAAGTGTAACATTTGTCCTCAAAACCTCCACGAATATGCTCATACTCACTTGAAATAATATCCAGCAAGGTGGAGCTGGGATGCAGGCTCATTGGCAACCGACCACATTACGACTGAAGGCCTGTTCTTATCCCTGCGTACCAGCTCTTCCATGACAACTAAATGGTGCTGGAGAGATTGGTTTCCAAAGCTTTCACTGGCATGGAAGAAATCAGACAAAATTGATCATTATTTTTTCTTTGTTCAGATTGTATTTCAGTTTGCATAGTAGTTGCCTTCTTTTGAATCAACCACAACAATAAGGATGTGTGAAAGATTCCAACCTGTATTAACAGGTTCCTGAGCTTAAAGACATCACCAGGAGTGTGTGAAATACACACGTGGTAATTGTTTTGTGGCTGTTCCCATAAGAATGTAACATTTAGGCTATGCCCAATTTGATATAACAACATAGAGTAGTGCAATTGGACCTTGAATGTCAGTTTGATTTTAAAAGCTAAACGTATGTAAGCAAGTTGTGTTAGGGTTGAAATGTAGGGACTCCTATTCATCCAGCTGCTGTATTTTGCTGGGGGAGAGGTTTATAGATGAACAGTGAGTACTGTTATCGATGTGAGCACCCGTTCTGTCTTTTCAGTTCTAGCAGTATAAATACGGCACTGTGAGACGGAGGCTTGGATGGAAAGGCAAACACAAAACGCATAGTGTTCATGATCACACAGCACCTACACTTATTGGCTAGTTGGTACAGAAGACTTGGTACACGGTTTAGACACCGAGTACAGTTTCATACCATATACATGTACATTTTCCACCATTATGTTGGTGAGGTAAGTAGTGCTCTGTACACTCCAGATACAATGGATTACATTCAGAGAGATAAGGAATCTGGGCTTTGGGATTATGTGTTTGAGTATGAGAATGTGTTACAGAAGAAAAGGGTGCCATTCGTTTATTCAGTTTAATTGACATACTCTGAGTATTAGTACATCAAAAATGCATTCTATGCAAACATCTGTCAGTCTTGCCAGAATAAGACAGCTGATGTGGATAACCTATGTGGCATACGAATTACGCTCATAGCCTATTTGTTCTCACTTTAAACGTGCATTTAAGTACTGCTCAATTATATTTGGCTGTGCTTTCCATTTTCATACCCTTTTTCACCCCCCAATTCTCGCCAATTTCATTCTGTACCCTCTTTCCATTGATATTTTGAAATTCAATAAAAAATTTCAAATGAAAAACAAAACAAATGCATTTTAGGCAATTTAAAAAAAAAAAAAAAAAACATTTGTAGCCCATTAAGCACACTGTTACAATCTAATCACACAAAGCTTTTCAAATTGGCACGTAAAAGGATATTTCCTAAAATGTGACCTGTCTGGCATTTAAAGGGTGTTTAAATTTCAACAAAAATAGGCAAACTATAAAAATTCCCCAAGCCAGTTATGTTTTCATTTCAGCTATTTTTGGGCTAATATTGTAAATTAGGTTTTAATTCCACATTTTATAAATCCTTTATTTTGAGCGTGCATTGAGTAACAGAACATCGTACGATGCCACAACAGCATGAGTAAGTGTATGGATAGCACAGAGGGTCACATATGTGGCTCAGAGGTGACGGCACATTTTAAAATATTATTATGAAAGACAAAACGGTTTCGTTACAGTAGCGTAACTTTAACGTGGAGTACAAGCTTAAAGGACCACTCTAGGCACCCAGACCACTTCAGCTTAATGAAGTGGTCTGGGTGCCAGGTCCCTCTAGGATTAACCCCCCCCCCTTTTTTTTTTTTAATAAACATAGCAGTTTCAGAGAAACTGCTATGTTTATAAATGGGTTAATCCAGCCTCTAAAGCCTCTAGTGGCTGTCTCATTGCGTGCGAGAAGACGCAAGCGTCCATAGGAAAGCATTGTAAATGCTTTCCTATGAGACAGGCTGAATGCGTGCGCAGCTGCTGCCGCGCATGCGCATTCAGCCGAAGAGGAGGATTGGAGGCGGAGAGGAGGACGAGAGCTCCCCACCCGGCGCTGGAAAAAAGGTAAGTTTAACCCCTTTCCTTGCCATCCAGCCCGGCGGGAGTGGGACCCTGAGGGTGGGGGCACCCTCAGGGCACTATAGTGGTCCTTTAAGCATGCTAAATTAGCTGGCATGGAGTTACCGTATATACTAGAGTATAAGCAGAGTTTTTCAGCACATTTTTTGTGCTGAAAAACCCCAACTCGGCTTATACTCAAGTCAGTATGTATTATGGCAACTTACATTGCCATAATACAGACCAGGACCGCCGGGCTCATTACAAGCCCGGCGGTCCTGTTGGGGGCTGACAGTGAGCTGTTACTTACCTTCCTGCAGCTCCTGTCAGCTCCCTCCTCCTCCGTGCAGCTCCTCGGTCAGCTCCGTTCTGCTCCCAGTGTAAGTCTCGCGAGAGCCGCGGGTCTCGCGAGACTTGCACTGTAAACAGAACATAGCTGACCGAGGAGCTGCACGGAGGAGGAGGGAGCTGACAGGAGCTGCAGGAAGGTAAGTAACAGCTCGCTGCCAGCCCCCCCACTGAACTGCCAAGGCCACTGGACCACCAGGGATTCAATATTATTATATTTTAATAATAATAAATTATTAAAATTATATTATTATTTTAATATTTTCATTATTTTTTTTAAAATGGTTTTTTTGTCCCCCCTCCCTGACCAGGCAACAAGCAGGGAGGGGGGACAAAAAAAACATTTAAAAAAAAAATTATTATTATTTTAATATTTGCATATTATTAAAATAATATCATATTAAAATAATAATAATAATATAATAATATTAAAATAATATAATAAAATTTAAATAAAATACCCTCCCCTCATCCAGTTTACACACACTGCACAAACACACTGCATTATATACACACTGCATTATATACACACACACACAAACACACACTCTGCATTCATTATATACACATACAAACACACACTCTGCATGCATTCTATACACACACTGCAAATAAATATTAAATTAATGTAATTTTATTGGGATCTAATTTAATTTAGAAATTTACCAGTAGCTGCTGCATTTCCCACCCTAGGCTTATACTCGAGTCAATAAGTTTTCCCAGTTTTTTGTGGTAAAATTAGGGGCCTCGGCTTATATTGGGTCGGCTTATACTCGAGTATATACGGTACATAAAATCATGAGAGTACATTCAAACAATAAATTCAACATGTGCTTTGGCTTTAACCTTGAGTACTATCTTAAGCATGATAAATTAGCTGGCATTTGAGTTAGGCAAAATCATGAGATTAAATTCAGACAATTACTTCAACGTGTGCTCTGGTTTTAACTTTGAGTACAAGCTTAACCCCTTAAGGACCAAATTTCTGGAATAAAAGGGAATCATGACATGTCACACATGTCATATGTCCTTAAGAGGTTAAGCATGCTAAATTAGCTGGCTTTGAGTTACACAAAATCATGAGAGTACATTCAAACAATAAACTCAACGTGCGCTCTGGCTTTAACTTTTGGTACAAGCTTAAGCATGCTGAATTAGCAGGCAATGGGTTAAACAAAATCATGAGTACATTCAGACCCTAAGTTCAACGTGTGCTCGGAGTATGTGTGATCTGCCATGTGTGTGTTAGTGTCCTCTTAGGTTCCCCTGAGTGGTGTGTACCCCTGTCCGGTAGTCGGTTCAATGGGTGTGGGTGAATGAGCCTGGCAATTGTTATGCTGGCACAATAGAGTGCATGTAGAGCTAAGCAGTGAGGCAAAATATAGTAATATTAACAAGATGTGCAGCATACTATGCTAGGTTGGAGCTCGAACTAGATTAGCGGTTCCTAGATTGTAGTGGTGATAAAGGTAAAATATGGTATAACATTGGGAGGTATCAACGTCAGGAGCGAGGTTGCTAAACAATTATATTACCCCCCCCCCGGGTAGCCAGCCGTGTGTTCGTGTAGGCAGCAATTGGGCTCAGTGTCCACGGCCATGGCATCAGCCGATACCATAGTCCCGACCCGGTAAAACCCCGGCTCCGTTCCTCTCGACGAATAGCTGTTTTCTATTGATGACTGTGTTGGCGTTGGGTGAGTGGTAAGTTCGCAGCCCTGTTCATGTGGTGGCCGTAGCGTATGGGTCTGTAGGCGGCTTCCTGGGCACAAATTCCGGGGCATCCACGGTGTGCCTTCCCAGCTGGCATGTGTGGCCTGAGAGGTGCGTTGCCTGATTCTGCGGGTCAGTAGGGATGTTCAGTAGCCTTATTATCTCTGCGGCTTCCTGGGGATTGTGAACAGCGTGTTTGGTTTCTCCTTTGCTGATGTTGAGGGTGCGGTTCGGGATAATTCCACATTTTAGTGAATAAACGTGGTAGTTTAATTGGCACATTGACTTAGCAGAAACCAATATTCATGAACTATATTTTGCACGAAAGTCAATGGATTTACAAGCCAGTGTTAATAGTGTTATGGACAAAATACTGTGTACAAATAGTGCTCAGTAACTATTTCCTCTGTCAATTCCTCCCATCCGGCTACCCCTCCCCCCTTCCCATCGAGCAAGCCTCATGTAACAAATTCCTGTGTTAAAAGAATAGCTTCCTTTACTAAACTCCTCCCCCGCTTCCTTTGTGCAACTAACAGCTATGTGCCACGTGTAACAAAATGGAGAATCGCTGTTAAAGTAACAGTTTCCCCTTCAGCCCCTCTCTGTTCAGTAACTACTCACTTCCCCTCCCATCGTGTAACCAAGATGGAGCTGGAAGAACTCTGTAATGATGACATTACATCCTGTAGGGGGGGTTTAGACAAGACCCCTTAGACTGTTAACCAATTGTTGAATGTATACTGTATGTTAACTGTGACTCTGTACATGATGTATTTCTGCTTTAAAAGGCGCTCCCACTCTGGGGAATAAAGCATTCCACAGGTTTTTCACTAATCAGAAACTTTGTCTCCGGTGTGAATTACTTCTAAGGAAAAGCGTGCACGCAATTAATTAATCAATTTGGAAGGAGCAGATAGACAATTAATCAAAGTTTGCTTTGATCTAAATCAATAGTGCAAATACTGCTTAGTTTGCTTTATTAACATGTAAATTGAACCTCTGTGAGGTCAGCTGAGCGTATGGTGACATCATAATGGAGGTGCTGGCAAGCTAGAATTACTGGACTTGAAACCATTCTGATATCATTTCAACCATGGAGCAGAAGAGAGAGGACATAAATGACTGACATTAGAAAAGAGAAAAAACAGGCAAGGATTTTAACTTCCTTGTTTAATGTACAGAATTCTGAAATAATAGTGAATATATTTCTAAGTTAACAATGTGATTAAACCAAGCACCTAAGGGTCTTTGTGGTGAAATAGAAATTTGGTTATTTACTTAGCAGGGTTCAGTATGAATGCTTCAGACCTTTATGGCCTTTTTGTTAAATATGTATTTATATTATTCTTCATACTGATCAAGGACATAACATCCAAAAATATCATCCAGTACGAATACATAAAATAACACAATATCTAATAACTATATAAATATTTTACATGTACGGTTCTTAAATTTTCTTGTCTGTAAAGCAGTCAATAGAGTAATTGTTCAAAAGGTTTCTGTATGCATCATTATGAGCATCATCCCGAATACTGTGCAATGCGTAGTGAGCTCCAACAGGGCCCTTTTTTGAAACCCTTGAGTGCTCAGTTCGTATTTAGAACAGCAAGCGTTCAGTAGCTGCTCTGTTTTTGAAGTTGACCAAAAGCACCTTAAGTGCAATATTAAAACAATAAACAATTTATATATACACACACACACTAGTGCAGGGATAGGCAACCTTCGGCACTCCAGATGTTGTGGACTACATCTCCCATAATGCTATTACACCCATAATGCTGGCAAAGCATCATGGGAGGTGTAGTCCAAATATCTGGAGTGCCGATATGATCTGCTTGGAGCAGGTATGCTTTTCAGAATAGCTCAAAATAGAAAGAGGGAAAAGCACATAGGGTAATACTGTAGTGCAAAAAGGTATAATAGAAATAGGGCGAGCGTATAATAGATATAATAATTTCCTTGTGAGTTTTCTCAATTTTTAGTAGCTTGATGCTTCCACTACAGATTAAAGGGATCCTATAGTGCCAGGAAAACAAAGCAGGTTTAAGAGGACCTCCCCTCCCCCCCCCCCCTCTGCAAGGGAGGGGGGCAGGGAGTGGACTATTAAACCTATAGTGCCATATTCAGTCACTTACCTGAATCCAGTGGGGATGTCCCACGGCACTGGGTCAGGCCCCGCCCACGCGGACGTCGGTTGGGGAGACCTAAAGTGCATCCAATGGCCGCACTGCATTAGAGCTCCCCATAGGAAAGCTTTATTCAATGCTTTTCTATGGAAAAAATATTATGCTGGAGGTCCTCATGCAGAGCGTGAGAACGTACAGCGTCAGATAACAGACCAAAGGTCCGTTTAGATCCCGTAAGCGCCCCAGTGACTGTCTGGTAGACAGCCACTGAGGGCAGACTTAGAGCTGCAATGTAAACATTTCAGTTCTCTGGAACTGCAATGTTTTACATTGCAGCACTAAGTGCAATAGGGACACAGCACCCAGACCACTTCAATGAGCAGAAGTGGTCTGGGTGCCTACCATGTCCCTTTAAACACAAGTCTCCTGGACAGAGGTGAAGAGAATACCTCTGATGTGTAATCAGATAATGGAAAGTAATTTTCTAGTAATACCTCTACTAACCGTCACTCAGAAAGCTACTAGAGGTGCTTCCTGGATCAGTGCAGCACAGACATTCAGTGTCCCCATACTCTGTATGGAGACATTAAACACTCCTTATAGTGATGCATGGATTCAATGCATCTCTATGAGGAGTTACTGATTGGCGCACCGTGGCATTTTGCACATGCGCAATAGCCTACCAATGCGAAAGCATTGGATTGAGGGAGATCATCAAATTTGCTGATCTCAGTCAAGGAGGCGGAACAGGGGTGGGTCCAGCTGCGAGGAGACCCACGCGGCACTGGGAAAAAGAGGGTAAAGGAAGCTGTTCTTTTAACACAGGAATTTGTTACATGAGGCTTGCTCGATGGGAAGGGGGGAGGGTAGCCGGATGGGAGGAATTGACAGAGGAAATAGTTACTGAGCACTATTTGTACACAGTATTTTGTCCATAACACTATTAACACTGGCTTGTAAATCCATTGACTTTCATGCAAAATATAGTTCATGAATATTGGTTTCTGCTAAGTCAATGTGCCAATTAAACTACCACGTTTATTCACTAAAATGTGGAATTATCCCGAACCGCACCCTCCACATCAGCAAAGGAGAAACCAAACACGCTGTCCACAACCCCCAGGAAGCCGCAGAGATAATAAGGCTACTGAACATCCCTACTGACCCGCAGAATCAGGCAACGCACCTTTCAGGTCACACATGCCAGCTGGGAAGGCACACCGTGGATGCCCCGGAATTTGTGCCCAGGAAGCCGCCTACAGACCCATACGCTACGGCCACCACATGAACAGGGCTGCGAACTTACCACTCACCCAACGCCAACACAGTCATCAATAGAAATCAGCTATTCGTCGAGAGGAACGGAGCCGGGGTTTTACCGGGTCGGGACTATGGTATCGGCTGATGCCATGGCCGTGGACACTGAGCCCAATTGCTGCCTACACGAACACACGGCTGGCTACCCGGGGGGGTAATATAATTGTTTAGCAACCTCGCTCCTGACGTTGATACCTCCCAATGTTATACCATATTTTACCTTTATCACCACTACAATCTAGGAACCGCTAATCTAGTTCGAGCTCCAACCTAGCATAGTATGCTGCACATCTTGTTAATATTACTATATTTTGCCTCACTGCTTAGCTCTACATGCACTCTATTGTGCCAGCATAACAATTGCCAGGCTCATTCACCCACACCCATTGAACCGACTACCGGACAGGGGTACACACCACTCAGGGGAACCTAAGAGGACACTAACACACACATGGCAGATCACACATACTCCGAGCACACGTTGAACTTAGGGTCTGAATGTACTCATGATTTTGTTTAACCCATTGCCTGCTAATTCAGCATGCTTAAGCTTGTACCAAAAGTTAAAGCCAGAGCGCACGTTGAGTTTATTGTTTGAATGTACTCTCATGATTTTGTGTAACTCAAAGCCAGCTAATTTAGCATGCTTAGCCCCTTAAGGACACATGACACGTGTGACATGTCATGATTCCCTTTTATTCCAGAAATTTGGTCCTTAAGGGGTTAAGCTTGTACTCAAAGTTAAAACCAGAGCACACGTTGAAGTAATTGTCTGAATTTAATCTCATGATTTTGCCTAACTCAAATGCCAGCTAATTTAGCATGCTTAAGATAGTACTCAGAGGTATTTTACTTAGCGAATAGGAGAGCCAAGGACCTAAAGAAAGCATTTACACCTATAGTGTCAGGAATACACGTTTGTATTCCTGAAACAATATAGTGTTCTACACATTATGGGTTCTAAGCAAAGCTCTAGAGGAATTATCCCATTTGCATTTTATCCAACTAGATTAAACATGTAAATTAATAAGAAACAGTCCTATCACACTCGACACTTTGTACACCATGGAGAGCAATACTGAAATACATATTAAGCTTCTCTAATAAAGCTTAAAACAATAAAGTGCAAGTTCAGCCAAGATGGAATCTGGAGCATTGTAGATAGATATATCATCATCTTTTTCTTTTAGTTTGTGTAAAGGAACACAATAGGGTCAGGAACATTGACACTGAATCAATGCATCTCTATGAGGACAATTCAGTGTCTCCATGCAGATATTGCTCACCAATATTCCTTCTCTCTACACTGATTTTTCCTATTCACACCTTTACCACTCTACTACCCACTCTTTCAGCTGAGTTTCTAGAATGTCAAATGTCTCCATCATGACCTCACTATAAGTTAATAAATTGTCAGGGCCAGCTTTCATAATAGATAGGATATGCCGTCCACAACAGAAGGTAAGAGACATTGTCCGAAGACCATAAAGTGGTTCTCTCCTTACCAAACAACTGACTGTTAAATAAACTTCAAGCTACTTTTTTGTTTTTATAGAGCATTTAAAGGAAATCAGTCATAGAGTTGAGAGTTTAAGGAACTTTTATTTATTGATCTTTTTGCTTAATAATAAATATTGAGTTTATTCTGTAGTTCTGCTCCGACACCTACCCTCTCTCTATTGCCCGAGCTTCCATTTGAATGGTATTTGATTTGAATCATCCATTATCTGACCCAGAGCAGATCACAGCTATGCAGCGTTGACAGCAGCCATAGCTTCTTAGGTCAGCTGGGCAGCCACGGGTACCACTGGTTTAGCGGACACGATAACTGAAAGCTGCCTACCTGTTCTCCATTCTGACAATGTAAAGCACAGTGGCAGGTGAGAATGATCTTAAACCAAAGATCACTCAGAATGGCAGTTAATAGTCAAAAGTCAATAGAAAGGGTGTAGGAGTCAGAGTAGAATTATAAAATAAAAATCAATCTACATTGCATTAGTGCAGCATGCAAAATTAAGCAGTCTAAATAATACAAGTGAAGTTAGGTGTTTAGATAAGTGCCCGTTTTTCACGCAAAGGCCAGAGCAAATTTTAATTTATTTTAAAATCAGCTTCCTATCTAAATGGAACTATGAAAGAGCAGAGTAGAAAGAAAAAAGTCTGATGAGTCTTGTTGACAATTGTAAATTCTTTAGATTTCAGTGATTTAGTATTCTCCAACTATAGCTCTTAGTTCTTGTAACCATTGGTGCAATGTGTAATGTCTATCACAGTACTGCATTTTATAGAGTGGTGTGGTCTGTGATGCAGTTCCATTCATATATATTCCACTATTATCTTGTCTGTACTGGTAACATAGCACGTGTAGAAAATAGAAGCAGGGGATTTAGATTAAAAAAAAAAAAAGACTGTGCTACCATATACAATTTTCTACAGAGTCTACCTTAAAAATATTTGATGGTATCTTACATGCAAAGAAAATATCTTCAGGTCCTTAATACACCTTTGATCATATTTCCAAGAAATTGATCTACATCCTTTCTATGCATAACCTACTACAACCACTTAAAAGCTTAATTTTATTGAATGGAAATATGTTTAATCATTATTACTTTGGCTAAGGAAATATTTGTTCTTTCTGTTGATATTTTATGGTAAGTAAATCACATGAAATGTTTTGTTAAAGTTAGAGAAAAACCTGTGTCCAACAAACCTTCATGAAAACACAACACAGAAAATAAGCTTGCCTACTTACGGTAGTCTAATCCCAACTCCAGGACATTCATCGATCACTACAATGCCATATTTATCACACAGATCCATAATCTCCTCTGCATATGGATAGTGGCTAGTGCGGAATGAATTTGCACCCAGCCACTTCAACAGATTAAAATCTTTTATAATAAGAGGCCAGTCGAGACCTTTGCCTCTAACCTAGGGGGGAAAGATAGCTATATTTTATATACACAGTACCCACACACATCTGCAATTATCACTTGTACAAACAAAATCAAATATGCCTCCTCCACATTAAACCATACACATACATTTTATTTTTACACATTTTTTTTTAAACCCTGCTGCAAAAAATAAATACAACATTTTGATAGCTGTCAATAGGATAAAATATTCCTCCCAATAGAGGAAACTAATGTCAGAAGTCAGAGACCAACCAATTACTTTACACTTCTCACTCCCATGTCTGTCAAGACAAAAGGATTAGAACTAGAGGTCAACTATCCAGTGACGCTCTACACATATGCATACATCAGACTGAAAAACTGTATAGCAGCTTCCTTGCAAGTGAATGACTATGCTCTATCTCCTAGCCAAAGCTGTAGATATAGCCTATTTCACAATGTTGGGAGATATATATCAATTTTTTAAAATCGTTTTAAAGCTGCTTAGGGGGTTATTTTCTTCTTATAGAAGTCCTTCTATGGAAACCATCTTCTCAAACAAAACGGGGGATAATTTTCCAGCAATTTGAAAAGGTTGAATTCAGTCATAATTTGGATCTACCGACAAATTTAGAGTGGCGGAATAATAATTTTTTTGGGGGGAGGACAGTGTGACGGATCTTGTACCCTTTATGTTCCCTAAAATACTTATTCACAGACCCCCTGTTTCGGTACCTTCACTTCTACCGAACATACTACCGAACACATGCTCCCTCGCAGATGGCGGCTATTTTGTCTCCCGAAAGACACCAGCGGTAGTTAGCCGCTTACTCCATGGAACTCTATACGGCCACTGGACCATGCAGTTCCCAGACTACCTTTTTCCCTGTTTTGTACACTTGACGATCGGAGGGAAGGTACTACAGACTCTTGAGAACAATCACTGCCAAAGAACCAGGAGGAGCGCCCTTTCGTTTGACCACAGGAGCTCCCGATGTTTGACTGGCCAAGGACACTTTTCCTCTGGAACGGTTTTGGGCTTTGCCCATATGTGCGGCCAGTCAAAACTATACCCCAGTGGCGATTGGACAAATCTTCATGGATCTGGGTGCTATTTGGCCAACATTGGCGCTTGGACCAGAGCTATCCTGGGATGTATGACATGTGGGGTTTCTGTGTGTTTTAAATGTGTACGTTTATGTTTGGCTCTCTGTATCCGAGAGATAATTCACTTATCTCCCAGACACAGACACCTGGGCGGGATTACGGTGTAAAGAATGATGGGGGTCTGGGCATAAAAGGCTGCATTCAGAGCAATAAACTCAGATTACTCCCAGAACTATGTCTAGTCTAGTTACTGGGAGGAAGAGAGCTATATTCACACACTGTTCAAGTCTGGCTGAGAGGAGAGTTTAGCAGAGGTAACCAGTCGGGTTACCAGAGGTCAGCTACAGAGAGCAAAAAAGCAAGGTGCAAGAGAGTATTGAGAACAGACAACAGCTCAAGTAGGCTGCCCTTCGGTGGAACCCTGCTCAGATCTCCAGTGGGTTTTAGCTTACCTTGTGCCATTACAAAAAGAACCAGGGCCATTTGCATATCAGACTGATCCCACCTACAAGGCGGGTCCAGACCCTAAAAGCAGGCCGGCACGCTCTGCACGAGAGATACAGCAACCTCAGATGATTGTTTTGGCCTTGCTAGGACTCGTCAATGAGGTATAGCCGATATCCCTCTAGGCACCATGAGCAAGGGGTCCAAGTCCTGATTACCCTTAAAACTTGGAGAGAGAGTACTGAGAACAGCTCAAGTAGCCTGTTTGTTTATTTTGTGAAAAGTGGCACAAATATACACACAAATCATTTATGTTCAGAAAAGATTGTTGGGCTGAAAAAAAAATAAAAAAATAAAAAACACAGATTAAAAAATCCGACTTCTTAAATAAATTGCAACAAAAATGTTCCAAAAATTAGATGAAAAACAAAGTCAGTGACACTTTCATATATAGTGTTCAGCACAGGGCATGGGGAGGCCTGAACCGATTGCATCTAGCAATGTTTGTCAACGCATTGGATAACATGTATTATACGTATTTTTCCGCTGGGATGCTGTAGCACCAAATATATGAGCACACTAGCAGGTCAGGCCTTAGCAGGGAAGAGCTATTCCTCTACACGGGATCTTTGCTATTCGGTAGCACCACTGGTGGTGAAGTTGTTCCATGCATTTATCTGATGCAACCCCTATGTTTCTATTTTGCTAATGTAATAGAAGCATTGAAAAGAAGCCTGGTCAGGGAGCATTTGTATTTTGACTTTGGTATATTTGCAATGTGCAAAAGTATAACTTTGGGGATGAAGAGGGAATGGGGTGGATGAGGTCTTTCATCTTAGCTTGAACTAAAAGCTATTTTATCCACCAACTATGCAGAAAGTAGATCACCATCCCCCAACATTGCCAGCATACATTTGAGTTTTACCAAGATTCTATGGAGGATCTGTTATGTTCTGTATCCACCACACAGTGTTACGACTCCACATGTTGTAACATTAACGGACTAAGGGACTCAAGGCAACAGCTAAGTGGATGCACTGGGAAATGTACACACCTCCTCCTGGGGTCATGAAACCACTGGGGACCATGTGCAGATGGGCTCATTGTGCCCCTTGTTTGGGTGCTTGCTCACAGCTTAAGAATATGAAACAGTGGCATAGATTCCCACCCAACAAGATAATCTTGTGGAGGAAAAAAGACGAGTCGGGCCCAGCAGTGCCTGGCCAGGGGCCCTTCTCAGAGGCTGGACTGACTGAAATTGAATACCCCAATAATGCCAGCAGTCAAAGAAGAATAAAATGAGATAAACACCAGTTTCACTTCTAACTAACATTCATAAGTATTCTCCCAAGATGGTGCCTACTAAGCCCCTATTGGAGAACATGCAAAGCCAGAAGATGTGGTCTCAGATACATCACAACCATCATTTTACAATAAATAGGCAAAGATCGACCTAGATGGCAAAGAAAATGGTGCAAAGGTGAAGACTGAACATCAGGCCTTGGGGTACTAGACATAAGAACTTAAGAGCAGGGTTGAGACTGCCATTGCACCCAATATAAAGCTGTTAACCATTCTAATGCACTTTAGACATACTTAGATAAAGACAAAGATGACATCTCCAATAGGTTTCACTGGTATAACCCAAGGATCCAAGGTCTGCCCAGCTCCTAATTCTTGGATATCTTCTGATGCTTATTACCAGATATCCCAGAGCCCATGTAGCTCATCAAGTCTAGAGGGCCTTGACAGCAGGAGAGGATATCATAGTGTACTTTTACCTATTCAGCACACAGAGAAGCCACAATCAAAATATTCTAAGAAGTTGGAATTCTGTCACAGTCAAGGACTTCAATCTATCCCATATAGAAACATTACCAGTCTAAGGCATTGGCAGACCTGCTACAAGATAATAATAGCTTTGCCTGGGACACCCCTTCAAAATTAAGGTTTTACAAAAAGGAGAATGACCACCATTACCAGCTGCCGTTATGTCCACCACATGACCCAGAAGATTTATATGTGCATTAGACATATCCCTGCAAAAGGCATTGGATTCCTGCCAGTACTGATCAAACTAATCAATGTTAATTCTGGGTGAAAAAAAATCAAGAATTTTCTAGAAAAGTGACCGATTTACATCTTCCAGTTGTACAATAAAGGCCAACTCTTACAAGACAGATGTTTATCATATATTTCCTATAATGCTCTGTCAGCCTTTTAACTGGTGGGTCATTTATTAAGGGTAATTCTGGAGACAAAGCTCTATATCTGGAACAATCATACAAGTCAACAGACTATTACCACTGGTTGCTCCACTTTGATAATTATTTATACAGATCAATTATGTAGCAGATTCAAAATATGTCAAATGGAAGTATGAAATAAAGAAATTTAACGTACATCATAGTCCTCATGCTTGTTGACGCCATGGAAGTAGAAAGGTTTCCCATTGATGAGGAATTCAGTTTCAGACACTTTCACAGTTCTTATCCCCACTGGCAAATTGTATATGTCCACAAAGGAATTAAACTCTGTATCTGTGGTCATCTTAACCTGTTAACCAGATAGGAAGTTCACATCAGTATACAGTTAGTAAAATCTCATACAGAATAATACATGTGGTTTGGAAAATGTAGTTCCTATGTACAAAATGTCCTCCCTGCTCCTCAGACTACCTTTCCTAGCATGGATTATGCAATCAATTGCTCAAGAAGGTGAATGAATGGCCTTGGAATTTTAGTGGATCTTCCACAGACACCAATTTTGCATGTAACCACATGGCTCCTAACAGCTTCAGTTATCCTCAGACACAGACGATTACTGGAAAGTGGTAAGGATGAGAAGAGAGAGCTGGTAAATATATCTAACCTCTATGCAAGTAGACTGGTCACCATGGGCGTCCACAGGAATTTTTCCAGGGGGGGGGGCATAATTGTAATGACATCCATGCTTGGTACCTTTTTGACAGTGTCATGAAAGGGAAGGGGCATAGCCATTATCACATAAAGCCAGGGTGAAGGGCGTTTTCACAACTATGGTGTCAGGAATATATGTTTGTATTCCTGACACTATAGTGTTCCTTTAAGCAAATTAAAGGACCATTTTGGTCACCATAACAACTTCACCTAAATGAAAATGCTATGCCAGGAAGCCCCTGGGTGCTCGCTTTCCTTTAAGGGGTTAAATTGCTCTCAAATGGTTTAACCCCAAAGGCTTCCTCCAGCTCCAGGTCGCTCAGTGGTATTTGGCTTCTGAAACAGAGTGTCAGGAAGTGCAGATTGACGTCAGGCATGGGTGCCGCTGATTGGCTAGAGTGGACAGTTGACGCTCTAAGCCAATCGCTAGTTCCCGGTTCATAAAATATTTTTACTTTTTTATGAATGGGGAGCTACTGATTGGCTTAGAGTGCCAGCTGACCGCTCTAGCCAATCAGCAACACCCCTACCCAACGGCACTCTGTGCTTCCTGACACTCAGTAAATAAAAGTGAACACATTAATACTGATATTTTTTTACCTTTGGAGATGAGAAGGTCCAGCGTTTTCCCTGCCTGGCCCAGGTACCAAAGCCTTATGATATGGTGTCCAGAATAAAGTGGAGGGTTCACTTAATTTGTCCTTCCTGCTCCAATCTCCTTTTCCTCTCCTTCATTTGACAGTCTTTTTTTTCTTCTGACACTGTTTTCTATCCTTGGCCCCTTCTGCTCTTTTACCTTTATGCTACTTTCTGCTTATTTAGCGCCCTTCTGCTCCTTTCTCATTCTGATCCCTTTCTGCTCCTTGCAGACCCTTTCTGCTCCCTTTTCTACTTTACCTTTGTGCTCCTTCTGATTCTTTCAGCTCCTTTACCTTTGTGCTCCTTCCTGTTCCTTGCAGGCCCTTCCTGCTCATTCTCCTATTTTACCTTTGTGCTCCTTCTGCCCCTTCCAGCTCATTTCTGACCCTTTCTGCTCCTTCTACTTTACCTTTGTGCTGCTTTACCTTCCAGCTCCTTGCTGACCCTTCCTGTTCATTTCTGTTCCTTTGTGCTCCTTCTCCTACTTTACCCTTTGCTGTGCTCCTTGCTGTCCCTTCCAGCTCCTTGCTGCCCCTTTCTGCTCCTTGATGTCCCTTCCTGCTCATTTCTGTTCCTTCTCCTTTTCTTACTTTACCTTCTTGCTCCTTGCTGACTCTTCATGTAGGCTGTCTCCCCCATCCCTCACTTCCATAGGCGTGCGCACGGGGTGTGTCGGGTGTGCCTGGGCACACCCTAATCCCCGCGGCACGCCAATGGATAGAGACCGGCAGGGGAGATCTCTGGATCTCCCCAGTCGGCTCATGTAGAGCCGACGCTATCCCAGCGGCGGCTCTGGTCTAAGCCTCCATGGGCCGGTGGGGAGATCAAAGTTCTACCTCACCGGTCCACAGCAGCATGGAGGGAGGCAGCAGAGAACCCGGGCTAGAGTTCACTCTACACTGAACCACCAGGGAAGGCAGCAGGACTGGGATATTAACTAATCTGCCCCCACTCCACCCAAACATACAGCACACACACACACCCACAGTACCTACACACAGCACACACAGCCCACAAACAGCACCCTGACAAGCACAAAACACCCACACACAGCACACAAACAGGACACTAACAGGCCCCGAACAAACACGCACACACAAACACCATCTACCTCACTCCCCTAATCTATAGGCTGCTGCACCCCAGCCTCACTCCCCTAATCTATAGGCTGCTGCCCCCCCCAGCCTCACTCCCCTAATCTATAGGCTGCTGCCCCCCCAGCCTCACTCCCCTAATCTATAGGCTGCTGCCCCTCCTCACTCCCCTAATCCATAGGCTGCTGCCCCTCTCACTCCCCTAATCTATGCCCCCATCACTCTCCTAATGCCCAGGCTGCTGTCCCCCACTCCCTAATCTATAGACTGCCCCTCACTCCCCTAATCTATAAGATGCCCCCCCTCACTCTCCTAATCCTATAGGCTGCTGCCCCAGCCTCACTCCCTAATGTAGACTACTTTACACTCCCCTAATCTATAGGCTGCCTCCCTCACTCCCCTAATCTATGGGCCCCTCACTCTCCTAATCTATGGGCACCAACACCTCCACAATCTGGCCCCCCTCACCCACCATCTATAGGATGCCCCCCTCACTCTCCTAATCTATAGGCTTCTGTCCCCCCCACTCCCCTAATCTATAGACTGTCCCCGCTCACTCCCTAATCTATAGGCTGCTGCCTCCTCTTACTCCTCCAATCTATAGGATGCTGCCCCCCTCACTCCCTAATCTATAGGATGCCCCCCCCACTCTCCTAATCTATAGGCTGCTGTCCCCCCACTCCCTAATCTATAGCCTGCCCCCCCTCACTCCCCTAATCTATAGTCTGCTGCCCCTCCCAGCCTCACTCCCTAATCTATACGCTGCTGCTCCCCCCCAAATCTATAGGCTATCTCAAACCCTCCCATCCCTCACTTACCTGATCTGTAGGCTGTCTCTGGCTGCATGTGTTGCTCCCCTGCGGTTTCAATCAGCAGAGAGAAGCAGGGATAAGATGCAGCTTCCTATCCCTGTCTCTCTCCATACACAGCGCCACCTACTGGCCGGCGCCGGTATTGCAGTTCATTTTAAATCTCACACAAAATAGCAGGACAAGCTGAAAAATCCAGGGCCCCCCCCTGCGGACGCCCATGCTGGTCACCTTGTCATTTAGACTTCATAAGAGACAGTTTGTTTAACTTTACTCAAAAAAGGCTGTGATTGAAAGCTGTAAGTCACAACTAACAAATAGATTATTTACTCAAGTTAATAATCACACCCCTTGTGGCGGATTTCATGTTCTCCAAAGCAAGTTCAGGGTTTGATCCTGGATTATTCTGCAAAATTATCTGCACATCATAAAAGCAATGATAAAAATACCAATGACTAAGTACATATTTAATAATTTGATCAAGGTTCTTGGACTTGACTAAGGGCCTGTTTTCCAATGTTCATGCCAATATTTATCAGCCAACCACTTTTGCTAAAGTGTCTATTACTACTGTTCGTGAATAGCAGCTGTTTCCAAACATGAAAATCTCACATTTAGCAAAAGGGAATTACCAGCTGCTGCTATTTTTAATGACTCTGAAAGAGTATACCACTACTTACTTACTTACTAGCTAGTAGCTATCCAACATTGTTTTTACAGTTTATCTGCTTCTACAGCTATTTCAACAAATGTAAAACCTGCCTCTGCCTCGCACATACAAGTTTACAACAGCTAACACCCCATGCATTCAATAGAAAAAAAAAATGTATCCAGCTGCATGTAGCTAAACCCACACATGTACAAATCACACTCTGCCACCCACCACACACCGGCATCCTCTCATCCACCCCGTACAATAGGCCCATCATTAGTTTTTCTACAGAGGCCATGACACCAGCTTCTCCTGGACCAATAATTATTATTATTTTTTTTTTAACTACACAAAAAAGGGTTGGTAGGTGGAGTGAGAGATAGTTAGAAGTTAGGTTATTTTTTATTTAATAATTAGAGCCCAGATGACTTGGTGTCTTTTCATCCGTATAATTATCTCTTATTGGAGTCCATATTATATTTTAAAAAAGGACCCAGCAGACTGTGTATGTTTTAGACCCCATGGAAGCAATATTATATTTTTATAAAAGACCCAGGAGATGCCCATATTAATTATAATTTGCTTAGGAGACTCGGTGTTGCCTGGGTCCTCTTAGTATCCTTTAATTACCACAATGGTAACCATGTGGATGCAGTTATCAGTTTCATCAAATGTAATTAGGATGTAGGCATTAATAAATAGCAATAAGGTTGGAAACATGTAGGTTACATGTACCAGCTGTTAATAATTACAGCTGATGCAGATATTTATCGGCCTGGTTAGACACAAGTCCCCAATCGGCAGCTTATAAATAGTTATTAGACACTTTTGGTAAATTTGGTCGGAATATGGACAAAGCGAAATTAATTGGGGGGATGGGGAAGCAGAAGTGGGCAAGAATTCCCCCTCTCCTCTTCCAGTAGAAGCATGTATGAGTGATAGGGCAAAATCTGAAAAAGGGTGGGTTGGAGTGAGAAACAGGAAGACAGAAAACACACACCTATACATATACACTCAGTATCACTAGCAGAGATTCTAGCACAGGTACACATCAGGAGGAAATAAACTGAAGCAGAGAAGACCTCATACAATTTCTGACACCACTATATGTCCCTATATGTAGGGATTGACAGGGATGCACGGAGACTCTCTGCTCTTTTGGAAAAACAAAACAAAAATATTTGCTATCAGTTCTGTTATTAATATAAAGTGCAATTTACCTCTAAAGTATACTGGTATCCAGGATTCTCACTCATCATGTAAGGCCACCAAAAGTTTGCATTTGATACTTTGAGCTGCCCGAGAGAGCCTAAACCCATAGCTGCAACCTGTCCTTCCTGATCACGTAAAGTCACAGATACAGAATAATAGTCAGAGCCAGCCACGTTAACTTCATAGTTCACTAGTCCTAATGCAGACAATGAAAAAGATGGAAATCAGTAAAAACATATCAGAAATTATATCCCTATATCATAGTAAACCATAGCAAAGTGAATACTACCAATAAAAAGGACACTTCCTGCACCATACACATGCTTTTTTCCCATAAGTTAGAAATAAATGTTCCTATTTCTGTTTGTTTATGCAATACATTTTATGGAAATGTTATGCATTTTCCATTTTTATACACCTTTTCATACTTTGGACTTTCCTTTACTTTTATATCTTCTTTACAGACCCCTATTCTGGTATCATTTTCTTTTTATGGTTTCTCTCACTTGATGTACTGACCTTTTATTCTTCACTCCACTTCCCTGAAATTACTGGGCTAGCTTTTACCTTAAATGACATTCTACATTATTATTTGTCAACTCATGAATGGTTACTGCATTTCATCTACACAAAGCCAAAGCTTCTTATTTTGGTTTCACTCTTCAAAAACATATTAAAGGACCACTATAGGCACCCAGACCACTTCAGCTTAATGAAGTGGTCTGGGTGCCAAGTCCATCTAGGGTTAACCCTTTTTTCTATAAACATAGCAGTTTCAGAGAAACTGCTATGTTTATGTTAGGGTTAATCCAGCCTCTAGTGGCTGTCTCATTGACAGCCGCTAGAGGGCTTCCGCGTTTCTCACTGTGAAAATCACAGTGAGAAGACACCAGCGTCCACAGGAAAGCATTGTGAATGCGCGCACAGCTCCTGCCGCACATGCACATTCAGCAGAAGGAGGAGGAGAAGAGGGAGGAGAGCGAGGTAAGTTTAACCCCTTCCTCTCCATCCAGCCTGGAGGGAGGGGGACCCTGCGGGTGGGGGCACCCTCAAGGCACTATTGTGCCAGGAAAACAAGTATGTTTTCCTGGCACTATAGTGGTCCTTTAATACTGTACAAGTTAGATACAAGGTAGCTCCATAGAATATTGGTACTAGATCTTCATGGATATACATGCTAATAAGAAAATTACTAAATAAAAATATATGCTAATGTTAATAAAAATTTAATACAATATTATATTAAATATCAACTGCACTGGAATTGGTTGAGACGTTATAATCTTTATTCCAGTAGTTCTCAAATAGACAACACATTACCAGACACACACACACACACATCATTTAATGAACGAGTGAGTGTGCTGGATCTTGTATGAACAAGTTGTATGAACCTCAGAACTCAAACAATCAGTTCCAGAAGGCTGTTCGAGTTCTGATTTATTCCCATAAGAATTAATGTAAATGTAATTAATCCGTTACAGACATCCCAAAATTACAGCATTTTAACACAAATTTTACAGTTTAAAAATGCCTTGCATGCACAAAATCATATAGGAAAAAATAATAAACAATGTACAGTAAATGAAAATATAACTTCACTTTACCTGTAATTATTAGAGTTGATCGCGTAAGTGGAAAGGAGCAGAGAAATTATTGTTTGGATGGGGTAGGCAACTGTTTTTCTGGCATTTAAATGTGTCTAAATTGTGTCTAACTGTAGATTGTGCTAACGCAGTGTACCTATAATCTTAATTTTATTAAAGGACCACTATAGTGCCAGGAAAACAAACTTGTTTTCCTGGCACTATGTAGTCCTTAGGTCCCCCCCACCCTCATGGCCCCCCTCACACTTACCTTTCTCCAACGCCTGGTGTCCTCTTCTCCTCCTGCCGACGTCAGTGCTGAATGCACATGCGCGGCAAGAGCCGCGCGCGCATTCAAGCCGCCCATAGGAATGCATTTATCAATGCTTTCCTATGTATGTCAGCGTCTCCTCACTGATTTTCAAAGTGACAATCGCGGAAGCGGCCTCTAGTAACAAGAAGCACATCCTTTATATCCTTTGAACGATAACAATGAAGATTGAGACTGTATCTGAATACGATCCGAATCCCAAATGGATGGTTTTCATAGAGTGTGAAGACGACCCCATGTATTGATCCATGAAGGTGAATCAAACTGAAAAGAAACAAAACAAAAAAAAAAGAGACGTGAAAGGCACTTGGAAATGAACCGTTTGTGACACAGACACAAACACACACCAAATAATTAATCGGAATCTCACTATGTGTGATATAAAATAAATCAACACACCCACCCTGAATTCAAATTTTTATAGAAGTAAAAACAAATGAATCATAGAAACAGGGAGAGGAAAAAAGGGTATGAAAATACTTGCCTCCTGTCCTTAATAAAATTAAGATTATAGGTACACTGCGTTAGCATAACCTACAATTTTATAACACGACAGGAGGCTTCGTATTTTGCATTTTTAAAGCTGTGGGGAAGAAAAGCAAAAGAAGCATGAGAAACCTGACAGAAAAAAAAAAAACACTGAATGTACTTTCTCTAGCCCAGGCTGTGGATCGCAATAGGTCGGTAGGCAAAGCACCCGCCGGAAAAACCTATGAGGCTGCGCCCTGAACCAAGTCTACATCCGCTAGAGGTATCAGCCAGCAAATGAAATAAGAAGTGGTCCTGACGGGGGATGTCCGTAGAGGAGCAGTACGCTCTACATATCCTAGTAATGTGCCCACCACGTAGAGGTCGGGAATAGTCAGAAAATGGGATATGAGACAGAGGAAAGGTCTGTCTTAGTCCGACGCGAGATAGAAAATGACATTCCTTCCAGATTGACGGAAAAAATATCCACAGAGGGTTCTGGCTTATATGAGTGCCCTGTAGGGGAGCCGTCGAGATAGCGGAACACGTAACAATGATAGAGTGATACGACTTGCCCAACAAAAAAAGATGGTATAAGAAGTTTAGTACAGCAGTAACAGGTGCCATAAAGGGATCGAAATCCTCTCCATACACCAATTACTTCATCCTGTCCATGTGGTGCCATAGCTCCTTCTACTGCCTGGGGCCCAAGAGTACCCTAGTAGTTACTTAGTTGATGGTGATAAGCAATCGACTGACCAGGATCCCCTGAAACCATCCAGGTCACTAGGTCCAAGTTTCGTTTGAGGACCAGTGGATGCAATTCCCCTTGGGTGTTCGTCAATAGATGCGGTGAGGATGGTAGTAGGAGGGGTTAATCCTGAGATAGTTCCAGTAGATCTGGACACCATGCTTGACTCTGCCATCGGGGAGTGATGAGTAACAGAGTGATCTTGTGGATCCATATATGATTAAGGACTCTTGCCAACCCGGAGAAAGGAGAAAGAGCGTAAGATCCTTGGATTCCAATTCTAAAGTAAGGCTTCCACTGCCTCGCACTCTGGATCCGGAAGCCAGCCGAAATATCTCTGTAACAGACTGTTGGTCCGGGATGCAAATAGGTCCAACTGGAGCGGCCCCCGTAGAGGCCTCAGAGTGTGGAATATTGCGACGTTCAGTCTACAGTCGCTGACGTCCCTCCAGTCTGCCGATTCCTGGTAAGTACTCTGCTCGTAGAGTGATGTTGCGGGTAGGCAGAATTGGTATATGCCTCTGTGAGGTCCCGGGATCGTGCTCCGCCCAAGCGGAAACCTAGGAATTTTATCACCTGAGAAGGTGTGAGAGCTGATTTCTCCTTCTTCACAAGGAATCCCAGTGATTCCAGAATATACACTATGAATTCCATCTGCGAGTGCAGTCTGGAGATGGAATCACAAAATATCAATAGGCCGTCCAGGTAGGCAAGACAACGGATACCTTGGGATCATAGTTGAGTCATTACTGGTTTCAGAAGCACCATGGTGCCGAGCCGAGTCCGAATGGTAGGTATGTGAACTGGCAAGGATGGTCCTGCCAGAGGAACCCTTAGAAGCATCTGCTCGCTATCATCATGGGCACCGAGAGATGGGCATCCTTCAGATCTAGACGTGTGACCCAATCGTTGGCCATTAGGAGATTCCCGTAACAGATGAGTACCTTCCATTTTGAAATGGCGATATACTACAAAGTCAATAAGGTGACGTAATTTGATGACTGGCCGGTAGTTCCCTGTCTTTTCATGACCACGAATATATTGCAGAAGGATGATGGAGGAGGTATTTGGTGTATGGGACCTGTGTGCCAGAAGCGACTGGTGGCGTGGCTTCTCTGCCGACCGGTCCTGCCAAAAACACCCCTGCCAGGGTTAGAGTAAAACACTTGTCTCAATGATGACTGGGCTTCGTTGAGTGTGGTGAAGAGATTCACATGCTTTAAATTCAGTGATAAAAGGCTCACTAAATAATAAACCATTGCCAATGGTCCTAGCTCTCTCTTCCCCAGATCCAAGAGCTTGTTAATTTTCAAAAGAGCCCATTCCTGCATATGGTTTGGATCCAGTGGGGTGTTGCGTGAGAGTGCTAGATCTGCATAGTATAGGTTCTTCGCCAGAGGATCCAACATGTCCAGGAGTCTACCCTGTGTAGCCTTTAGCCCCTTTTCTATCACCTTAGAAGGGTCTAGTCCCATCCGGTCCATGAAGACCACTATAGTGGTATCAAGTTCTGGGGTGACACCTACTTTACCCGGGAGGATCGGACGAGGGCATTCTGTGTGAAGGCGTGCACGTTCCTCTCGTAGTCAAAACGCCCATATTGTGGGAGATGGCCCGGAAGGCACCACTTGTCCCGTGTTTTCAGGTGGGATGGTGCGAACTCTAGAGAGTGCCTTTCCCACTGACGCGGTTACTGCAACATTATTATTTAAATCTTATGATTTAACCTATGAGCTTAACTTCTGTGGCTAGAAAAGTATTTGAAAGATTATTAAAAGGAGAATATTCCAGAATTCCTTGAGCAGAACATGGTTATCAGCAAAAATCAGCCAGGTTTTAATGAAGCACAGGTCATGTCAAACTAACTTGATTGCATTGGATTTTGCCAAGGCATTTGATACAGTTCCACACATAAGATTAGTGTTCAAACTCAAAGAAATCAGTTTAGATAAAAATGCTTGTTCTTAGGTAGGTACTAAAAATAGAGTACAAAGAGTTGTCATTAATGGTAAATTTTCATGCTAAACAGAGATGGCAAGCGGTGTCCCTCAGGGTTCTGTTCTGGGACCCCTTCTATTTAACATGTTTATAAATGATCTTGAGAAAAGCATTGAAAGTCATGTTTCAGTGTTTGCAGATGATACAAAACTCTGTAAAGTAATACAATGTGAGCAAGATATTACTTTGCTGCAGAGGGATTTAGATAAGATAGACTGGAGGACTGGGCACTCAAATGGCAGATTAAATTTAATGTTGAAAAATGCAAAGTAATGAACTTCGGCGTAAAGAATGCACAAGAAACATATACCCTTAATGGAAGCGAATTAGGGATAACAACACATGAAAAGTACTTCGGCATTGTTATAGACAAACTATGCAACAATGTGCAATGTCAATCAGCAGTGGCTAAGGCCAGTACGGTATTGTCATGCATGAAAAAGGACATTCATTCTCAGGATGAGAATGTCATTTTGCTGCTTTATAAATCACTGGTAATATCACATATAGAATATGCTATGCAATTTTGGGCACCTGTTATAAAGAAGGATATTATGGCACTGTGTGCCATGAAAGGGTCGGTGTATATCTTGCCTGGGGGACACCCAGCAGTAAGGGGTCACCCCTGCTAATGTAGTGTTAATAACACCAATGGAAGCACATGCTTGAATGGGGGGGGTGTCACCCCGGTAGTGAGAGGGTCACCCCTATGATCGGTAATCCTCTTGGAACGTATTCAAGTTAAATAGATATACATTCCTTTAAAAAGGTTGAAGTTCACTCTATTTACTGCATATACAGAACCAGGTCTGATTCAATTATAAGCAGGCAGTATGTACATTACACACAGAGAGAACAGAAATGTAGAATCCATTTTCCCCGTTTAGTAGATGTGTGAGAAAACTGATACGCAGCAGGCCAGATCGTGGGAATCACGACCTGGCTATTTAAAATGTTTGCAGGCATGGGCCACAGTAGCGGCCCGCCGGTTCAGTTATAATGCCCCACGCTCCCCCACCCGCAGTACCCCTCCTGCTGACCCCAGAAACCGCCAAAACCGTGTCGAAAATGCCACGACGCGCGACAGTGTGGGAAGAGTGAAATGGCAGGAGAGCCTAAAAGAACAGGTCCCTGTCTGAGAGCAGAAGTCAAGACAGCAGGGAGATGTAAAAAAAAACAAAAACAAAAAACGGGTAAAATAGAGAATGACTGAGGGAATGAGGGCAAGACAGATTGCAGAGGGAGCAGGGGAATGATATAAAAACAATTATGATCAAATTCAATGCAGCATAAAACAATATAAGATAATTGAGCTGAGAACAAATTACTCTGACCTGTGCCTAGGCTGGAGCAGCAAAGAAAGAGGGAGAGATACAGGGGGAGGGGCCTTTTATACCCTGTTGCATTTTTTTTTCACTAAACTTTATTGTTAAATCTGTGCTGCTGGAGTTTAGTAAAGAAAGTTTAATGCAAAATACGAAGCCTCCTGTCAAGTTATAACACTGAACATGTTTGTGGCATGATTTGTTCGCATACCGAGACATTTTTTTTACTCCAAATCTGTGTTAGACTTCAGAATGGTTGAGAAAGAGACCACTCTAGTTCCGAGGTTCCACTGTATATATCCAGGCCATCGCCCCAGTTTTGCACCCCTCCGTCACAGGTGCCTCATTTGGGGACCTATTTTACCTTGACCTGCAGAGAGTACCAGGAGGAAGCATTTCCCAAGTAAGTGGATCAATCTTATAGGAGCAGGCATTAGGTTACTAGAGTAGGACCTGCCAAGAATGGGTTACATGGACGTTGTAGCAGGCTTATGCAGCCACCTAATTAGGGCCAATGGGCGCACATAAGTTCTTCCCCAAAGTCATTAGCCACTCTATGCATCATACGGATTGATAAAAAATGTAATTTCCTTTTTGCTTTAATGGCGAGTTTTCCCATACATTTATGTTTCCTAGGGAGTTTCTTAGGGATACCTGTCAAGTCAAAATGTTTAACTCAATAGTCCATTGCTTTGTCATATTTGTCATAATTGTTTGTAATGACAAATGTTTCTGGCTCATTTTAGAATTTTTTTGGGTAAAAATTTTTTTTTACATGTGAATCTATATGACCTCAGACCGCTTTAAATGTATTGCTTCATATAAAAAATAAAGATTTATTAAAAAAAAAAAAAAAAAGAACCCAACAAAACACAAGACAGGGGAATGGAACACATATCACTTCATTGAGATTAAATGATCCGGCTGCTTAAAGAGTCCCTTTAAACGATACGGTATGATTGTTTTTCCATTTCCTCTTTAATTACCTGTCACAAATTGTATAAGTCAGGTTTGTGCTAACTTCCACACACAGGGACCTACCTATGTCTCCTTGAATGTCTGTAATTACGGTGATGTCATCGATATAAATAGAAGGAGTTGTATACATAACCACAGGACGATGAATGCCAGCGTAGTTAAAGAAATCAAATTCTATATTCTGGACGAAATAACCTTTGGGATACCTGTGTTTTCGAGCATAAACAAATGTATAAAGGATTATTCTTGTTCATTGGTAACACTCAATGCATGCATTTCCATAAATCTTACATGAAAGGTCAGCATAAAATATATACATTGATCTTGGCTATAGAAATTTTTAAATGGCAATTCCAGTATGGCTACAGCTTCTTCACAATATTTCATTAGAGACTACCCATTCAACTTTCTAGGAAGCAGTATTCTATCTAGATTATGTAATTTACAGGTCACTTCAATGGCCTTAAGAATAATTAGGGTTTCACAATACTAGCCCTTTCCCACACTCTTTTACACCTTTTCTTTTCTGTGTTCTTTGACTATTTGCACCCACAGACACCTGGTGCCTAAATTGTAAACCAACTTCATTTTATCCATACTTTTCTAACTTTGTGAAATATACTCTTACAGGATTATTCGCTAAAGTAAGAATTGCTGGGAATTTAAAGGGAATTTCAAATGTAAAGCCAAAATAGCCCAGCCGTAAACAGAACAGAGTTGGAGAATTTTTAAAATTTGGTTATTTAGGCCTACATTTTTGTAATTACTTTGAATTCCTGGCAATTCTCACTTCTGTTAGTAAACCAGGAAGTAACATGTCTGGTTGTCTGATTGACAGCTGGAGGGGGATAACAATGTTTATTTATAAAAGAGCCAATTTCTAGTGAAATCTGCACTTTTTGTAAAATTAAAATAGAAGACGTTCTTCATACAGAAAACACTTCAGCAAACTCAAATGCTTTAAGTGTCCCCTTAAACAATTTCATGCTTTTAAATGTTTGTATAAAGATTTTATGCTTTCCGAAAGACACTAGACTGCACAGAGGCAATCCATGTAGAATATCTTAGTTATAATAAACACAGGATGTGATGGCACACTTTCACCAAATCATCATATGCTTAATTGCCCTGGTGCTCCACTGAAAGTGAAAGCAAAATACACACACACACACACACACACACACACACACACACACACACACACACACACACAGTACGAACGGTTCTTTTTGGTTTATATTTGCAGAAGTTGGAATTGCCAGGAATACAAAGTGAATTTAAAAATTTTGGAAAGTAGCCAATTGAGAAAAATTCTCCAAGTTCTGTTTACAGTTTGGTTATATTGGCCTTACATTTGAAATTCACTTTAGTGAGTATTTATTTTACAAACTTAGAGAAGTTTAGATAAAATGCAGTCGGTTTATAAGGAAGTCACAGTTCTCGTACAAACTCCCAGAAATAAGTAGAGTATGTTGACTGGGCTCTGTCAAACAACACCTGTCAATTTCTTCCTGGAAAAGAAGCGTTTGCATTCAAAAGTTAATTATTATTTCCAAAGCTACAAAGGTCAACATAATGTGGGGAAGGGGTTACAGAAAGAAGAGTTCGTGGTGTATCAATTCTTGTTCTTGTAACAGTAGTAACAAAAGTAACAACTTAACTTTGGTTATATATGTTAATGTGACCTCTCATCTTTAATTCTCTGTCCATATAAAAGGCATACATGCCTACTGTTGCATAGTTATTACTACAATAGACTAATCTTCCATGATTTTTTTTTTTTTTTATGGTCTGATACAGACCAGTCATCTATTCCTGGCTCAAACTGATTCCCGATAACCTGCTCAACTCCGGTTTCCTTTGATCCTTCCTGATTTATCCAAACATCCTGCTTTAATTCAAACTGGACTTTGTTTTCTATTATTCCTTATTTGCTTTTGATCTAACCTGCCTGTACTTTACTAACCATACTATTAATTGCAACTCTGCTGGAAAACCCTGATCCACTTATCTGGTAACTTCTATACAAATCCTCCAAACTAAAGAGACTGTTCACCTTAACTTAGAACCAACTGAATTCCATTATCCTTTATTATGCTGTTTATTACTGTCTGCTAATATTAGGTTTACTTGTTACCCATTATTTCACTGATAGGTTTCCTTGTCTCCTGTAGGTTTGCTTTGGGGTAGATTGCCTAAACTTCTATTACTACTCCATCATACTTACCTGTAATTCTGTTTCTAGGTTCTGCTTTCTCCCTTTATCTGTATTATTCCTGTTCTCTTTTTATCCGGTTATTCTTTTCATACCTTTGTCTAAACCATGTCGAATAACTCAAATAAACTACCCGAAGTCAACCCCGGCATAAGTCTGACCTGCTCAGAATTATTACAGTGTGTACCTGCTAGTGAGTGAGCATGTGTGAGAGTGTGTGTGTGCGCGCCTGCTAGTGAGTGAACTCGTGTGTGTGCGCCTGCTAGTGAGTGAGCTTGTGTGAGAGTGTGTGTGCGCACCTGCTAGTGAGTGAACTCGTGTGTGTGCGCCTGCTAGTGAGTGAACTCGTGTGAGAGTGTGTGTGCGCGCCTGCTAGTGAGTGAGCTTTGTGTGTGCGCCTGCTAGTGAGCGAGCTTGTGTGTGTGTGCCTGCTAGTGAGCAAGCTTGTGTGTGTGTGCCTGCTAGTGAGTAAGCTTGTATGTGTCAGTGAACTGGTCTGTAGTGAGCATTTGTGTGTCAGTGAGCTTGTCTGTTGTGAGCATTTGTGTGTCAGTGAGCTTGTGAGTGTCAGTGAGCTTGTCTGTAGGAAGCATGTGTGCATCAGTAGGCACGTGTGAGAGCATGTGTGTGTCAGTGAGCATGTTTATGTGTGCGTGACAGTGAGCTTGTCTGTAGTAAGCTTGTGCGTGTCAGAGTTTCTGTACTATGTTTGTGTGTATACCAATAAGCTTGTCTGTCAGTGAGCCTATTTGTGTGCATCTGTGAGCTTGTGTTTTTAGGTCAATGAGTAAAAATATATATATATATATATATATTCAGTGAGATTGTTTGTCTATCAGGCTGTGTATCAATGAGCTTGTGTGTGTCTGTATGGGAGTATGCTTACTGTATAATTAAAGGTTTTACTCTGAAAGGACCAATATTTTATATTAGAAAAAGAAATATAAAATATATTTCAGAGTAAACCTATGTTTAGGCTGTGTGTGTGTATATACATATATACCCCCCCCCTCCCTCACCCACCCGCAGCCTTACATATTACATGTGACAATATTTGGTGCAATGACTTATGGGGCTGGCATAGATTTTTTTTTTTCTAGGGCTACTTTGTGTCCCCAGTCCGGCCCTGCCTGCCTACCACCATCAGACTATCCCCTAGCCTTAAAACTCATCTCTTTAGGAAAGCCTATGGCCTCTCAGAATAAGCTCCTTTGCTCTCTCTTAAAGGGCAGCACTCTACTCTCTCCTCCAGCTCTGTTACTTCCACCTTCTGTATTGCCATTTCCTGTACTATTGTTTGATACCCCCACCTCCTCTAGACTGTATGCTTGTTTAAGCAGGGTTCTCTTCAACCTATTGTTCCTGTAAGTTTTTGTAATTGTCTCATTTATTGTTAAAATCTCCCCCTTCTTTAATATTGTAAAGCGCTACGTTGGGGTTATATAACTGGCAGTAATAAATAAATTAATTTTATGGAGGAAAAATGTACACAGAAGGGATCAGTATTGCTCCATGACTCTTTGAGTCCTCCAAACCCTCCCCCCACCCCCACCCCATCAGCATCTCTATGGGGAACATTCAGTGCCAGATGCTCAAAGTCAGTGCTGCCTCTAGTGCTTCCCATTCATCTCCATCCAGGTAGGACTATATCATAGTGCTTCACTTGAACAAGAGAAACAAATAGTCCCCTTTCATAGCTCCTCTTGAGACACAAGTTACTCAACCTCATTCTGTTTGTGGGGAAGTCTATGCAACCTCTGGTTTACTAGAAAGGCTACAGAATGGAAGTGGTCCTGAGGGCTAAGGAACATCCAAGTCTGAAGGGAGTAAAGGCCGATAACCTCATAAAGTTCATGCAGATCTTCATACCAGTAAATCCCACCCCCAGGGAAAAAGATGTATTACGTGAAATAGAGCCATTAGAGAATGACACAATGTCAAGGAATATAGAGTGGTTCCAAGATCCCCAAGAGCAATGTCATGCATCTCACTCTGGGCATGGCCACAGACTATGTGGGGAGCCAAATTAAAAACCGAGGGAGGTCAGGTACCATGAGGTCAAATTTAAAATCAACACGGTATTTGGTCCTAATGGACCAGGCCATGCTTGTATCTGAGCCAGCCTAGCTGCGTAAGTAAAGTGAAGGAAGATTCAGACCGTCTCAGCTTTTTGTTTGGAATTACAAAACATATATTATTCACAAATACACATATCGTAAGCAGCAGTACTTACATAGAAGAGTCTGACATAAACTGGATGGACCCTGGTGGTAAAGTATGTGGTGTTAATGTGTTGTTGACAGCTATTGTGATCCGGCAGGAAGAATCAGCACTGCTTTTCAAAAGACTGGTTATATTGGCTTCAAATGGCAGATGACCACCTTCATGCTGTGTCACCAGGACTCCATTAACCCACTGCAAACAACAATTTTATTGAGAATTTATGCAGAAATTAGCATCTAATATCTGTGTGCTACAAAAAGAAAACACACACACTATATATATATATATATATATATATATATATATATATACACACACACACACACACACACACACATATATACACATACATATATACACACACACACCACAATATCTCACAAAAGTGAGTACACCCCTCACATTTTTTTAAATATTTTATTATATCTTTTCATGTGACAACACAGAAGAAATGACACTCTGCTACAATGTAAAGTAGTAAGTGTACAGCCTGTATAGCAGTGTAAATTTGCTATCTCCCCCAAAATAACTCAACACACAGCCATTAATGTCTAAACCGTTGTCAACAAAAGAGAGTACACCCCTAGAACTAAGGATAACATATAACCGGACCTTAGAATGGCCAGACTTAACGTATCCAATAATAGTCAAAATACTTGAGGTCAGGGATACAGAGCGAGACACAACGATGAGGGAGTCAAGGATACCAGAAATCAGGGAAGTCAAACGAAGCTAAAGTCAAATACCAGAAAATCAAGATCAGGAACACTCTCTCGGATAACCAGCTAAGTAAAACCACGACAGGGCACTGTTTAAAAGGTAAAATAACCCTCCGAAAGCTGCAATTGGCCTTTGACCCCAAAATGTGCGTACACGTCTATGATGTGACGTCACACGCACGTAAGCTCAATCTTTGATATGGGCAAAGGCTATTTCCCTATTTAAAACAGAACCGCAGCGGCCAGCGTCTGAAGTAACGCCCACGCATTTCCACTTAGGGGTGTACTCACTTTTGTTGCCAACGATTTAGACATTAATGGCTGGGTGTTGAGTTATTTTGAGGGGACAGCAAATTTACACTGTTTTACGGGCTGTACGCTTACTACTTTACATTGTAGCAGAGTGTCATTTCTTCAGTGTTGTCACATGAAAATATATAATAAAATATTTACAAAAATGTGAGGTGTGTACTCATGTTTGTGATATACTGTATATGGACAAAAGTACAAAAGTATTGGGACACCTGACCTTTACACCTCAATTACAATTGTTTATATAGTGTCAGCATATTCCAAAGCATTGTACAACAGGCAAAACATGACAATTAAGTTCTAACAAAACACATTTTCACATGGTAACAGTAAGTTAAGAGGAAGCCCAAATGAGCTTATTTCACTTCATCAATTCTATTATTCCACAATATCAAGTCCATATGCTGCCGTCTGTATTTCAAATACTGCTGCCTGTTTTCTTCTCTGCTCATTCCCAAGCTCTCCTGCAAAAACTCAATTGGCTTTCAAAACACCAGCGGTCTATCGTTAACAGTCTTACCGTAGTGTACAAAATCCACCATAAATTGCTCCTCCCTGCCCCTCCTCACTCAACTTCTGCTATATATCTGTGCCCTTACCAAGCCTTCCTCCAACACAAGATATACACTTACAACTATGGTATGTTACTTACAACTATGGAGAAATAGTGGGCACTGCCAATGCGAAGCACAATTCTTGACGATGATTTGTCTTCTACCCACCGACTTGGGAAAATAACATCTTTCTCATACCAAACCCACCCAACAAAGTCTCTTAAGGTGATGTCTTGAGTGATATCATTATAACTGGCTGGCACGGGCATATCTATCACAGGACCAGTCTGTAAGAAGAAGAAGAAAAAAAAAATCTCCATTAAATGTTAAAATTAAAGTATTGAATGAGAATACAATAAATTAAAAGATATCTTCAATTTGAACGGATTTAAAGTACCATTAAATTTTTTTTTTTAATATATATATATATATATATATATATATATATATATGTATATATATATATATATATATACACACATACATACACACACACACACACACATACACACATATTATATATAATAATGAAATATATGTTCATGGTGTAAAAAACATAAATAAATATCTGAATCACTAGTAATCTCATGATCAGGGGGAAAACAAACAAAAAAAAATGTCTAGAGAAGGGAGAAGCCATTGCATCCTTCTACTAATTGAATTTGATCCCAGCAACGAATGAAGGCTCACACAATCTACTGTGTGTCTTAAATGAATCCAGTGCTACATATATTTGTTAGCGCTTGATAAGTAGATAATCATCCTAATAATGTAGGAAATGCAATGTCATCAGCAAAGTCTCCCTATGTCATGTTAACAAAACTGTGGCTAAAACTATGTTGCTTTTACTCAAATGCTCAGTTATGGTCCATAAATGCTTACACAGCAAAGTACACGGAAGTCATTAGTCTGACTAGCCACTTCTGTAGTAAACTGGGACTAAAGGAAAAGGAAGAAACTATAACAGGAAGCATGATTTGTTTCCTGCTTTTCCCTCTAGAAGTGATTCTGTATGAAGCAAAAATCCGTTTTCTTACCCTTTTTTTGAATAGCTTCCTTTTTAAACCTTTACTCTCACTTTCAGAGTACATTAAATAAACTTTTCTAACATAATACATTGTAAATACCCAACTGTCACTTAAAGGGACACTATAATCACCAGAACAACTACAGCAGGGTTTACATTACAACCTAGTGATAACTGAACTGGCCACTTCTCAGACTGCCACTAGAGATGCTTCCTGGGGCAGTGCTGCACAGTGCAGTACTGCCAATCAGTGTCTCCACCCTCTCTGCATGCAGACACTGAACTTTCCTCATAGAGATTCATTGATTCAATTCATCTCTATAAGGAGATGCTGATTGGCCAGGGCTGTGTTTGAATCATGCTGGCTCTGCCCCTAGTCTGCCTCCTTGACAGACTCAGCCAATCCTATGTGAAAGCATTGTGATTGGATCAGTTCAACACTTTTGTCAGCCAAGCAGGCAGACAAAAGTGGGTAGAGCCAGTAACACCAGACTGGAACAAAAGGTAAGATTATACTATATTTAGGGAGGGCAAGATCGTGTTTTTTTACACTACAGGGCCAGAAATACACGTTTGTGTTCCTGACCCATAGTGTTCCTTTGAATGAACACTATAGTGTTAGGAATACAAAGCTGCATTCCTAACACTATAGTGTCCCTCTTCCTCTGTGGCAACCCTCTTGCAGCAATGAAAGGTAAAAAAACAAAAACAAAAAAACAAAAACCAAAAAACCAAAAAAAACAACAAACACTTTACACACTCACCTTATTCCAGTGCCAAGGCTCATCTGTGTCATCTATGTCTCGCAAGGGGGAAAACTTAATGTGCAAGTGCAGCAAGTGCCATACAAGCATTAGGCCAGGGCCGGACTGGGAATGAAAACCAGCCCTGGAAATAATTGCATACAACCCAATAGCATACAATTGAATACACTATCCCCCTTCCCCCAATTTAATACACTGCCCCCCCTCCCCACAATTTAATACACTGCTCCCCCCCCCCCACCTCAATAAGAGCTGTCCACCAGTTCCAGTCTGGCCTGCACAATCTCTTCTCTGCTCAAGCAGGTACTGCGAGCAGGAGGGAAGGAGGAGTGAGTGGCTGGACTAATCTGCAGATAGCCAGCCACTCCGCGCACTAAAGTGCCACCGCCAGGTATGACATCATACATGGACAAATATTTTATGCTCTTGAGGCCTTGGCTGGTCACAAAAGCACGCGATTGGCTGCGGCATACGGGAGCGCAGACTGTCTTGAGGCTGATCACAGCACACGGCGGCCTACCAGGAAATCTCTCGGTATCCCAGTAGGCCAGTCCGGCCCTGCATTAGGACATTAGAAAACGCTGGACGTCCTCATGCAAAACGTGAAGACATCAAGCGTCTGTTCACAGAGTTAAACTCGATGAAACAGCAAGAAGAGCCCCTAGAGACCGTTTTAACATTGCAATGAAAACATTACAGTTAAAAGGACCCTCCAGTGTCAGGAAAACAAATCAGTTTTCCTGGCACTGTAGGACCCTGCAGTGCCCCTCTCCCTCCCGCCTCCTATCCCATGTTGCTGAAGGGTTACCTGAATCCAGTGCTGATGTCCCTCGGCCCTGGACAGGCTCCGCCCACGCTCCTACCCCACCTACGTCAGCCAGTGGTGGAGACCTAATGCGCATGCGTGGCCGCGCGCACATTAGACCTCCCCATAGGAAAGCATTATTCAATGCTTTCCTTTGGGGATTCCGGCGACGCTGGAGGTCCTCATGCATAGCGTGAGTACGTCCAGCGTCGTTTAAAACACTTTTCGTGTTCTAAGAACACGGAACTCCCTCTATTGGCTGTCTGATAGATAGCCACTAGAGGAGGACTTAACCCTGCAAGGTAATTATTGCAGTTTATAAAAACTGCAATAATTACACTTGCAGAGTTAAGGGTGGTGCGAGTTGGCACCCAGACCACTCCAATGGGCAGAAATGGTCTGGTTGCCTATAGTGTCCCTTTCATTTCAAGATCTCATTTCTCAGAAGCAGACACAAAGCATTGTGCTACCATACTCCTAATACAATTATATTTTATAGCTGTCAAAAAGGTGTGCCTTTATAAAATTAGTATTGTTTTCAATACAAAAAAAAAAAAAAAAAATATATACACCATGGAAATTGTGATGTGTTCTCAGCAAAACACACCTTTTATTTTTGAAAAACTCAAGGTATATTAGGTCTTAAAAATAAAACCAGACATTTAAAAACAGCCGTGTTGTGTGTTCTTTTAAAAGTTCATTACTCTTTTCTCATAATTCATATTTTTTTCAAGAATGCAGTGATCTTTAGCTCGCTTTGGTAAAAAAAAAAACCATTTAAGACCATGCACAATCCGAAGGTCTGAAATGCTTCCAGAATTCATTTTTGAGTTCCCCTATTCTAACGCATCAACATTTCAGGATTCATAAACCTTCACTGGAGGCTTGACTTTCTCTGTAGTGTTTGGTTCAGGCAAGCTGTGCTTCTGATCAAAGAGGGCTTAAAGTGACCCAGTTCCTTCCCAGGATCATCAACCATTATGGTAGCCTATCCCTTATATTTAACAAATATGTATTGAGGAAGTGTGAAAAATAAAATTAAATGTAGAAATCCACACCTCTATTTTGCAAGGGAGTAGTTTCCTTTTGGCTCCCTGTCACCATTGTTCTAAAATCTGCAACTGGGTGCCTCCATCTTGGCTTCCTGTCAAATCACTGCACTTGGCAATCGGAATAGAGAAAGCATAGAGAGAAGAAATTAAAGCAAAACTATAGCATTAGGAATACAAACTCTCATTTGAATCTATCTATATAGTGTCCCATGTAAGGGTGTAAAGGGTGCGATTTACTTTACCATTTAGCCCTCGCTGCTCCTGTCTCTTCCTGCTGGTATACCTCCTTGGCTGAGATCATCAAGATCAATGACCTTTTTGATGCAATTTATTAAAAGGAACACTCCACTGCCCATATTAGAAAAATAGATAGAAAGAAAAAGCACTGTTTAGTAGATATACCCCTAACAAATACATGCATGTATTCATTTGGAGTGTACTTTAAAAACAAAAAACAAAAAAAACTGCAGTTCTTATGAACCGCAGCCTTTGCAAGCCCTCCCCCTTTCCCCCGTAGAGACTTCACGGGAAATAGCAAATCAAAGGCTTCTCAACGAGAAGCCTCTGAAAAGCTAACTTCGTGCACCAGTGTGCCCAAGCAGCATACTGGTATGAGTGATGCAAGGGGGAAGTCAGGTGCACTTGTCACTTCCTAAAGAAAGCTAGAAGAGCTCTCCTAAAGTTTAAATGGTGATCCAGACATGAACCTGGAGCCTAGAGAGATATTGGCTATACCCAGCAGTGGAACCACCACTGGTGCTGCTGCACCAGGACCCCTCATGCTGTGGGGACCCATTGGTTGTCCATGCACTTAGGGCCACCTGATGGGTATAGCTGAACAGGAGCCTGTTTAAGCACCGTGGCCCTGTAAGAACGAGCAAGCCCCTGTAGTATTGTCAATGCCAGGAGAAAGTGACAGACGATAACTACCTCCCAGTTATAAATGGAGAGCCCATGTGGGAATGCAGTGGCAACACAAGCAGCATGGTGAGGGAGGAGGGGGGCGGAAGAGAATCAAGACAGTTGCTCTAGATCCCAGACTCCCAACACTATCAGTGTGTGTATATGGCATTCTGTGTATATGTGGCAGTCTGTGTATGTATATGTTAGTGTCAAAGTGTGTATCTGAGTGTAATTGTATATGTCAGAGTGTGTATGTGTTTGATTGTATATGGTAGTGTGTGCTTGTGTATCTGTGTGTATTTGTGAATTAATATGTATGTATATCAGTGTAAGTATGTTTTTGGCAGTGCATGCATGTATGTGTGTGTGTGTGTGTGTGCGCGCATACACCAATACAGCATGCAAAAACACTCCTGCAGTGAAACACAAACCTTACATTACACCCCTTTAAACACCAATACTACACACAAAAGCAATTACCTGCAATTAAAAGTCAAGACTACATACAAATGCATACCTGCATTCCAACACAAACACCACACACAAGTAAATGACTGCATTGGAATGAAAACAGAACATACAAATAAACCCCTACATGCACAAAACATACTTTATTCAAATGCACCAACACTGCTCACAAATAGAACCCAGCAAGGATGGACAAATGGTAAGGAGAGAATTGTACAAAATGGAGATCTACCTTTTGGCCACTCTTGCGCTAGAGGGGGCCCCCCCCCCCCAAAAAAAAAAATTCTTGCACCATGTGTCATGTATTCATCCGCTTATAAAAATGTGATTAATGGAATTCTTATCCTGCTCAGTGCCCTGTCGTGGTTTCCCTTGTGGTTGTCGGAGAGCGCGTTATAAATTCTGGTTATTTGACTTTGGCATTCATTTTGACTTCCCTGTTTTCTGGCATCCCTGACTCCTGGCTTTTCCTTATCATTGTGTCTCTTTCTGTATCCCTTGACCTCGGCTATTCCGGACTATTCTTTGGTACGTTAGTTCGCCCATTCTAAGGTCCGATATAAGTTACCTATCAGTCCTCTGTGTTACACAATTCTACGTGCTGGATCATTCTGTAATCCTGACACCATGGTCCTCTCAACATTAGTTCCACCACTGGCTATACCTCACTGTCAAGAGTTAGGACCCACCGAAGGGCAAGCTTCTTGTACTGTTCTCAGTATTCTCTTGCACCTTGTTTTTTGCTCTATGCAGAAAAAAAGCTGACACTTTACAAAATCACATACCAATTAGAGATTAAAATAAAAGGCACTTTAATAAAAATCCTGCATGGTTTCTAAGGCCTACTCATTTGCAATATGTGCAGTGACTGAGCTTGATTTTGATGTGAATTCCCTTTTTAAGATGCCTCCTATAGAGCAATACTAAGCCACGATATGGACTGGAGAGATGAATTTTTTGTTAAATATATGCAATAAAAAATAAAATAAATATATATAATGGCTATAATATATTTTAATATTGCATTTTAAATAAATAAAAAAAAAAAACATAAGACAAAGTAGGGACTATTTTGTCTTATGTATTTTTCCTACGCTCGGCCAGCTTCGACCCAGGGGAGGAGCAAAGGCCGCTCCATTTCCTGTGGTCAAAGGAATCTTCTCAGAATTCTCACCGTCCCTCGGCTGCTTTATTCGCCGTTCGAATGCAGGCAAAACTACTTAGTATTAGTAATAAATCTGCACCTACTCGCTATACCGTGAGTAAGGGCATGTCTACTAAACAGTGAGCAGCCAGTGTAACCCACCATCCCCCCTACTTTAGTAAAGTGCCCCTTTGTGGGCACCTATAAAAAGAATTAACGGGAGGAGCAAAGTGTACCCCCGAGCACCAAGAGTGGGGGCCATTAAACTAAACAGGGGACCTAGTGTCCTCCCTCAGCCCCCACCCATGAGCGGCGGGTGGGGGCCCCAAGTTACAATGGAGGCGGGGAGGAGGAACCTACTGTTCCGCCCCCGATGAGCGGCGAGTGGGGGACCTTAAGTTACAATGGGGGGCCCCAGCCGCCTTAAGTTACAATGCGACAGGACCTATTGTCCCACAAACACCCCCGTTTAATTTAGTGTCCCCCACTCGTGCACCAAGAGAAACACCCCTAATTATTTTTATAGTGCACTTTATTAAAGCAGTGGGGGTTGTTTTTTACAACAGTGAGCAAAGGAAAGTTCAGCATGACAGTGCCACTTTAATACCTCAGAACTACATAAATCTACATCACAATGACATCTAGTGGAGAAATGTTAAAGTACACATTTCTAGGCATCTTTATATCCAATATTCCTGTCAAATAACAAAGCCATCTGAAAAGCATGTATTATTATTTATAAAGGGCCAACAAATTTCGCAGCGCTGTACAATGTACAAGTCCCAACTAGAGGACAAGTTCCATAGACTAACACAATACAAAATACCCCACACTATATTTTGGCGGTACAGTAACTTTCAGTGATGGGTTAAACATGTTCAATAGTTCAAACTACATAGACTAAATGAGAAGCTCATGATTGGTCAATCGGCTTTCTTAAAGGGACACTCCAGGCACCCAGACCACTTCTGCCCATTGGAGTGGTCTGGGTGCCAACTCCCACTACCCTTAACCCTGCAGCTGTAAATATTGCAGTTTTCATAAACTGCAATAATTACATTGCAGGGTTAACTCCTCCTCTAGAGGTATAGGTGGTGGGAGGGAGAGGGTACCTGCAGTCCCAGGAAAACTGTTTGTTCTCCTGGCACTGGAGTGTCCCTTTAACTAGGGAACGTTCAAGACTGTTGCTGTTCAAGAGGGTCTACGAACATTTGTTGAGTCTAACATAAGTAAAGGTAAGCTAGGAGAACCTGAAAATGTTATGAACATATATAGCACGCAACAAGGTTATTCTACATTTCATTTATTTGAAGAATAAAATAGGACAGTTTTCCTATAAAAAAAAAAAATCCAAAAACTAGATTCTTGGATTGCACTAAAAAAAAAAAAAAAAAAAAAGAGGAAATTTGAAACATATTTTTTTTGTTTGTTTGTTTGTTTTATCTTTCAGATTGGTTGTTTTGCATATGTTAATGCATTATCTCTATACAATGCACCAAATCAAGGGTGGGCAGCCTTCAGCACTCCAGATGTGGACTACATCCACTGACGTACATACCTCGGTCGCATGGGGTCGCAGCTGCGACCGGGTATGTACGCCAGTTTGCCAGCCTCTTCTCCTGGGGGCCCAGGAGCTGGCCATCTCCGGGCCCCCTGAACCTGGCCCTGGTGTCGGCGGGCGCACACACGCACGCGAGGGAGCATTCTCCCCAGAGCGCTCTCTGTTTAGCTCCCTCACGCGCACCCCAGTGATGACGGAGCCGGAATATGACATCATTCCGGTTCCGGCATCAGTAAGCGGCGCGCAAGGGAGCTGAACAGGAGGATCTTCGTGCTCCCTTGCAATAGCCGCGCACGCATTCAAACCGCCCATAGGAAAGCATTACTCAATGCTTTCCTATGGACGTCCAGCGTCTTCTCACTGTGATTTTCAGTGAGACAGCTACTAGAGGATGGATTACAGCTCAGTGAAACATAGCAGTTTCCCTATGTCACTCTTTTCTACCCTGATGTCCCTCTTTTCTAGTAGCTCCACATTGTTGGTATGTATACAGAACTCCACAGTAATATGTCTTTCAACTACAATAAATGTGTTTAGAAAGCAGTTTGTCTAAATAAGATACATTGTTCTAAATTGCATTTTAATTTCATAAATTGTTAATGAGCAATCAAAAAAAATAAATTAAAAAAAAAATCCTAGAACAGCCATGCCTCTACCACACTCCTAAAATTAAAGTTCCCCTCTTTGTCCATTTGAAATGTTGGGAGGGTGCTCTGGGCACCATAACCACCACAGCATGTGGTAGTGGTTATGGTGCTTGGAATGTGCCTTTAAAAATAGGTATTTATGTAGAATACTGGAGTGTTCTTAAATAAACAAAAACGAGGCCTACAATACCAATTCTGAAGTGGTGCAAAGGTTTTCACAATCTATATTTCATATATATCACGAGCAACAAAATTGAAAATAAATGTGCAGGTAACAACATATAATTGGCACAGTGATAATATATTATTGAGAGAATATGTATTGGGACAGTGATGACAATTCACCTTTGCACTCTGTGCAAGCCTAGGCAATCAACAATAAATCTAGGTATTTTCTAATGATTTAAAGGAAGGAGAAGGAGACAAGTTAGTTTACAACAGTGGCTCTACCATTGGTAGTCAGTTTCTGTGAATACTATAATCATATAGGATTCTTATCAGCACTGACATTGGCACTAGTATCCATAGCAATGAAAATTACTTTATTATGTGGGAACAAGAAAAAAGTGTAATTCAACGTGATGTAATCAGTTGCCACATGCCCAACAACAAACTGTACAATAAACATAGTTACAGAGCTGAAAAGAGACTTGCCGTCCATCAAGTTCAGCCTTCCTCACATAAGTTTTTTGCTATTGATCCAAAACATACATCACTAACTGCATGCCAGGCTTCATTACCTCTCTGAGGGGCCTCTTGTACCACTGCTTCTGGAACCCTTCATCCCTCTGTAGTGACTTATCAGCCCTGAAACTCCAGATCCCATTGAGCTCCTTCATTTCCCTGGTAGGGGTATCCCTGGGGTACAGCATGCCCCCATCCAAAGCATGTGTGATGCCACTGCTGACAAGCAGAAGAGCCCAGCAGCTCCAGGATGCAGCCATCAATACACCAGACACCACGAGTGTGCCCTCTTACTGCTGCTCAGTCTAACCTGCAGCTCTTCCAGCCACCACCACTTCCCCGGGTCTGAAATGAATGCTGCTTAGTGTCATGTGACAGTAGAGTGATGGCCTGGCAGTCACGTGACATGCCCTGTCATGTGATCTGTGGACTTGCTCAGCGCTGGGCAGGAAGGATATGCAGGTATTGTCTGTGCAGAGAAAGGGGGATGTTGTTTTAAATCCTCGTCTTGTGGTTACAGTCAGTCACAGGCAGGTCACACTGTGGGCTTTATTCACTAAACGATGAATTGACAATGGAATTGCCAAATAAGTTACCAGGTTGTGATTTTTTTCAATTTACTACCAATCCAGAGGAATACAATGTGAATAGCAGGGAATGTACAGCCTTATTCAAGAAAGTACAAATTTTAGCAAATTGCATCCAAATGTGAAAGCTGATGCCAGTGTCACAGCTTGGCTATTTTAACCTCACTTGTTGGGACTAGAAGATCACTCTAAGCATTATGATTATTAAGGTACAACAAATACAACAGCTCTGTACAATAGGTGGACTAACAAACAAGTAGTTCAGCAACAAGACGAGTTGGGTGTACAGGAATAGAAGGTGCTGATGACTCTTCTCAAATTAGTTTTAATACAGGTTTGTATTCCTAATGCTGTAATGATTCTTTAATTATCTCCATATTTAACCTAGCATTACCGCTTCTTGATTATCATTTCATTGTATTTGGTTCACATTTGGTGCGTTTCCCGCTGCATCCTCAAAGTCCAAATCTAGAGGCCTTGCTTCCCGTCTCCTGCACTCTGTCTTCTAAAGCAGTGCTCCGGAACTGCTGTGCCAGAGCACTGTGCTAGGTGCCGGGTGCAGAGCTGTAGACTGAAGTAGCTGACGGCAAACTCCCGCCAATCAGAGCGTTGTCATGGGATACCACAGCAACACTGACAATTTCAGTGCGGGAGCTCCCGAGACATCTACCACATTGTCTGTAACTCTGCACTTAGGTGGAGAGTTAGCACACCAGAAAACACTGTCACCCCTACATACGCTGTTATCCCAATCCTGTCACACTACCCTATCACATTAACCCCCCCAACCCGGTCACTCACCCTACCACATTAACCCCTCCAATCGTGTTACAATCATCCCCCAACCATGCAACACTCACCCTGTCACATTAACTCCATAATCCTGTCACACTTACCTCCCCTCACCCTGTCACACTTACCCTTTTACCCACCGTATCACATTTACCATTTTACCCACCGTGTCACAGTCACCCCTGAAGGCAGACATCATACACACAGACATTCATAAAACTTGCCCTTGCCATAAACACAACACACAAAGTCCAAACGACACAATACACTGCAAGCAGCTACCCCAGACACAAATATACACAGAGACGTACATTCACACACAAGGATGCTCACTGTCAGGCACATACACAGGTAGACAATGTCAGACATACTCAGAAATTTACACAGCCCAATACACATTGTGACTGCATGTCTGTATTAGTCAGTGTGATATTTATTAATGGGCACACTGACTGTGGTATTAAAACCTGTTGTGATTTATTAATGAGCACCTAGCTTTGCATATTTTTAATGGGCAAACTGACTGTGGAATATGTATTAATGGTGCCGAAGAATTCTAGGAAGAGCTTTGTGTACCATGGGTGAGAAAATGTTTAGAAGCACTGGCTGGAAGGACTGCGTTTCCCTATTTAAATTCATATTTATGCTTTTTACAATAGTTTGTTTACCTTGTTGTGTATTGTGGTTTTTCTTTGTATATGGGTTCCTACTTAATGACGGTTGCTTGCTAGTGTCAGTACCCATTCCCAACCAAACCCTGACAATTTAAAATCTTGTTCTTCAACTTAACCCAACCATATGTTCTTGTGTGTTTCATTACACTTGTGTTGGTTTTTTAACCACTTATTTTTATGGAACATTATATTGCGCAAAGACCGACATTTCTTTCTTCTCTTTTTTTTTGGGGGGGTATAATCTCTTCCTGGCTAGATATATCAGTTTTGTGTAACAGCATAGACACGTTGGACAGGCTGCTCAGTTTCAATTCAAGCTGGAATTCCATGGCTGGTTGTGTTACAAGCAGAGGTAAATATACATGTAATATCGCACTCACTAAACAAAACAAAAAAAACAAAGTGAGGAAATAAGGTACTGGACTTTTGGTGACCTACAGGGCTGAACCACAAAATGCACACTATACAGATAAATATAATGAGTTACAAGCACATTTGCAAAGCTCCTAATGCCTAGCTGACAGGCAAATTAAACAATTTTTCCACATGACAGGAGGCTTCATATTTTGCATTGACTTTCTTTACTTTAAACTCCAGCAAACAGGTCAATCAAAACGTTTAACCAATGAAAAACAACCAGTCACCACATATATAAGTGAGGTCAGCCCCCAACTCTTCCTCTTTTTTTGCTGCTCCTGCAGAGGCACAGGTCAGATTACTGCTTCTATCCTAATTATTTCTATCGCATAGTTTATTAATATTGTATTCCTTAGGGTACCCCGCTTTTTTGTCAATTTTACTTTGCTTATATAGTCGGTGTATGCCATAGTCTCTCTTGTTTTCTGTCTAGCTCCACTACCTATGCTAGGCCTGCCTGTCAGCGTTTAAACATACTGTCTCCGTGAGCTCTTCCCCTTCAGTCTTCTGATTTAATTTACCCTATTAGAGCCGACTGTCGCTTATTAGACCTTCTCACGCTTCCCTTTTCTCTAATTGAATAGCGTTAAAAATGCAACATATGAAGCCTCCTCTCATGTGGTAAAATTGTAGATTATGCTAACGTAGTATACTTACAATCTTAATTTTAGTAATGACAGGAGGCGAATATTAGGGAATATTTTCCCTACCTGTTCTCCCCCCCTTAATCCTTCTCATATTTTGTTCCATAAGTCTTTATAGGTTTTTAGATGTTTTCTACAATGTTATTGTTTAGCAGTAGAACAAGGATTTTTATATATATTTTTGCTAATGAATGTTATGTAGCTAGTGTTTGGTTTACTCTGTTATACATTAGTTAGTATAGACTATTTATTAGTACATTGTAACTGCTGTATATTCGATATCGAATATAAGACGTATAATTATGGTCACTAAAGTACCTTTCACTTGTTGGAAAAAAAGAAAGTACTACTTTCCCTATAAAAGGAAACTGATGGGCATCTTAGTAGATTTTCCCTTTTTATATTCACTTCACATAGTCACTGAGTGAGTGTTTCACTTATTTATGCTGTTTATACATTTTTTTTCTAATAAAGATTTATTTTGTTTTACCTTTATTAATTTTTTGATGTTGTATATCGTCTGTAGTGATCCCATATGTGAGTAATCTGTTTTGAGGCTTGATTTTAGGCCTTTTGACCTGGGATCTTCTCTCAAGAGTACTACTCTTTTTTCTAATATTTGCTCTTTTTGGGTTATGCCCATTTTACTCATTTTGTCCCACGAGACTGTGGGGTTAGATTTTCCCTTTCTCTTCAGTCTTGTATTTTAAATTTTACCTCTCACTTGTTTGTTTCTTTCAGCGTGAATATCACCACCGAACTCAGTAGGGATATCTCTACTTTACCACTAGGGGATTATCTGAAGTTATCAGAAAGTTCAAGCTCTTTGGTTTCTGTTGCTGCTGAATGGATTATCCACGCTCATATCAAAGAAGAGGAAGAGATAGGGGCTGTCCTTACTTCTATATGTATTGACAGGCTGTTTTTGATTGGTTAACTTTTTGATTGACCCGTTTGCTGCTGAGAGTTTTAAAGTAAAGAAAGTCAATGCAAAATACTCGCCTCTTGTCATTACTAAAATTAAGATAAGTACACCACATTAGCATAATCTACAATTTTACTCCACGATTAAAAAATAAAAAATTTCTGGTTTTGAACTCTGCCATTCCTGGTACAAATGACAGGACAAATTTCATAGTTGCCAAAATTTGGAAAAGAAATCCAGGGACACTTTGAAGCACATCTATCAAGCTCTGCCACTGCCCCTAAGCTCTGCCCACTCTGTCCAACCCAAATAATTAAGCTCAGCCTACTTATCATAGTGCAGATTATACAGTCTACTCAATAAAGAGAGAATTACAGAGAATTGAGATGGGAATTTCAAACTTAAGGCCAAAGTATCAGAGTTCGAAAAATTATCCGATTCAGCTGCACTACTTTGGCTTAAAGTTTGAAATTCCCATCACAATACCCTGCAATTCTCTATTGATTGAATAGACCTTTATAACACCAAGTTCCCACAAACAGTACCATGCACCCTTGGTATGCAATAGATTCAGCGCCTTCTCACACAGCACCGTGTGTGTGTGTGTATATATATATATATATATATATATATATATATATATATATATATATATATATATATATATATTATATATACACACACATATATACACACACATATACACACACACGCAGCGTGTGTGTTTCTGCTTTAGGGTGCACACCCTTATACAATAGGCTGCGCACGCCTGTGTGTGTGTGTGTGTGTTTCTGTGTGTGAGTAGGGATGCATTGTATGTTTGTGTGAGTGTAGAGATGCATTGTGTTTCTGTATATGTGTAGGGATGCATCGTGTGTGTGTGGTGTGAAAGATTGTGGGAGCAGCTCCTTAGGTTTATTAGATTTATTTTGTAAAAAAAAGTCTCTCCACTGCCCCACCCCAAGCCAGTCTCTCCTCTGCCCCCATCCCCTAAGCCATTCTCTCCCCTTCCTGCCCCCCTCCCCTCTCCCCCACCTCCTGACTTAGTGGTCTCTCCTCCTCTTCCCCCATCCTTTAGTAGTCTCTCCTCTCCCCAAAATAGCCGATTTGGGAACATTTTCCAGCCAAGCTTGGCTAGTTTTGCCTCAGTTTCTCCATTCAGATTACATATGTGAAGATTGGAGTTTAGTGAATAGCTATGATAGTGTAAAAAGTGCCCACACTTATAAAAGTACAGTATACTAGAAAATGCCATTAGAATCCTCTCAAAACTTCTCAATATATGCACAGCTGTGGCTCTACTTTCTAACAAAATATACAATCTTAAAATCCT